CACCGTTGTCACTGTTGTCACCGTTGTCACCGTTGTCACCGTTGTCACTGTTGTCACCGTTTTCACCGTTGTCACTGTTGTCACTGTTGTCACCGTTTTCACAGTTGTCACTGTTGTCACTGTTGTCACGGTTGTCACCGTTGTCACCGTTGTCACTGTTGTCACCGTTGTCACCGTTGTCACCGTTGTCACTCTTGTCACTGTTGTCACCGTTTTTACCGTTGTCACTGTTGTCACCGTTTTCACCGTTGTCACTGTTGTCACTGTTCTCACCGTTTTCACCGTTGTCACTGTTGTCACTGTTGTCACTGTTGTCATCGTTGTAACTGTTGTCACCGTTGTCTCTGTTGTCACCGTTGTCTCTGTTGTCACCGTTTTCACCGTTGTCACTGTTGTCACTGTTGTCACGGTTGTCAGGGTTGTCACCGTTGTACCTGTTGTCACCGTTGTCACTGTTGTCACTGTTGTCACCGTTGTCACCGTTGTCACTGTTGTCACCGTTGTCAACGTTGTCACTGTTGTTACTGTTGTCACCGTTGTCACTGTTGTCACCGTTGTCACTGTTGTCACCGTTGTCACTGTTGTCACTGTTGTCACTGTTGTCACCGTTGTCACCGTTGTCACTGTTGTCACCGTTGTCACCGTTGTCACTGTTGTCACCGTTGTCACTGTTGTCACCGTTGTCACTGTTGTCACCGTTGTCACTGTTGTCACCGTTGTCACCGTTGTCACTGTTGTCACCGTTGTCACCGTTGTCACCGTTTGTCACTTTTGTCACCACCACCGTGTCACCGTTGTCACCGTTGTCACTGTTGTCACTGTTGTCACCGTTGTCACCGTTGTCACTGTTGTCACTGTTGTCACCGTTGTCACCGTTGTCACCGTTGTCACCGTTGTCACCGTTGTCACCGTTGTCACTGTTGTCACTGTTGTCACCGTTGTCACCGTTGTCACTGGTGTCACTGTTGTCACCGTTGTCACCGTTGTCACCATTGTCACTCTTGTCACTGTTGTCACCGTTGTCACCGTTGTCACTGTTGTCACTGTTGTCACTGTTGTCACCGTTGTCACCGTTGTCACTGTTGTCACTAGGAATAAAAGGGTTTAAAATGGTATCACTTGAAAGTAGAAATGATTCTTTTAAATCAAAACGGTTGTCACTTTGTGACTGTCGTCACCGGTGTCACCGTTGTCACTGTTGTCACAGTTGTCAACGTTGTCACTGTTTTTACTGTTGTCACCGATGTCACCGTTGTCACTGTTGTCACCGTTGTCACTGTTGTCATTGTTGTCACCGTTGTCAGGGTTGTCACCGTTGTCACCGTTGTCACTCTTGTCACTGTTGTCACCGTTGTCACTGTTGTCACTGTTGTCACCGTTGTCACCGTTGTCACCGTTGTCACTGTGGTCACCGTTTTCACCGTTGTCACTGTTTTCACTGTTGTCACGGTTGTCACGGTTGTCACCGTTGTCACTGTTGTCACAGTTGTCAACGTTGTCACTGTTTTTACTGTTGTCACCGTTGTCACCGTTGTCACTGTTGTCACTGTTGTCACTGTTGTCACTGTTGTCACCGTTGTCACCGTTGTCACCGTTGTCACGGTTGTCACTGTTGTCACTGTTGTCACCGTTGTCACTCTTGTCACTGTTGTCACCGTTGTCACCGTTGTCACTGTTGTCACCTTTGTCACCGTTGTCACCGTTGTCACTGTTGTCACTGTTGTCACGGTTGTCACGGTTGTCACCGTTGTCACTGTTGTCACCGTTGTACCTGTTGTCACCGTTGTCACTGTTGTCACTGTTGTTACCGTTGTCACCGTTGTCACTGTTGTCACAGTTGTCAACGTTGTCACTGTTTTTACTGTTGTCACCGGTGTCACCGTTGTCACTGTTGTCACCGTTGTCACTGTTGTCACTGTTGTCACCGTTGTCAGCGTTGTCACTGTTGTCACCGTTGTCACCCGTGTCACTGTTGTCACCGTTGTCACCGCTGTCACCGTTGTCACTGTTGTCACCGTTGTTACTGTTGTCACTGTTATCACCGTTGTCACTTTTTTCACTGTTTTCACCGTTGTCACCATTGTCACTGTTGTCGCTGTTGTCACCGTTGTCACTGTTGTCACCGTTGTCACCGTTGTCACTTTTGTCACCATTGTCACCGTTGTCACTGTTGTTACTATTGTCACTGCTGTCACCGTTGTCACCATCGTCACTCTTGTCACCGTTGTCAATGTTGTCACCGTTGTTACCGTTGTCACTGTTGTCACCCGTTGTCATCGTTGTCACCGTTGTCACTGTTGTCACTGTTGTCACCGTTGTCACTGTTGTCACCGTTGTCACTGTTGTCACTGTTGTCACCGTTTTCACCGTTGTCACTGTTGTCACTGTTTTCACCGTTGTAACTGTTGTCACCGTTGTCACCGTTGTCACTGTTGTCACCGTTGTCACTGTTGTCACTGTTGTCACTTTTGTCACCGTTGTCACTGTTGTCACCGTTGTCACCGTTGTCACTGTTGTTACCGTTGTCACCGTTGTCACTGTTGTCACCGTTGTCACCGCTGTCACCGTTGTCACCGTTGTCACTGTTGTCACTTTTGTCACCGTTGTCACCTTTTTCACTGTTGTGACCGTTGTCACTGTTGTCACGTTTGTCACCGTTGTCACTGTTGTGACCGTTGTCATCGTTGTAACTGTTGTCACTGTTGTCACTCCCTTTACTGTTGTGACTGTGTTGACCATTGTCACCGTTGTCACTGTTGTCACCGTCGTCACTATTGTCGCTGTTGTCACCGTTGTCATCGTTGTCACCATTGTCACTGTTTTCACCGTTGTCACTGTTGTCACCTTTTTCATTGTTGTCACCGTTGTCACCTCTTTTACTGTTGTCACTACTGTCACTGTTGTCACCATTGTCACCGTTGTCACTGTTTTCACCGTTGTCGCTGTTGTCACCGTTGTCACTGTTGTCACCGTTTTCACTGTTGTCACCACTGTCACTGTTATCAGCGTTGTCACCATTGTCACTGTTGTCACTGTTGTCACCGTTATTAGTGTTTTCACCGGTGTCACTGTTGTCACCATTGTCACCGTTGTTACCGTTTTTACGGTTGTCATGGTTATCCCTGTTTTCGCTGTTGTCGCCTTTGTCACGGTTGTCATTGTTCTCAGCATTGTCACCGTTGTCACTGTTGTCACTGTTTTTTACGTTGTCTCTGTTTTCACTGTTGTCACCGTTGTCACTGCTGTCACTGTTGTCGATGTTTTCACCGTTGTCACAGTTGTCACGGTTTTCACTTTTGTCACTGTTGTTACCTTTGTCACCATTGTCACTGTTGTCACGGTTGTGAATGTTGTAACTGTTGTCACTGTTGTCACTGTTTTTTCCGTTGTCAGCGTTGTCACTTTTGTCACCGTCATCACTGTTATCACCGTTTGCACCGTTGTCACCATTGTCACTGTTGTTACCGTTGTGGGCATTGTCGCTGTTGTCACCGTTGTCACTGTTGTCACTTTTGTCACTGTTGTCGCTGTTTTCGCCATTGTCACGGTTGTCACCATTGTCACTTTTTTATACCTTTGTTACTGTTTTCACCGTTGTATGCATTGTTAGTGTTGTCACCGTTGTCGCTGTTGTCACCGTTGTTACTTTTGTCACCGTTTTCACTGTTGTCGCTGTTTTCACTGTTTTTGTCGTTGTCACGGTTGCGATTGTTGTCACTGTTGTCACCGTTGTCGCTGTTGCCACTCTTGTCACTGTTGTTGCTGTTTTCACTGATGTAGCTGTTGTCGTTATTGTCGCTGTTGTCACCGTTGTCACTGTTGTCACGGATGTCGCTTTTGTCACCGTTGTCACTGTTGCCATTGTTGTCACCGATGTCGCTGTTGTCACCGTTGTCATCGTTGTCACTGTTGTCGCTGTTTTCACTCGTCACCGATGTTGCTGTTGTCGCTTTTGTCACTGTTGTCTTTGTTGTCACTGTTGTCACCGATGTCGCTGTTGTCACTGTTGTCGCCGTTGTCGCTGTTTTCACCGTTGTTGCTGTTTTACTGTTATCGCTGTTTTTTCTCTTGTCGCTGTTGTAGCTGTTTTCACCATTGTCGCTGTTGTGGAGTTTTAAATACATTTTCCACTTGATTTGAACGTTTTACTTTAGTTTGAAGGAGAGTTAGTGATTAGTCATCATGATGCTGCAATCGAGAAGAGAAGTGTGATGTCATGTTACTATGGTAGGAAAATTTCTGGACCACAACAACGGGAAGCTTAAGCAACACGAACAACAACGGCAACGAGAATGGCAAAAAAGCTGTGGTTTTAGATTAAAACAACAGCCCTTCATGACTATGATATGAAACTTTCTAATTCCCCTCACCCGCGTTAGGGAGTAGGTGAACACACCACAGAAATTTTCCTTTTTTATTGCAAATTTAGATATGTTCCTACTTGATTCAACCCAGAAAATTTCCCTAACATTTGACAAAGTAAATGATATTGAATCAGATCAATGAAGTTTGAAACAGTGTGAATTCACTTTTTAAGTGACTTTTTTTGTTTGTTGTCATCCAGAAATTTTGCTACCATGGCAATGTAACATAAATACCTCACCTCTTAGCCTGCGCGCAGACGAAATTAAACTCTGGTTAACTCCGTCTGCGAAACAGCGCCGAAATCCTTGTTCTGGACTTCCAGCTGTGTACCCAGATTTGAGTACGCGCCACGATTGGCCAGTTAAAAAAGGCCTTTGTTTTGTTTGTCGTGATCGCCAATCAGGTTGAAGGGGAATTCGAAACGCACTTCCTGTAATTCGTTGAGTCCGTTGGGTGTCCAGGACAAGGATCTCTGCGCTGCTTCGCAGACGGTACTAATCAGAGTTTAGTAATCGTCTGCACGCAGGCTACTCTCCTCTCTATCTCTCTGTAATTTATGGAACCTTTTCTAACTGATTCCTGGATTCCCTCTGGTCATACATGTACAGCTGTAAGTATCTTGTATTTTATTTTCACGTCCATTACAGGTTGTCTTTTTAGACGATTCACCTCAAAACCTTAAACCAGCTAAAGAGATGGGAATGACAACAATTCTTGTTAAAAGTCCTATCACAGCTCTTAAGGAGTTGAAAGAAGTAACAGGGATTGATGTAAGTTAATATGACGGTACGCTTTTGATATAAAAATATTAAGATTTTGCGTTCATTTGTCCTAAGTAAGTCATGTAATCAGTCTTTTTGTAAGCACTCAGTCAGTCAGTCACTTACTGAGTGATTCACCAGGTCAGTGAGTCAGTCGGAAAATCAGTCAGTGAGCTGATTAGTAAGTCAATAGTAAGTTAGGCAGTGAGCGGGTGTGCTCACCATTTGTCAGAACTTGCCCACCAGACCAGTCCAGTTGCAAAGAGAATTCCTTTAAGTTGGACTATATTCAGCCAGATCCACCTGGCTAATTCTATTGCTGAATAGTATTCAATTGGCAGTGATGAGTTTTAGTGAAAATTTTGAGAAAAGTCTTTAGTTTTATGTTCAAAATGACTGTTCTACCTAGCTAGTCCTGACTTTTGGTAAGCACTATAAGTCAGTGTTTCAGTCAGATAACAAGAAACTCAGTCAGTGAGTTAGTCTGTAAGTGATGAAGTTAATACATTTGTCAGTTGGGCTGTCCACAAAACAGTCAACAGTCATCAATTCAGTTAGTTAGGTCATTAGGAAATCGTATTGACCTAAGTACGTCAAGTTGTATGTTCTTACCTGTATATTAGTCAGTTGCTTAGTAAGATGGTCAGTAAGTCATTGATACATGAAGATCAATACATTAGTTACCAACAAGGCCAGTTGGTCAATCGTTTAATGTCATTAAGCACGTCTGTTCATGCTCTTTTTGTTTGTCATTAACAAAATTATGGCATCTCCCAGGACGTCAATCAGTGAGAGTGTCCTCCAGTCTTTCAGTTGGACATGCAGATATTAATGCTGTAGCAAGTAATTTAATGTTAAACCAATCTATCTCATCATTTCACAGGTTTTTCAGCAGCATGTTGTTCAAGCTTGCAGTCCTCATAGTGTAGTTCATTGTTATGTCGATCTAAAGGTTAGAGTGACATGTTTCCTTTTATAAATTGGGGTAAGCTGCATAATCATCTACCATCAGATGTAAGTGCTTACATCTGGTGTTAAAGAGTTTGACTTCAAGGCTGAATGTCAAATCATTTAATATGTTAGCTAATACCTCTGATAATAAGATTTATCCATCTGGCCCCAGTTGCTCAAAGGTTAGATAGGGCTGTCCACCAGATAAATCACTATCCAGTGGAAAAGTAGCAGGGTGCAAAAAAAGTCGGTTTTACGGCTTGCCATTTGGGCAAGTTGTTGCTAGTGTGTACTAGCCTAAGAGTCTTTTAAGTAGCCCCAAAAAATTCTTGATGAGCAGCATTGATTACAGTTCTTCTGTAATTCGAATCTCCCAAAAACTTCATTCCGGGCAATCGGACACGACTTTCTGTGCACGCTGAATAGCAGGGAAACAAAATTGGATAGAGATTTATCGAGTTTTGATCCACCTTTTAAACAACTGGGCCCTGCCCTCTTTAAGTCCCAAGAGTGACAAAAATCAATTTTCTTCTAACAATATCACTACATAATCAAGAGAAAATGTTGTGAGAATATATAAAGTAATCACTTCATAGAAAATGCTTTGATCTTCAAACAAATTCTCCAACTAATTCATTAAGGAAATGTGTGGAGATCAGTCTTGAGAATCTGTATTTGGATATTGGGGCTTAAAGAGTTAATAACCCAGCCTCGTTCCCAGTCGTCCTCGGCGATTTCGGATGTGACGTCACCTGTCAAGCTTGTCGGGATAAGCCTCCTTTTGTAACTCGGATAGTGCGAACTGGCCTGGGTACGAGGCTGTTAGTAACTCATGGGAAAGTGTAATGTGAAGAACTCTTATCCTTCTCTGCAGTTGAACACTTATTATCATTGTACTTCAACTGCAATTAACTGGTCTGTCACAAAACACAGGTTATTCACAGCTGACTGTTTCCTTCTTGTACTCAACGCATCAAACACTACAATAGCTGTCATTTAACAGCTCTTCAGTACTAATGATCAAAAAAGCTGCACGATGCTCTAAAAATATGAATGGTAACACAGTCAAGGTTTAATAGCTTTACAAGTTTTTTAATGCCAGAGCTATTGTGATTATACAATTTCCTTGCTGGACAGGGAACCTTCATCTGTGTTTTTTGTACTTGTTACTAATGAAACGTTTTTCATGCTTGTAGACAGGCATCAGAATGCATTATGTGGAGATGGGACAAGGGCCGACAGTCATTCTTCTTCATGGTTTTCCTGAGTTCTGGTTCATTTGGAAATACCAGGTATTTTTGATTTACAGCTATACTTTTGATTCTTTGTAACTTTAAATGCAGAACTAATCACATGCATTCTGCGTTCTTGCTCTTGTGCATGATGTGGTCGTTTTCTTTTTTCTAGAGTACCATAAATAAGCTGTTAATTTTGGCTCCCCCATCTCTAAAAAATTCCACCCGTCTTCTCCAACAAAAAAAAAAGAAAAAAGAAATACGGAACCCCTCCCATTTCTTCCAAGAATGAACAAAACTGAATATTTCTATCACCACGTAGTTAAAGGTCATGAGAAAAAAAGGGAAAGGATTAACATGTAAGGACTTGACTGTAAAACATATTCTCCTCCTCATTACAGCACTAACTATAGGAGATGTATGGAGTATCTGTGTGCTGATAATAGAGAAGAAAGGGTTAAAAGCCCCAACATTCTATTCATCCCTCTTTCCCTATTTGGTCAGACATACATAAAAAAATCAGACACAAGTAAAAAATAAACATCCCTTTACCTTGCCCCTCCCAAAGGTACATAGGGATCAATGTACATGTACTTGACATAACTGGAGTACTACTGGTTCAGAAGTGAAGTAACTCTCATAAACATAGGATCATAGTATATCATTAGAGGTAGAAGTAAAATAATATAGGAATATTTTTCGGTTATTTGTCCTTAGATCACGGCTCTTGCAATTGCTGGTTACAGAGTAATAGCACCAGATCTACGAGGAATGGGAGAAACCACTAGCCCTTATGGTAAGTAATAACATGGATGTGACAGTGCTAAATAAGAATCATTGCTTGGTACAAGTTAGACTACAAGTAGTCTCCCTTTTTTGGTCTTGGTCTGTCAAGTGAAACCCGCGAGGCACAAAAATGACCACACGTGCATGACTGAAGGCACAAGATAGAAGTGACGCAAAAATAGAGAGACTCTCTTTTTCTTCTCGGGCTTCTACACTCGTTTTTCACATCTCACAGCTTGGCCTCTCGATGCTCACTCGTGTGTGCACTCCCTTCACTAAATCTGAAGAAAAAGAGAAACTGCTCGCAGTTTAAGTAGAATTGTTTTTCCTAGTATCTTCTCTTGCTTAATTTATGACTTTTTTATCACATTTTTTCTAGACATTGGTGCGTATGGTCGTGAAATGGTCTGTGCGGTGAGTAAAGTATTATGCGTCAAATCTTTCAACAAATATGCGTAGATCTAACATGTAATTTTATAATTTGTTATTTTTCTCAGGATATTATTGCTTTGATGAATTCTTTGGTAAGAGTTAAAATATTTACAATAATATTTATTATCTAATCTTTTTTGAAATTTCAGAAGAAAAAGATATCATTTGTTTTAGTGTTTTTATGACATCTTTATAGCTTCTTTATCCTCCCCAAAAGAAATTTTCCAAACTGTTTTCTAGACGTTTTCTGTGGTGGCGATGGGGAGAATAAATATTATTGGTTGAAATAACAGAACATTTTTATATTTGACCATTTCCCATGGTTATTTATTTTTTTTTCCAGTTTTACAATGATATCATAAGGAGAATTTAGAGATGCCTATTACGTTTAGGGCTTTAAGAAAATGATGACGTACGTTACACTGAATCATTTGACCATATCAGTCTTCCTTAGGCGTACGCTGTATTTTAATAATTCAGAATCGGCTCCTGAATAATTTTATTATTTTCTCTTAGTATATTCAGCAAGCTACAGTAGTAGGTCGCGATCTTGGCGGATTTATTGCATGGGACCTCAGTCTTCATTATCCTGAACGTATTTTGTGAGTCAGTTTATACTATTGTCTGTTATCGAGCCGTGTAATAAGACCCCTCTTTTTTTAAAGGGTGACCGGTCGTATGCCTACGACTCGTTTCGCTAGCGTCCCGTTCGCTAACTTCTTAAGTCGTTCCGCTTAAGAAACAAAACAAGCGCTGCACGTGAATATATCTTGTTCTTCAGCCATGACACGAAAAAGTCCAATACACATGTATTTACCTCCTTTACCTTTAAGCCAGTGATCAGGCGAAACTAATCTACCAGGTTTGCGAAAAGACTTAAAACGTTTGCAAATAGGTTGTTGGCCAAACGACTCGTAGGCGAAACGTCCATAAATAGATATAAGGGAGGTACCCTAAGTTATTACTTACAGTTACAAAAGACTTGGCTTTTTTTCACTTGGTTACTCATGGGAAGGCTGCCAGGGTTCTATCTAGGATTTATCATTTGGCGGAGAAGTCCCAAGTGGCCGAAGACCACGAGATTCCTAGGGGGTCCGGTGACATGCTGCCCCGGAAATTTTTTGAAATGAATATGCACTGAGATGTAATCTGGTGCATTTTGAGACACAATTTTGAGAAATGTTACAGTCTGTGCACTGACCTCGTCGCGTCTGGATGATTTTTTTTGATATAGGTACTTATATACTGTAATGATAGAAATATTTTTTGGGGGGAGGGGGGAAAGCTGGGCATTTTTTTTGCGGGGGGGGGGGAAGCTTCTAACCCTCAAATACCCTAGATAGAACTCTGGCTGCCCAATAAAATTTGGACTTCTGAACATTTATTTGGAGTGGCAGGTTGTCCCTCAGTTTCTCATTAAAGAAACAAAACAAAACACGCGAAATGAGACAGAGAAACTCGCGCCGTGGTGCGCATTTCCATCCGGCGCTATACGTTCTTTCTGAGAAGATAACAGATTACTCGTTTTTTAGTTATCGGTTAGACAATGTATGAAAAAGAAATTCAAATGCTCATAACTCTCATTAGCTGGGCAGACTTCCATTCAAGTTATATCGAATCAGTATTTTGCCCTTTTCTATCTCGGCAGGGCTGTTATAAATATGACACCTTTTATACCTACCTCTCCCCACGTCAACCCGCTGGAAAGATTACAAGCAAATCCAGGAATATATCAATATCAACTTTATTTTCACAAGGAGGTTTGTATTAGGTTTTTCGGTTTCTTCATGAAATGTAGTTTTAATGAACAGGAACAGGAAGGAGCACAAGCAATCGGAGAGGTGAAAGGAGAGCGGAAACAGAGGCTATGAGTTCATTGATAGCCGGTCCACAGACGTTTTTGCTTTTTTCAGTCTTGTTTTCAGTAATTTCGCCACCAAGACCCCCTTGCGCCAATTTTCAATGAATTTTGAGTGGTGTAGAGTAACAGTAACGGTTCCGATACGGTAAAACGGGCAAAAAAGGTGCAATTTGTTTTGCAACGTTGCTGAAAACAAGTTGAAAAGCGATGATGTGCGTTTTACCACCCATGTTCAAATCTGTTAACAACCTGATTTGTTGAAAGAGAGGCTTGATGTGGATTGCAAAACGCGCAACATCACTATTCAACTCATTTTGCTGCAATGTTGCAAGACAACTTGGATGTTTTTTGCTGCCCGTTTCTCCGTACCTGTAAGGCGAACAGATAAAGGCGCGAAATTAGAAAACAAGCTAATCTACCACGCAACTGGAGTAGTTAGTAATAGCGATGCTTATACACGTTCTTTTTTAACCCATTTATCTTTTTATAGGGCGTTGCAGAAGAGGAACTCCAGAGAGACATAAGAAGATCATTTATTCTGTTAATAAGAGGCGCCTCTGATGTGGTAAGAGTGAACGGAGACGGAAAATAAATCGTGTTTTCTGTTAATCCTTCTCAACTATGAGAGACTAGTAATCGTTGGTCCTGTCTTACAGGTTTTTAAAGTAAGCCTCAGCGATGTATTGGAAAGAGGTAAGCAAGTGTTGTTTAAATTTAACCGCAGTTTATATTCCCAAGAAACCAATAAATCCCTTCTTGACAAAACGCGTAAATTCGAATTATGTCTTCAAGAAGGACATCAAGAGTTGCGCCGGAAGCATTCGTGAATGCGAAGTGTTCATGCACGAAAGCTCCATTTGAAACACCGTATGCTTTTGCGTGCCCGCGCGTTTTGCACAATTCGGGGTCTTCCGTCCTTCATGATGATTTTCGCCCTCTGAGAACAGAAATTGAAGACCCGGAACGCTTGACGCATTGACGTGCAGTAAATCACAAGGCGGTCTTTTTTAGGATCGTCCTTGAATTACAGTACAAAGGATTTTTACAACTTTTATAGGAAAAATAGATCTCAGTAAGTGCTAATGCAATCCAAATTAAAAATTGGCTACAACTTTGCATTCCCAGAACTTTTCCTGAAATTCCCTGGAAGATGCGAAATAACCACTCTTTTCTCCTACGGAAACCTTTCGGCCTGTCTCCGAAAATCGGAGACTTGTGTGCTGATTTTTACTTTATTATAAATAATTTTGTCAGGTGGGCTGTTTGCTGGTGTGCCAGATAACATTGAGAAAAGCTGGATTCTGACCGATGAAGACCTCAAGTATTTTGTGGAGACCTATTCTAAGACAGGATTTCGGTAGGTTCTTTTAACCCGGCTTCAAATCCCAAGAGTGATCGACATCATTTTTCTCCTAATGAATATCAATACATAGTTAAGAGTAAAGGTTGCAAGAATTGTATATGGTTATACCGGTTTCCGTAGCATGAAAAGACAAGGAGTATTGCTACGGACCTCAATCAGATCCAGAGTTGGTACCCATTTATACACTTGGGTGAAGAGAGACAAAGTGGAGTAAAGTTCCTTGTCTAAGGAAACAACGCGACGGGCGAGGCCTGAACCCTGGACCTCAAGATCCAAAGTTCGAGGTGTTAACCACTCGGCCACACATGCCTATAGAATTATAAAAGGTGTCGTAAAACTCAGGGAAAATTGTTTGATCTTTAAAACAAATTCTTTCAACTAATTCTTTAAGGAAATGTATGGAGATTAGTGTGGAGAATTTGTATGTGGATATTGGGGCTAAAAGGATTAAAGAAGTGAAGGGAATGAAACTATGGTACCGCGTCAGTGAGATCTAATCTTCCTTCCAAAACCAAACTTATTTTACAAAATCTGGAATATTTTTTTTCTCCATAGAGGGCCATTAAATTGGTATAGAACCATGGAAAAAGACTGGCGATGGAATTGCAAGATAGCTGGACGCCAGGTGACAAGCACTTAGAATATATTTCAGTGATGGATCGGTTCTATGCCCTAATTTTATAGTAAAACCGCCTATAGTAAGCAAATTATATCCTAACGTGGTTTACTAATCGCTGTTCAGACCACAAGGAAATTTTCGGATTTCACTATTTCACTATTGTCGGATTTCCATTTCCCGAACCCTCTTCCAGTTAACTTATCACAGTTATGGCCAAAAATGCTTTCCGATTGATGCCATATTTTCATAACGTTTGCCTTGTAAAAATCTCTTTGGAATACTGGTTCGCACAGCCTAGCCCTTAGGCGTTGCGGCTCTGTTTCAGCTGGAATCTACTTTCGCGCAATGACGTCACCGAGAATAACAAACCAACCTCGTCCCCAGGGCGCTTTTCCCTGGCTGGGGACGAGGTTGAAGAACGAGCAACGCCGTTCTCTCGCCCGGCTCCGGTCCAGACTACGCTACAGCAGTTTTGCATGGTCAAAGACATAGAAGAACGCGTAAGAAATAGGTTGTGGTTCGCATATTGAACTTCCAGTTAATTATGAGTTGCCTGCTGAAGCTTAAGGGAATTCATGCACCCAGTCGTGGCAGTATCGAGGATAAAGTCGTATTATTTTGAGCTTTTCACTCCGTCTGCGCTTTTTCCATGATTTTTTTCAGTTACTAAATGATTTGTTTGCAATCAAAACAGGTTCAACAGCCAAGTTTAATGATCACAACAGGAAAAGATATTCTAATTAAACCACAGTTTTGTGCCAAAATGGATCAGTGGGTAAGCAAAACATAGCAATAATCTTTTAAGTTAAAAACTTTTTGGGGTAGAGAAAAAAATTCGCTAAAGCATTGGTAGAAACAGGATAGTAGGACCCCGTCCTCTCCTAGAGCATGACCGTATTTGTAGCCCGTTGTTCCAGCCGGCTAGTAGTTAGTCGGAAAATCGAGCGTCGACATCAAGGAAAAAAATCTTTCACTCGACCTCTCTGAAAGCTTGTAACATTAGCGAGCTTAAGAAATGACGGCAGTGACGACGACCACAACAACGTAAAAAAAATGGTTTTGTGAGCAAAACAACAGCTTTGTGCGTGTATCACACTTTTTACTATATTTTCTTGACGTCCACTGTACGACTACGACGTGAAACCTGATGCGACGTTTTATGGAGGACGTGAATACACGACGAAGTAACTCTTATGTTTTTGAAACGGCATATTTTTACACGAATCAGCCTTCCTTCCACGCGAAACCAGAGATGCCACTCACGAAAGTGCTCTCTAGATTGGTTTAAGGTACCTTCAACATAAACCCGGGTAAAAAAATGTGCGGTTTCAAAAACAGTACGGATTCGTTTGGACTTCTCGCGCTTACACCCAAGTTGGATGAGCACGTTTGCGGCTACGTCCAATGCATTAAGGATCACGTTTACAGCCAACACGCAACGAAAAACGGTGGAGATGACCATACCAATAAACCACTGCTTAAACGATAACTTTGTTGACCGAACAGAGAAAACTTGACTTACTAACTCGGAGTAAAATCTTGGGATAAGGCGGCGAGAACCGCTTGTTGCTGCATGGTATTGTACTATCATTGGTCATCGTTTCACATTTATTTACTATTTGTAGGTTTCAAAACTAGACAGAGCGCACATTGAAGAGGCTTCCCACTTCTTGACCCTGGAAAGGTATGAAAAAAGTGTTTGTTGCTCTCTACAAAAAACTTGCCTGATCGTTCTGAAAAAAAGACCAATTTCTGTAGTTTAGTCCTTCCTTGAACGCCACTTCATCGGCAAAAAAATTGTAGCAAATTTCAGTGAAAGGAAACACCTATCTCTTGAACTGGATTCCACTAAATACTTTTATCAAGAACGCGTTTTAACGTGGTTTCTTCTCTATATAAAAAAAAGCCGAGTCGAAAGAACGTTTTTGGAAAGAATACAGGGGCTTTTTCTACTGTTTTAATTCTAAATAGCCTGTGAAATTCGTGTAGGACGATGGACTTAATAGGCCCTTGCTAATATCATTAACTTGTAGGATTACCGTATTTAATGGATAAGCCCCGCGGCGGCATTTCTTCTCTGCAGGCGCTCTTTTGAGTTATTACGCTGGGGCTGTAAAGTTTCTTTTGAATAAAGAATGCTCTCTGATTGAATGATTATTTTCTTTCCCCTAGTCCCTTGGAACTCAACAGAATTATGGTGGAGTGGTTAAACAAAGTGTACTCAGTGCATTGTGATTCTTCCAAGCTGTAAAAATACAACAACCTCAAGACATGACAACATAGGATTTCTATCCTCAAATATGGCCCCGTTTTAAGACTTGGTGGACGTATTTTCGGTTGCCTTACTGTTCATTATCCCAGAAATACAGACCATCATCAACCTTTTACATTAATTTGTCAGATTTGTCGTGTACCTACTTTTGATTAAACGACATTTTGATTAACGGCTCAGCGGGAGAGCTTTCTCATTTTGACTAGACTACATTCACAGTCATTATTGTGGAAACGCTTGGCCGTTTCTTCGCCGCCTCCTCTCCAATGCTGATGTTGCGGGCTGATTTGGCAGACGTTTAGGCCCAAACAAACCCGTGAAACCAACTTTGAGGGAAGTGTTTCAACAATTATGACCCGAATTGAAGCATGTGTACAGCTTCCCCGTCTCCTCAAAATCGGTGAGAGAGGGCTACACAGCTAGACTAACCCAAAATAAATTTGTTGCACTCTTGTTTTAGCTCAAAATAGTAATTGAGCCCAAATGGATTATTCCAACATTGTGGCACAAAAACGAGCTCTCATCTGGAAAGATCGTGTGTCATTTTCAACACAGTTAGCATAAAATAACATTGAGGACCACAAATTATGCACATCCTGGAATTAGTCTTCTACGCAGGTATTCTTTGGGCTGACACACAACAATTTTGTGGAAGTAAGCACTGCATGACAACCAAAAGAACACCCGAAGACGTGGGTTAATAAAATAAACGAAAGAAGAAAAACTACACGAAACAATAAAATGTTTCTTGTCAGTCAAAATCACTTTAATATTCTCCTCTAATTGTGACATTTATCACCACACTCACTTTTCCTATATACATTCGCTCCATCTCAGTGTTAATGTTTAGCATTAATCTTGGTTTCTTGACTATCACAATGCGTCCAGAGAGATGCCAAACAAGTGTCATTATGAGAGTTTGTGTCGAAACTATAGAGTAACATTCAAATCCAATGCATGTAAATCAATTAAAGATAAGTTTACACCCTCAGGTTGAATGAATCGCAACAGGTTTTTGTAGTTTCTACACTCACCTCACACCCACCCTCAAGATAACTGCCTCAGTTTTTACATGTGTGTCAAGAGTAGAGTTTGTGCTGTTCATGATAATTATTTATGCTGGTTGTAGCAATATAAATATTCACAAAATACTATTAAGTTGCAACTGAGCTACGAGGAAAATAAAGATGAAGCAAAGGTCATTGCTCATGCTAAACGAAAATAAAATTCAAGAATATTTTGATATTGTTCATTTGTGTAAAATATTTCTCAGGTAAAGAGTCAGTTCTGAATCAGTCTTGTTTCTTGTCTGTTTCCTAAAACCTCACAAAGGAACTGATACCTTCCACAAACCACTGGAAGCTTGCAGCAAATTAAACTAAATGAAAAAAATGCTGTTCCAGAGCTACCTTTGTGTAATTTCTGGAATATGGCACATTTTAACTAAAACTACTATCAATAATTTCAATGAATAGAAAATAAATTATGTTCATCATCCTCTATCCAAAATAAAATCTGACTACAAAACTTGACAACAATATTTTTTACCACTGTTTACTCTGATGATCAGCAATGGAAACACCTTAAGGAAATCTAACTTTCAAACGCTGGAGTCGTCCTGGCATTTGTCATAAATTGTCCAGCATTCTAATTTGCAAAATGAAATTCTGATGGCTTTAATCATTATTCTAGATTTGAGAGTATTAGGGTAAAATCGTTAATTCTTTTGAACATTTTTACACTTCCATTACAAGAGAATTGTCACCATTACTGTGCTATAAGCAGGATAAATTTATAATCATACTAAACTATTAATAATTTTAAAATTAAAATATTAATAATTTTTATTATATGGCTACAATAGTACGTGCTCTCTGACTGGCTGCTAAGCAGGCATTATTTTCTTGTAGTGACCGGGCATTACCAGCTAGGTGTCCAAGGCATATACAATCTGTGCTTAACTTGATAGACCTGGACATCCTTATGGACATCCATGTTATGGTTAATTGACAGCTGTCAAAAAGGTATCTGCTGACCAGTGTCACATGACTGTATTGCCAGCTCAAGTGCACAACTCATTGAGGTGACGTGTTTTTTTAAAGTTATCCGCTGACCAGTTATTGGTTTTAATTGCTCACAGGTTCAGATGCATAAAGAAAAGGCCATATAATAAATTACTTATTAATCTTGTCTGTTCGGTCATTACAGGGAAATCTCAGACCTCGGCCTTGATGTGACATCGCAATCCAGTAATGACCTCACTCTCAGTTAATAAGTAGCATATAATTACCCCAGAAAATCACCGTCTTGATCAAAAACTGACGAATAATTAGTTCTACTACTGTGTGTACATCAATGTCTCTTGGTAGAATATCAATATGCTGTCCGTAGTTCACCCATGTATGTTTCATCAGCCTTCATAGATCTGTTTATTTAGACACTGTTCCATACATGTATATCCTGATTTGAGTCTTTCATTTTCATCCCCATCAATCTTAAAATCCTATTCTTTGGATTAACTCCTACATAGTCATAATTTTTGTTTCGTCAGGAGTGAGTTGAAAATGCATTTGAAGAACGAACTAGATTGATCAGTTTCTTCACAGCCACCATCCACTGGTTGACCTAAACGGAAAGAACAATGCCATGAGTACAAAAATTGGCAAATTTCTAAGGCTGAAAACTTCATCTAGATAGTAGCCACAAGGATACTGTTGTCAATAGAGTATATTTTTGAGACCAAAACATCTGGACATTCTGAACTGAACTAATACCATACAGGGAGCAAAACCAGTGACAAAATATTTTCAAGTTTATTTTTGCAAAGGTTTGAAGAGCATTTCCATCAGTAGAGACCTAGGTTCACAAAAAATGAAATATCAGCTTTTACTAGAATACACAGTTTAAAAACCTGAAAAAAAAGTTTTATTATCTCTTTTGCAACTTAGCGGCAAGGCTGAATTAATCCAAAATATTTAACGTGATTTTGCAAGAAAACAGAAACAGGAATAACCCACATAAGGGCCTCAACAATGTGAATAATAGTAATGTTATTCGGTGAATAAAAGTTATTCTTATAATCTTTGCCTTTCTTCCAACCTTTTCTTTGACTTTGTTTAAGACAGAAATTTGGAATAGTCACCCAGTACTGGTTCTAACCGTACATGTAATTGTTTTAGAGAGATTACTGTATTTCTGAGTTACAAAGACTACAGAAGAGATTATTCATGCATACCTCAGCAACAAAGTCCACCATCAATGAAACATGAATATGATGAGCTTCTTCAACATTGCCATCATCCAGGGCTGATTTGTTAAAGAAACGAAAGCAAGATGTCACTTATTCTGTTAATACTGCACTAATCATCAGGATGTAAAAAAGCTACATAAGTGTGGAGAAACTGAATAATATTATTTACCTTTTGCTAGTTTGATCATTCTGCTCTTAACACCTTGACTAAGCTTCCCATTTGTCCAATTCTGTGCCATTATTTGAAGTCTTCTTGAAATGTCATCAGCAACTCTTTTCTGCACGACAACAGAGGGCGAATAATATTTATCAGTACTCGCTGTTCATAATGTCACCCTTTTTAGCTTATTTATTCTCTAGCACTTTCCCTTTTCAAATTTTAAAGTATTTCTGTCTTTACAAAGCCTATCCTATTTATCCAAAAATGGAGGAAGGGTTTTCTGTAAACTGAACCATATGGCGGTTTTTAACTGACAGGTACTCAACAAAGATATTTAAATTAATTTTCAAACTGATCATTGGCAACACTTTAGTCCAGATTGTAATTATCACCTTGATTTTGAATTTATATGGAAATCAGCGCATGTACATCAAACTTCATAGCCCTTCCTATGAGCCATATAGTGACTGCGATCACCTTATTCCCCGGGATCATCCCTTCAGCACTGTATCAGAGATGATTCCTTGCGATCACCTTATCATCTAAACCCACTTTGCCACATTTGACTTGGTTGGTTGAGAATGATTGTGTAGTAACTAAGATTAGGACATGGACAGCAGGGCAACAGGGTCACTGTAGAAGTGGCTTTAACAGTGTTGATATGAAAGGTCCACTATACTCAAATTATGGGTCTTTTTGCAAGGCTTTCTTACTGAATGATAAAAACTTTGGCCACTCTCTTATTAAGAACCAACCTCTAATGTGTCATGAAGCTTGTTTATTACATCCTGCAAAGCATCCATTGTCACTTTAAGTCCTTGTGAATCATCTATTGCACTAACAGCATTTCCGTTTTTCTCTTGGCTAGATGGTGAAGTACTCCTTGGAGTGTTACCAGCACTCAGAGATCCCGTGGGTGGAATGTGATTTCCTGGAGGTAATGGCGGAGTCGTACTATGAACAGGTGGTACCCCAGTCCCCTGGGATGGAACTGTAGGTGGAACTGGGCTGTGGCGATGAACATGGTACAGAGGTGGTGTTACCTGACCCACCGGGGGCTGGTATGGTAAGAGTGGGGGAGGGGTGACATGTCCTAATGGCAGAGCAGCTGGCTGAGTTGCTTGGTAACTCGGCACAGAAGGAGCAGTCGTTACTGGTGGTGTAATTGGATGAAAGATCTGTGGCGAGCTACACGTGTGATTGTCAGAATGGTGATCATCAAAATGATCTCCAATTTCAGCATTTGAACGGATGCTGTGAAAGGGAGCAGTTCTTACTGGCTCAAAACTATGGTCTTTAAGATCAAACAATGGCTGTCCAAGACTTCCTGATATATTGTCCGTTGATTTAGCATGTGTATGCAGCGTTCTGGAGTTCTCAGGTTGTGCTAAATAAGCAGGAGATTGCCCTGCTTGTGTCACAGTTTCACTGTTGAATGAAGGTGTGGATATGCTTCTTGTGAACGCCGCTGGTACCACTGGTGGTGGGGTAAAAATGTTATTAACATGAGGTGCAGCAGTCACTGGTGGCGGTGTATAAAGTTGTTTAGCACCATTCAGTTGTAGTCCAGCAACACCTGAAACAATCACAAATGAGCAAATCAATCAGATGGATACTGACAATAAGATCAATCTATAAATTTGAGTAAAGTCTTTCTACTTTTAACACTCAACAATAAAACATTTGAAGCGAATTGGAATAAACGCAACATGTTTGGAAAAAAATAATAATTTGTTACCCACAAAGCACTTAGGAGTTCTTATGAACTCATTTGAACGTGTCCGTGCGTTCCAGATTGAATTAGAATTTGGAAGTGTTGGTTTTGGAGGAGAGGGAAAAACCAGAATACCCGAAGTGAAACCTCTTGGAGCAAGGGAGAGAACTAATAACAAACTCAAGCCACATATGGCATTGAGGCCGGGATTTGAACCCCGGTCACATTGGTGGGAGGCAAGTATGCTCACCACTGCGTCACCCTTGCTCCCCAAAAAATGCTAATTCATTTTAAAAGTAATGTTTTTGCTGCTGTCAATGATAAAGCTCCCTAATCCCACTTTAGGTGAGAGGAAGAGAAAAGACTCTGGGAACAATGTTGACTTACAGTGAGTCAGCATATTGGTGATAAATAATGTATACTGTAGGAAATTTGAGTTCTTGTAAGCAGATACTAGAAAAATAGTCATTATCATGTGAATAATCATAAATTCTGTGGGATAATTCTTTCTTCATTGTGGCAATGTTACACTGCTGCATGCTTGGCTGAAAAATCAAGTGGCTTTGATACCCCATGTTGTAAACAAGAACTTGACCAATGTCTACCGAGAACATGACATTCAACACTGGTAGAAGTAAATACCATGGTCTTGTGTTGTCTTCACAACTTACAATACCATTAAATTTATTCAAACTCAAAATTTGGATTTTACAAGCGAATCGTTATTGTGAAGACAAGAGTGCAACTAAAAACGCACACACTTATATAATAAAATATTACTATTTAAGTAGTACCGTTTCATTTGCCTGCTTTAGCACACAAACTCTCTCTACATTGAAGGTACATGTCTTTATGTTACTCACCATTGACAAGATCGTCTTTATTACCAACAGCAGACGTTTGTAAACCCGGGGAAGCCGCTTGAACGCCGTGCAAGGCTTGTTGATGAGAAACTCGCTTTCTCAAGTCTAACTTGGGTTTGTTTCCGGTCGAATTATTAGAAAAAGCGAAGGTCGGTGGATCATTCCATCCGCGAGCAGAATCGCCATTATATGCTATTATGGTGCCAGAAGAACCTGAAATTGTAGACAGAACCATGTTCATATGTGATCATATGAGCTTTATATGTTAAAGAAAGTCTTCGCGTGGGTAAGGTGTGAGAAACATTCAGATTAGTAAATATTTTCTTTGTTGCCTTAGAATCTTCTAGGTATAATCCTACGGGAATTATTTTTTTTACAATTAGAATTTTCTGGGTTAAAGAAATTGCGTCAACGCGTCGGTTGGCTAAAGGGACATACACGATGGAATTCACTTATTTATTAGCTTGTTTCAGTTTATCACAATCTTCTCAGAATTCTTTCTGTCGAGTATTCGATTTCCAGAGCGTTGATTTTTCTCTAAGAACAAAATGTAAATGACTTTCAAACAGAAACAAGGACATGTTTTAGTTCGCAAGAGACTAAAACTTCAGTACAGCTGAAAATCAGGGTCTGGATAAGGAGGAGTAATCGCACAAAGTTGGGGATCTTTGAACAAACGCTAAAAGTTAAAATTTATTATTGAGCGCCATATTGACTACGTTATAATTCACTGATCATAAAGAATAAAAAGGGCGCCCTTTTTGCGTTTGAACCAACATTTCCGCTTTTGTTACTGAATAAATACCATTCATTTAGAAGAATTTATAACTATTCTGCTTTATCAATGAGAAATTCTTACCTTTTGGGCTCGGATCGCCCGGCATTATTAAACGAAGAGCAACTTGTGTAATAGATGGTAAGCTCCTGACGTGTCACTACCAATATGACGTCATAGTCACCGGAAGTCGTATAAACCGGAAGACGTACGTACGGACGAAAAATTTTTGTTTAATTCTGGGGACGCTAAGTATAGATGTTTCAAAGCAATGGGATGATGGAGTAAAATTTTTTAATGTAGACTGAATCGGATAATTTTTGAAGCTTGGAGACGAAATCTTTGAAAGGACAACTCTTTCGGAGCCTTTCCGAGCATTAACGAAGTTGGACGTTTTCATTCCTTTGCATCCGAACTCTTACGAACTTCAGTCACCAGTCTCCAAATGGAGTCAACATAACAAGATGTTTTTGGTCGGTGAACATGTCGCGTTGGGACATCCGTGTAAGCTTTCCTTATTCGTCGCTAAAGATTGGATAATGGGGTTTGTTTGAATCAAGGAAATATGGCAAAATCAGAGATTTTGAGCATTTTCTTTTCACTACTGGTGATAGCCCAAGAGGGTCGCGGTCAATCGCTCACTGGTAAGCCGCAAGTTTTGAAGACGGAACAGCGTTAGTCTAAGCTTAAGCTTAGTTACATCAACATAGAGTACTGAATTAGCTGTAAAAGGTGCACGCCCTTTCTCATAGAATTTTATTTCTTCGATCAACCTTAATTGCTCCATTTTTCTTATATCTGTCGCATTTAAGCCACTATGGAAGAAAATGTATGTGTCATGGTGAGAATCTTTCCGTCGTTAAGTAAAAGGCTTGGGTTTTCCTTGACTGAAAATCCGTAGAGGACAACTCAAGGCAGTTGTTGATTCATACTTCGAGATTTTTTTGGATATCAGGGAATTAGCAGTTTTCAAAGGGATTCTACATAAATGTTAGTGTGTAGTTTCTAGGCAGCTAGTTCCGGCCATAAGTTATGTAAACTATATATGACTTGGTGTCTTCTAATTGGACTTTGGGTAAATTCGCGATTTTACATGACTGTCCTTGACTGTTATGTTTGATAAAAGCTTATGGCATATCTTCTATAAATCCTGTGTGAAGATAGCATATAAATGAAGTTTAAGGAAGGTGTGATACAGTTTCAATTAAAGAAAGTTAAGGGAATTAGGCCATCTCACCCAGAATATTTTTCAAGTAAACTTTCCAAGTGAATTTGCCTTTCAAATGTTGTTCCTTGCAGTGGATTCACTTGACCCAGAGAATTAGCAAATTGTGTCAACAAACTAGTATTCTTTTAAAGTCAAACTGATGTTGCAAAACAAAATATGAATAACCACATTACAGCATTTTAATTAAAGCCTGAAATATTATGTGAGATCTATGCAGTCAAAAGCTTTAATGTGCTATAATTTTTGTTGTTGACCTTGAAGCTGGAGTTACTATGTACATCAATTTGCCATATTTCTATGCAAATAAGTTCTTTTTAAGCAGCAAACATTTTCCAACCTCATAATTTTTTGTTACTATTTAAGTATTCTATATTTTCATTCCTATTTTTTGTTTATAACTAAGTATAGATACAGAACAAAATTAAGAGGTTTTTTCACATTGACTATAAAATTTACATGGATTGTTTACACTCTGAACTTGGTTTTTGGATGATGATAAAAAATTAATAAAGAACATGTCAGGTTGAGCATCGGGTTTTCTACTGAACTTTGCCTTCACTGTTGTGACATATGCTGTAAGTCATTATTCAGTCCCGATAAATTCTTAATTTATTACAGAAATGTCAAAAGACAGTATAATGTTTCTGAATTCTAAAGCTGTTGCAGCTGTATGTGACCATTATCTAGGGGTATTTTAATTTTGACTTTAGAACTTTGGACTGGGACTGCAATTCTTTTGGTTTCTAAAATAAAAAAATTATTTTTAGCAATACATTTCAGTATGTCGATGATGACTTTCTTTTAGCCTGTGAGCAAGCTCCACCCGGAGCACTCCGGTGAGCTTGCTAGATGGCTATCCTTCTTTCTCTAATGACACACTGACCCATTGATTCTTTCTTCAAAAATGAAGATAGTATTATTTTTATTAGCGTGAAATAATTTGCAATATTTTTCCCTGGTAAGTGAGGTACTATTTTACTATCTGCGATTAAAATGATGTTATTGCATAACTTTTAGTATGATTGCGCAGTGACTCACAGTATGACTCACAGTATGCCAGTTTTGCGTTATATATAATATTCTTTCATGTAGATATTTGCAGTCATGAAAAACAGTTTTCAACTGTGTTTCAGTCAAATCTTTTTTTTAATTAAAAGATAGACACATCTAAGTGATATTTTTTACATTGCAGCTGGAGTTAATGAAATTTCTTACAAAGAACAGCAAGGATGTATTTAAAGTGTCCATATTTTTCTGGGAGGGGTGGGGTGGGGTTTATGAGGGTACAGTCTCTAACAAAACAAGGAGTCCACAGATTTTGAAGCTTGCCCAGCATGTAAGTCTGAGTGTACAAAAAGCTGGACTTTCCAGTCTCCTGAAGGGAAAAGCATGTCACTATGGGCCACCAGGGTACAGCCCAGAGTGGACTGTGTGCCTTAGCATCTCATTGTTGCATAGCTGTTGGACACTCAATGTTAACAGTCACAGCATTAAAAGTCAGCTGTTTCATCTGTGTTAGCATAGCATTGTTACCGAGGCTACATTCACGTGGTACCGAACAAATTTTCTACTGGCTAAAAGATTTGACCGAACACTTCGTCCGCACGGGACCATTTAATATTTTTGCTAAGTTCACACGGAACTTTGAAGAGGTAGGCATCTAAATTTTCATACAGTTAAGGAGGTTCTGTCAGTGGTGGATCCAAACCTTCAGATAAGAGTGGGAGGGGGGGGGGTCATCTAGACCCTGTTTCAGGCCTTAGTTTGGTCTAATAATAAGGGGGGGCCAGCCCTACTGTGCCCCTCCCCTGGTTCCGCCACTGTCTATGTGAACGGAACACTGAAACACGTGAATTTTCAACCAGTCAAAAATTCGTCCGGTACCTTGTAAACAAAGCCTGATTGCCTGATGACTCATATGCCTTGTTAGCTGCCTAGATTATGGCTGAAAGATCTGTTAACTGCCTAATTAGTAATTAATAATTATTACCGTCTAGCTGAGTGTGACATGGCTGTGTGCATGTATTAATTAATTATTATTATTGCAGTGCCAGTATGGTTTCCCCTACTATAATAATTTTACTTCAATCTTATTCTGACTTTTTTATCAATCTGTTTGTGCCAGAAAATGAGAAGTTGAATTTCGATGCTGTCACCAAAATACACTCTCACCTGGATGATGACAGGAATGGTAAAGTTGATTTGACTGAGTCAAATGAGGTTAGTGTACGCTAAATGTTGAGGTTGTTGCTTATTGTAACTAAGCTATCTCTGATACTTTCCTTTAACCTTCCTGAAAGTAAGGGTGGAGTAGGTAGATGAATCTCTGATGAAATAAGTGAAGAATTACACTATTATTTGCTTTTGTCATAATTGTAGATTGTATTTATGTATTCTATTCATGTCAGTTATTGGTGATTACCCTAAATCTTTATTCACGTCAAGGAGCATTATATTACAGTTCCCATTGTAAAAATTGTGCTCACTAACAATCTCCTCAGTAAAGTCCTAATTCTCAAAGGTTTTGTAACATGTTTCATTTTGTTTTAACCACATTTTAAAGTTTATGCGTGATGAGTTAGAAGTCACAGACAAGGAGCGGCATTCACACTTCCATGGGAATGATGACCTAATCTCTGTTGAGGAGATGTGGCAAAGCTGGGTACAAAGTGAAGGTAAGAATCATGTTATGAGTAAGAAGCAGCTGTTCCCATTACTAAACACCAAACAATAATTAAATTATTGTTATTTTAGGGATCCTCTTCTTCATTTCCAGGCTCCTCTTAATCCTGCATTATTATAGCCATGCCTTTGTTTATGTCCAGTTGGTTGGAACGATCCTGTTGTGATCAGATCAGTCAATTTGCCATCAGGAGGAAGCATGGCCAAGTGGTTAGAGAATAGCCCATTTTACAGTTGCGGGTGAAAACGAGGCTGGAGTTGACCTTGTTTTGATACAGCCCTTCCTGCTTTATTATGTAAATCATGTATTTCTTATGCTAACTAGTATTTTTCAAGCAAAATTTACATTATAAAAGGAATGAGGTTTGTATCAAAACAAGGTCAACCTCAGCCTCACCTTCTCTCAAAGGCTAGGGCACCAAGCCCACAGCTGTAAAATGGCCTATTCAGAGTCCCCAAGTCCCGAGATCAAATCCTTGGCCATGCCAAAATGTTCGTTTTGTGGGACTAATTAGTCTGTTATTAATATTGCTCAGTCACATTCTACTATATATTTGACCACACTGGTTATTTATTGTTTTTGTCTGTTGAGAATAACCAGTTAAAATCAAAACAATGCTATTATTGTTTTGGTTTACGTTAATTTACAAGCTGTTTCAAATGCAACTAGACTACTGTCTTTCAATCATCTAACTTGATGCACGGTTTGCAAATTTTATTGATGAGTGGAGTCACTGTGACTTCTGCTTCACAAATTTTGGAGTCATTTTGGAATACTTGGAGTCAAGTATCACAATAAAAAAAGCCATTTTTAGACTTTCCAGCACGTGGTCCTGGCATGTATACACTATCGTGAGGGATACACTAAGTAGCTGTGGCGGTCCGCTGACCTGGAAAGCTCAAATCCATGATGGCGGTCATCGAGTAAACTTTGATCGCACTTTACGGCCCTCTTCCTGTTTTTGTCGTGCAGTATAATTCTTTAATTTTGATGATTTAATTAAGGTTAACAACGTTTACAATTAACGTAAATTGTGTTTGTTGCGAAAAAGGTAAGGACAAAACTGTGTTAGTTACCGAAAATTTCTGGAGTCGAAGTGGCTCCCTGTTTGTTACCGAAAATTTCTCGAGTCGAAGTGACTCCCTCTGTAACCTCTATGGAGTCATCTGAACAATTTTGGCGTAAAATACGCCAAATTTGGCGTATTTGCGAACCCTGTTGATGTCATGTGTTTATTGCAGTTCATAATTGGACAACTTTGGAGGTTGTTGACTGGCTCAGAAACTCTGTGCATCTTCCAAAATATGCTGAAGTCTTTACGGACCTGTCTATCAATGGATCAGTCATTCCACGGTAAAAGGATTTTTTTTACTACGCAGTGCTTTTAGAAAAACTGTGGTGTTGTGAGCTCAAAAATGGTTATCTAAGGGCAAATTCGAAAGAAAGTCTCATTTGGTTCCTTGAAGTGCTGCTTGCCCTTTCAATGAAACATGGTCAAAGAGAGATGGTGCACTCTCTTAATATATGCTTCCTACAAACTAGCTACTGTTAATAATTTAAACAAGTAAAATTGTATTCCTCGTATTCCTCATTGCAATTAACTTTTCAGCAATGGGTGGTTAAACTTAATTTTGTAGACGTGTTGTAGGCATACCAGTCGCATGATTTACTTGGCGAGAAATATTTTCCAATTAAATATCAGTATGTTCTGCAACCCATCCTTGTGTCAACCGACATGGTAGTACTTCAAGTATCAAAGAAATTATTAGAATTTTTCTGTGAAATTTCAGCTTGATTCAAGCACACGTGTGTAAGATGACATTGTCACAGCTGCTTGGATAAAATAACAGTGTTTATATTTTCATACCATCTTAGTTAAATCCAAACAATAAAGGTTTATAACAGGTAGATCAGGGTGCAAAGAAAATCATTTTTACAGCTTTCCATTCAGGCAAGCTGAAGCTAACATTTACTAGCCCAGACGTCATTTCAACTAACCCCAAAAACTTTTTGACTAGCAGAATTGATTCTTCTGTTCTTCAAATTCCTCAAAAAAGATCAGTTGCCAGTCGGGCAAGTTAAAAACAGAATTCACTAGCCCGATAGCAAAATCCACTAGCCCCGGGCTATCGGACACTACTTTCTTTGTACGCTGTAGATGAAGGTGTAGGATTATGTGGCCATAATCATCCAAATACGCTAAAAGTAAATTATTTATTCTAATTATTGATGAAAATTTTTAATAAAATTTATTGAAAATTTTCGTCGTTAAGTTAAAAAAATTAAGCGTTATTAATTTACACTTCTGAATAACAGGACTTTTGACATTTTATTTCTGCATTTTTAAGCTGACTGAAAATTTTATGGCTTAATGTTAGGTGCTTCTAAATTGGTGCAAATTAAATCCTCTCTTATTGTTTTATATTATTATACATTGTTTGTCCTTTTGTTAAAGTAACACAACTGTTGTGCAGTTGGTCGAGAGGAAACCATATAAATATGTTTCATGTTTATTGATTAGAGCAACTGTGTACTACAGGTGGTTGCATTGTTAGTGAAATGAATCTGGATTGAACTCTCAATTCTCGTTATTCATGAACACTTTGTCAATCACATTAGGTTTTAAGAATTCATCTTTAAATCTCCAGCAACAAAGTATTCTTGCCTTCAATGAACTGTATTCATTTTTTCCAAATACTTGTTTGTTGTGGATGAGAACTTTGTTGCACACTAAGTTATTTGTGTGCTGTGGATTGTGATACATTTTGTTTTTTTTTTTCTAATCCTTGCATGCAATTTTTTCCTATTTTTGCATAGTATAAATTAGCTACAATTTCACACATGGTGTAGCTTTATTCCTTATTTGGGATAGTTTAGGCTTCTGTGTTTTGTCATAAATTTAACCAAGCTATTTAATGCTCATTTGTGATGAACAGGCTGGCTCTTCAGGAGAATGGCTTGCTGCAAGACGAACTGGGGATAAAGGATCCAAAACATCGCAAGAAGATCAGCTTACGTGCCATGGACATTGTCCTTTTTGGCCCTCCATTTGGTAAGTCATGATCTGTTTCTTTTTGATATTTGGTATAAAAACCCAGTCAAGAAAACTAAAAGCAATAATTATTGCTGTTGTACATGTACATGTACTTTGTAAAATAGTATGGAAAAAGAGTAAAGGTTATTTTGCTTCATAAAACTAATTTACAAGCCTTGAGCTAAGTTTATCCCTCATGTTCTTACTCTAAGTTTCAGCAGCAAAATATTATAATATTATCAGTCCTTGTAGAAAGTAAATTCTGCTACAATTTGCTAAAGAAATGGTTTGAACATCAAGGTTACAGCAGATCTTTAGAGGTGTCTCATGGGTGTGGTTATATTTTGTGATTCTTTAATTTCTACAATGTTCTTATCTTGCAAATTTATGTTATTGGTCATGAATTTTATTATTTTCAACTTGAAATATAATTTTGCAGGAACATTTTTACTGCTTTTCCTCTAGTGTGCCTTTTGTTTGACATTTTCTATAATTTAGTAATTATTCTGTTGCAGTAAGGTATCTGGAAACAGCCCAATTTGCATGTATTTTCCTAATTTCAATATTAATGTTATGTATTCAACATTCAACAGGTGGTAGTTCATCCTTATAATATGGTGTTATGCATGCTTTCAAATCTATAAGGCTTACAGTCTAGATAAAATAATATTCTACATGTTTAGTACACAAATTTTTAGCTTAATGTTCATCTTTTACCAACAATGTCCCAAATAATTACTTACAGTATCACTGCAATAGTATTATTACAACCTGTGCCTGAATATCTGTATTCTTGGCCTGAGTTATTGATGGGTTTATGACATGTTGATCAAGATAATGCTGTACAGAAACTGTAAACTGCAAAGTCCACATAAAAAGATTATTATGGTTGAAACAAAGGTAAAGCCAAGTTTTATGTAAAGTTTCTTGACTAGGTATAGGAACATGTAACAGGTAGTGATGTTAGGGACAAGGAAGGCTCAAGATTAATCAGGACATTCTGATCAAACGTGAGAATATAATCACTGACTAGACTACCAAACCTTTATACCAAAAAAATAAATTAATGCACTTACATTGACATAATATTTTTCATTTTTTATTTTTATTGCCAGTGTCAGGACACAGTCTTCTGAAGGATGTTGTCGTGGCATTTTCTGTGCTAGTTGCAACTGTTGGTTGCTGGGTCGCTGTGTTGCAGAAACGCAAAGCAAAAGAACAAATGGAACGAATGATGAAGGACATGAAAATCCTGCAACAAGCTGAGGATGGTCTTCAAGAGCTGCAGCTAAGGTACCATTAGTTTTAACTTTTACCACCGAGAACAATTATTTTTGATCATTATCAAGTCTAGGATTTTTATTTTTCATATGGATTTTTTAAGGTATTGTAAAGCCAGGGTTGTCAGAAAGTTTTGAAGTAGATGGCTGAGTTGTCAAAGTAAGCGGCTAGTCCAGGGATATTTTATTTAATAAATCCCATCTGTAAAGAAATGCTAAGCAGAGTAGCTGGGCGATACCAACCAAATAGGCGGCGATTTTCGCCGGCAGTCAGCTACTTTTGACAACCCTGTAAAGCATTTAGTGCTGAAAAGTATAAGCACTATATATCACACATTTTGTTATGATGATGATTATTTATTTAAGTACAACACTGGTGATGGTAGATTGTCAAATCCCTGGTAATGATGTGGTTTATTATAACGAGTTATTATTTTTGATTCTCTAGACTAGCTAAAGCTGAGGATGATCATCAGGTGGCCATTGCAGAAAAAGTTGATTTAGAGGCAAGGTTAAAAGAAGAGCTTGAGATGACAAAGGTATTCTGTTGTTTCCTTTTATATAACTTGTTTATTCTCTGGCTCAAATAATTCTCAGTTCTTAAACCAGTAAATGCTTTTGCACTAAAACTCACCTGAGGACCCCTCAAGAATACCTGTTGTGCTGGGTAGTTCATCTAGTACATTAGTAACTGCACTGTGGTAGTGGCCAACCCAAAAGCTTTGCTCCTTTGGCCACTACACACTTTTCCAGTGAATATTTATTGTAACATGTATACTAGCTCTGATTTTCTTCTTTTTTAGTTCGTATTATTATTGTATTTAGGTACTTTTTTGAATAAGTGAATAAACTGAACTTGAACTTGAAGTGTGGTGACAATATAAATTGGCCTCTTGTAACATTATGTTTAGCTGTTATGTACTTTTTTATCAATATTAATTCTGAAATAAAACATTTTTTGTTGCCTCCTCATACAAAGCATGAAGCACAGCTGTTATCAGAAACTCGCACAGGAACGGAAGAGCAGTTACAAAAGTTCAAGCTTGCAGAGGAGGAACTAGCTCAGGTAAAAGTCTCTGCTGGGTTGTGATATTGAGCATGTTTTTGGTAAGAGTTTCAGTAACTTTTGAAGAAGGTGACAGTATCGTAAGTTTTCAAGTAATGATTGATGCAAACTAGGCAGCAACACAACAGAAATATGCCTATAGCCAGTAAGGTGTTAGGGGGTTGCCATGTCATTATTATTGAAAGCCCCATTGGGCTGATATTACAGGGCTTGAAGCAAATTTAAATTTCATCCCGTGCTCAAATTTTTCTTGGCCAGGGACATTACATCCTTGTCTAAGTTTATGATCTAAATACACGATGACTTGCTGCGACCTTTTCCCATGGGGTTAGTAAGTATGTAAATTACTTGCTGAACAGAAAATCTACCTGCACTTGTCCCAGACAACTGGACCAGAATTTTTGCAAGAACTGTGTTTCTAAACTTTATTTTATGTTACGTCACTGGTTTAGGTTCGTCGAGCTTTGAGGAAAGCTGAAAAAGAACTTGAATACCAGACGTGGAAGGCTCCACCTGCTTTGAAACAGTGGCTTCAAATAACATTTGATAAAGAAACCAAACACTTCCAACATAAGAGAGCCATAGCACTGAAGCAGATGAAGGAAGCTAAAGAAGCAGTAAGTGGAGATGTAAATCCGTCTGTTGAGAAATTATTGAGCTATAGTTTGTTTCTTGATCTTCACCAAACATCAAAAATTTAAGTAGCATTTTTTTCAATTTAATTTATTTTGTTGATGCTTTCTGATGGCTACACTGGTTTAAGTAATATAATACTAAGAACAGAGAGAGCTCAAGCACTCATGACAATGAAGGCGACAACAACAAAAAATATTGGTTTAATGAGCAAAACAACAGCTCTGAACATGCATCAAACTTTTTGGTACATTTTGGTGATATCCACGTGGTGCTACAACATAAAACTTCTGATTACAATTTGAACATGGATACTTGAGAATTCAACACACTAGGGAAAAATTGCCTACATTTTACAAATTGAAGGAGGTTAAATAATGAAAGAATGCACTCCAAACATTCACTGCTGTCATAACCATTTATAATAGTAATAATAATAATGATAATGATGATGATGATGATGGTGATGATAAATTTTGGGAAAGAAAAAGATATTTATTTATTTATTTATATGTTATAATTCACAAAGGTTTCCCATCACTGTGAATGTGCAAATAATAATAATAATAATTATATAAAACTATTAATTTCACTGAAGTAGAAAAAATATATATTCAGTCAGAGCACTATTTTCAAGTCATTTCATTTCATAAGCTCCTGTTCATTTCGATAGTGGTGATAATGATTATAATTAATATTATTATTATCATTTTAAAAGCTCCTTAATAACAAATATATAGCAGCAGGTGTTCAGTACTATTTGTACATACTTCTCATAATTATTTACGTATGGCACATTACTTTTTCTAGTGTGAAAGAATAAAGAAAAAACGCAACAGTTTAATTGGATCACTTCGCTTAGCTCATGATTTGTCCATTGATGAAGTTGATCAGAAGATTCTAAGTGCAAGGTAAGTTTTGATTATCTGACATTATTGATTGACTGTTAAACCTAAAATCCTCATGGGCTTTTACAGGAGCAGCTAAGAGCAATATAGTCATTTATCGTGGAACAGATGGCATGATGATGGCAATCAGTTTTTTTTCATTTATTTCGTTACAACAACCCTGAGCAATATCTCTATACTTAAGTAAAATTATTTTATCTGTTTCATGAAAACGTCAAGTGAGACCAAAAGCTGCAATTTACACCTCTAGGCGAGATGACAAGCATTCCTGTCCATTTCATATGGACTCCTCTCCTCCCATCAGGGCTATAAGAAAGCTCAGTGTTACTCGTGACAATAAATGATTGGGGAATCATGCAATCAATTTTCACCCTTCTTGATTTTTGCAGATCAGCTCTTGCTGAGGTCACCAATGAGCTAGAAGAACGACAGCAGCGATGGTCTCAGATAGAATCCCTTTGTGGATTCCAGATTATGTCGCAAACCTCATTTGGTATCGGAAAAGGCAATGGGACGCGGCCACGAACTGGATCTGCCATTGCACAAGCACTTGTTAATGTTGCCAACGTGGCTGGTGTAAGTTCAGGAAGAAAAATCTCATCCAGCGCAAGTCCTTGGAGTGCACTGGCTGAGGGCACTAGCCAGGCAGAGAGCAAGGACGATCTTCCACCTACTTATTCTGCTGTAACTGCTAACTTAGCTGCGGCTGATGTGGTCAGTGAGAAGCCACCTAGGGATAAAAAAAACTCGGCTGACTTAAAGTGTGATGGTGATAACTGTAGTGATGTAGAGGCAGATGTTGGAAAAACAACTGAGATTAGATGTTCTGATGCAGACAATGGTCACCCTAGTTATCAGCTTGGTTCAACAGCTATGATAAATGGCATTGCAGAGTCAGAAAATAAAGATCATTCTTTAGAACACCTTGTGTCATCATGTGGAGTGTCAGTGGAAGAAGAAACTGCACTGAATGGCAGCAGCTCCTCTGACTATCCTGCTGGCAAGCACAAAAAGAGACTGAGCTGGTTTGGAAAGCGCCAGGACTCCACCACAGAAAGTGAATCTTCAGCTGCTGAGAATGAGGAAGAAACGAGAAGGAAGATTAGATGGCTGTGGAGGTCGGCCATTCGCAAGTCCAAGGCACAGAGAAATGCAGCAAACAAAGGTGATGTTGGGTTACTAAAAGCTGCATCAATGGAGAAATTGAAGTCGGGATAAATGCCTGTTGGACTCAAGTTAAAGTTAATTGCAGAACAACTTTTAGTTGTTTCTTCCAGATGAGGAAGCATTCATTCACAGAGCCTCAAGCCAGTTGTCTGGAATTTGACACAGATTGTCTCCTAGAGTGGACAGTCAGGAAGGCTCCTTGTTCATGCAGTTTAGGAGCTCAGTGGTGTGTTTAAGCTTAGTAACTTTAAAAGGTTCATATTCTGGTTGTGTTGATGGTTGACCACTGTTTATAACACAGTAAAACAAGGATGCTAGATCTGGGAAGAGATGAGAAAAATTCAGTTAGACATAATGCCTGTTTCCTTTGTTGGAAGAAGATTGTGTACTTAAATTTTTCTCTTAGATCAAGTTTATTCAAATCATGTTTTCTTTTCCTGTTTTGAGATAAGACATAAACAAGAGAAAGGGATATATTTCTGGTTTTTGTACATTAAATTTGCATAATAGTGACTTTAAGTTTCAGAGGGTTTTCACTTACAAAATCTACAGCTAAACAAAAAAGAAAAAAATGGTTTTATTTAATATAAAAGTTTTAGAAGTGTTAATATTATTGCACTGAATGTGCTCAGAGACAAAATAATATAAGTTTCATTCATCAGTATTTCTTATTGGGAGAGATATATTTTTGGTTAACTGTAATTAGGTTGTTTTATCACATTTTAAGTAGTTGTGTAAGTAGGGAACACTGGTGCATTAAATTTGGAGGTGGGAAGAGAGGAGGGGTTGTGTACACATTCCACGGAAAATTAAATCACCCTTTGATTCACGACAATTTAGAGAAAATAACTGAGGGTTTAAAAACTCAATGGGAGGAGCTCCCTGATTTCTAGAGAAGAGAATGTCTACTCGTACAATAACGTGACTGTATAGCAGGATCTAGAGAGGGAAGGGGGGTTGAGGTTCTGCCGAGGTCTAAGAAGCCTGCTCAAGTCTTAACCTCTATGATAGTATCATTTTAGGGCCTTAAGCCACGCAGTGCAAGTTACTTGTGGACTTTAAGATGCGAATGTTCTTTTCATGGCAATTTAATTGTTTCCTTCAGTATTTTGTAAAGAATATGTTTAATGATTATGATTGTTGTTTTCTAGCATTCAATACGATGACTTACAGTATACCTAAAGGTGTATATGGTACGACAAGAAAGCATGCTTTCATATTTATTTTAACTTGAATATTCATTTTGTTGGGCAAAGTCTTTATCCAGGGGGTCTCAATAGTGATGAAAACTGATTAAAATTCCCTCTTGAGAGTTCAAACTTTTCACGAATGGAGCTAATATTTGGTATGCCGTAGAAAGAATATTTAAGATTCAAAATATTTTGTATTTTGAGGCCCTTGTGGTTAAAACCTGTTTTTGTCTCACAAAGGATGACAACCATTTGTCGTGCAATATTCATGTCATACCATAAGTAAGTGGTCATACAACTTCATTGTACTGAGTGTATTACAGACTAATTAACATTCATCTTAAGAGTACTGGTGCATGAGAATGGTACACTGTAAATGCTTCACTTCCATCGGCCAAAAACACTTTGTTTCCCTGTGAGAAAAGGGTTTTTTTTGTTTGTTTGTTTCCCCTTTTTTTAAATTATTATTGTAAACCTCTAGTGCCATTTAAAACACAAGTCACAAATCAATGGTGTTTACTGATCATACATACTCTCTAAGAAAGAACAAAGTAATGGAATCACTTAATTTTCATTTTTAACGCAACTGTGGTTTGGATATGTTTTTTCTGATTATTACTTTTGATTTCTCCAAAGATTATTGGAAGATTCCCTTGAATTCTCTTGAAAAAAACAATGTTACTGCAAACTCAGATGCAAAGCTAACTTCTCAATATTTTGATTGACAATGGAACATGTCTCTTAAATATTGACATTACTATACGCTGAACAGTTTCTTCAGAGAACTGGCTTGTGGTTAGTGCACCATTTACTTTACACTCTGAGCCCAGATGACATAAAGTGAGCCAAATACATGAAACATGGTGACACGATTAAAATTTATAGCTAGAAAACTATCACAGAAAGCATTTTTTTTCTTCATGTGTTGTTACTTCATCAGTGTATAATTTGTAAGGTAATTTTATCCACTCAGCGGTCTTCATGCTTGATCACACAAAGTTTTCTTCAAAATTTTTGGGGCACCTATTGTCAGTTGTTTGTCATTAAATACTTGTGTTTTGGTTTGTGAAACATATTTATTTGTGGATTTCTACGTGGCAATAAAATAAGTTGAAGGAGAGGCGGCAGGGTGGGGGGTTATAATCAAGCTTTCCAGTTACTTAAGATAAATATTTTTATGGCAGTATCTTTATCGTAATTTTGTGGTTTGCACCAACATTTGTGACGTAATGGTTTTACAAAAATAAAGACACTGTAAACTTAGTATTTATTTCTTGGTATTAATAAAGACGAGGAAAGCTGAAATAGTTCCTGTTGCTGTGCTTTGTTCTTGAAATTTCTTTAATGTAATAGTATATGCCAGTGCTCAAAACATTCATCCTCTGTAAGCCAGGGCTCTGTGCTAGCAACACCCCAGTGGAAAGGAGGTACTCCCTACATTGGCCTTAAAAGGGCCAGGGGAGGCTACACCCAAAGGGGGTACCTCTTTCAGGCTTTAGGTATATGAAAGGGTAGGGATTTCACTTGTTGAATTTATGAAAGTGAAGAGAAATCTGTCATTTTGGTCTGTACAAATTACTGCCCAACAGATGCATTTTGTGGCTATGGTAGAAAAAGGTAAAGGCGCATATGAGCCAAAGGCCCAAATGGCTGCAGCTTATCCTGGTTTCCTTAGCATGAAGCATGCCTGGGAGTATTGCTACTTCTCCCTGGACGGGATACCAGTCCATTGCAGGGTTACACCCCCCCCTTGGCAGTATGTCACTAGTACCCATTTTTACACCTAGGTGAGGAAAGACAACGAGTAAAGTTCCTTGTCTAAGGAAACAACACAATGGGCCGAGCTTGAACCCTGGACCTCCAGATCCGGAGTTCGAGGTGTTAACCGCTAAGCCACACATGCCTCCCTATGGCATCCAGGTTTTGTGAGTTATTCATATTCAAAGGACAGTGAATTTCCAGCAGTTAAAAGGGATGCATTGTTGTAAACAAGGCTTGTGAATGGGGTACCATTTGTCAATAGAGGTTGTACAAAAGGGGTACCCATTCTGTCAAAAATGGTACATAAAAGGGTAAGGGTTGGACCTCTGGGCGGAGTCCCCCTCGTACTAAATTTGGTTGAGTTCGGCCCCCTTGGGCCTATATTGTACAGGTTCAGAGCTTTAAAAGCACAAACTTGTAAGATTTGGCTCTTCAAAGTAAATGACTCTATCAACTTCTTTTATGAACTAAAAATCACTAGCCCTCTTGAACCAACAGTTTTTGGCCAGGAACTATGATAATTTATTCATCCATTGTTTTTCTCTAAAGCAGTATTACAATCATTACAGTTTTTTTGGTTGGGTCACAACAACATATTGATCAAATTGTCTTTCCAAGAGTCAGTGAGTGCTCCATCCACAGGACTGATTAACCAGTGCCTACGTAAGAACAGGTTTTTCCAGCTTTTTTTATGGTTTCCAACAACTCGTCAGAAGACAGAGCAGATGTTACATACACTCGCTGTTTTTCCATGTCAATTTCAATGTTGTCAATACCCCCTGGTAAAAAAAAAGAGAAGATTACAAGTAACAATAATGATAATACTGTTATTTATCCTCCGCTGAATTTATAGCATTAATGCTAATGCGGCTGAGCAAATGCATGAAACAAATAATTTAAATCAAACATAACAGCATCAAGATTCCTAAATGGCTGGACGGAAACCAGCCAGCTATTTACAAGCATGGCTGAGGATTTAAACTCGGGACTATCCTGAACAAATTTAGCTAGTGGTCACAATGAGACTTGAACTTGGGGCCTCTGAATTGCAACTTCGGCAGTCTAACCACTCGGCCAGGCTGAAATGGTTAGATTACATCTGATCACAGTGCCCTATAAGCTAACTTTGAAATTGAAAAACACCTTATCTCTTTAAGCCCCAAGATCCACATACAAATTCTCCATATCAACCTCCATATATTTCTTTGAAGAACTACTTCAGAGAATTTCAAGAAAGACCAATGTGTTTTCACTTAGGTGATCAGTTGATTTACTCTCATAACCTTTTCTCTTGATTTTGTTTTGATGTGGAAGGAGAAAATTGATGTTGTGTACCTTTTTTATTCAGCACACGGGTGACAGCTCCAGAGCAGCCTCCACATGTCATTTCCACCTGAAACTCGTGACGCTAGAGGGTTAAGAGAATAAAAAGCAAATAAATTATTTAACTTGGACACTGAAAATAGGTGCAGAAACTGTTGGAAGGATGTCCCTCCACACAAAACCCACAGTTGACCTGGATCAATATGGGTATGTACTGTTAACCTGCAAAAAAATATATGAAAGGGTGCATACAGGCGCACTGGATTTTCCGGGTGGTTTTTCTTCCGGGCACATGAGGGCACACTGGACGTTAATGGGTTAAGAAAGAAGTGACTCAAAATAAAGCGTTGTATGAGAAGGCTTTACCCCAAGGTCCCTTTACCCTTTTTGGTGCCACCATATCATTTTTGACAGAAAGGTAGCCTTTTCAAATATTTTCCATTGGAAAATGGTTACCCTTTCACATGCTACATGAAGGCATTTTGCAAACCTTGGGAACAAAGTTAATGAATGATATGATGGGAGAATATCCAAATTAAAATGATACTGCACATAACATGCAACTGTACAAAATATTTTAATTAAAAGCCCTTTTTAATTCCTACATGACAAATTTCCCTGTTCTTTCACATACTTTAACTAGTGACATCCCTACCCTTTAAAATACCTGAACTCTGCAAAAGGTACCCCCCCCACTCCCCCCTTTAGGGCAGAGACTTCCTGTTCAGGTTGTAATAGGGAGTACATACACCACACCATATGACTCAGGAGCCCCTGGATCCCTCAATCCACCCCGTACAATTTCACTGCTTCACCCACCCACCCACCATCTGTATGTTTTGTACTTCCTTGTTTGAATACATTAGCAAGAAAGCATATTTTGATCATCTAGAATCGAAACTGTTTTCATCTTCATTTCTCAGTTAAAATCTACTGTCAAGAAAACTCTCAAATATGAACGTGTGTTGGTTATCAAGGTTCGAATCAAAATGTTTTAACACCAAGGGTTCACTCAATCGCTGTGTTGCCTTATTAGCTTTGACAGAAACATATGCTTTTGCTTTGAAAGCTCTAAAGAAAGATAATGGCAAATTTCGAATGAAAAAGGTCAAAGTCTGGGTAGCGAATAAACATCTGTTGACATATTGTTGAAAGGAAGATACAACGTAATCAAAATAGCATTGTAAAGACATCGTCATCAAAGAAGAAGAGCAATCAATGCATGGGAGATGTTTGGTCAGCTCTGATTTAGATATTTTCGCTTTCCCTTCTGTCTTAAACTGACCTAAAATGATTTCTATGCTAAGTTTATGGCAAATAGAGAAACTTACACATTTACAATCACAAAATTATACTTACAGAAGCCATTGCACGAGAACAAAAGCACTTGCGTGGCTTTCACATGTAACGAGTGTAACTGCAAGACAGTCTGGGAAGTGAGACGCCCGATCACGGTTCAAGCTAATCACCAGGCTAGGGATGGGAGGGAGCCGCATTCGTTTGGTCAAAATGGTTTTATAAAACATTCCATCTCTTCCATTTTCAAATAATCAAATGTTTCAAAAGGCTGAACTTTATTGCATGATTTTTTTTGTTTATTTTTCTAGAAAAATCAAGATTTAAATTACACTATGTTACCCAATGTAATTTTCCTTCTCCACCCATTAATAAAACCCCGACAAAACACTTCTTCACTCTACCCCTGTTATGTCACTTTCACAACAGGCGCAGAGTGTGACACAATCGTCTTTCAAAGATGGAGGGGTCAGTCGAGGTGATTGTCATAGGTGGCGGAATAAGCGGTCTCTGTGCGGCTAAATTACTTTCTTTAGAGTATGGAGTTAGTGTTGTTGTGCTGGAAGCTAGGGATCGTGTTGGAGGTCGAACTAATACTGTAGAAGATCCTAAATTTAAATACACCGATTTGGGAGGTGCCTACGTTGGTCCAACACAGAACCGAATTTTACGCGTTGCAAAAGAGCTTGGAGTGCAAACATACAAAGTCTACAATGAAGGTAAAACCGTTGAGTTTCTAGGAGGAAAACGGCGAGTTTTTGCTGGCGATGTTTCCACATGGAACCCTATCGCCATTTTGGACTACTACCACATGATTCGCACCTTGGATAAAATGGGTGAGGAAATCCCATTAGACGAACCCTGGAAAGCTCCTAAAGCTACAGAATGGGACAGTATGACGGTGAAAGAGTTCCTCGACAAGACCTGCGGGACCACGTATACCAAAAAGCGAATGGCGCAGATTTACAATGACGCAATGGCGGCAGAACCACAGGACATGTCTTTGTTGTATTACTTGTGGTATCTCAAATCAGGCGATGGGGTTCTTAGGGTTGCTGCTGTTGAAAATGCCGGTCAAGAAAGGAAATTCATAGGAGGATCCCAACAAATTAGCAATCGAATTAAAGACAAGCTTGGAGATAGGGTGAATTATCTTATCTACTTATTGTTAAAAAAAATATAGTGGAACCCCATCTGCATCCAAGGGGTGGAGTCCCACCCCTTGCTCTAAGGATGGTAGGTTTTTGAAAATGGCCACTTTATTTTAACATTTGCCAAAAGGTGTGACACAACATTAATTCTCCAAATTTCAATTTTCAAAGGGCACTGATGAAACGTTGAGGGCTGGGAATCTAGCCGTCTGCGGAAGGCGGGTTGCAGATAAAAAATGGAATGTCCCCACAGGGCCACAAAAACGTGGTGGATATAAGAAGGTGGTAACGTTATCAAGATTTTCAGATAAGAAAAGGACTAAGTTTTCGAACTTTTTTGTTGTAAGAACAGATTATCAGAGTGGTCATAACGTTGGTTACCAGAAGAAGTTGTCCAGCAGAACCTAGCAAAGCATGGGGGTAGGGCGGTTGTCAACTGGTAATTAGTGGTGAAAAAACAAAAGGAAAAAAAAAACAAGTGCAAAAGGGAAAAAATAAATGGAAAGCTTGAATTAGCCAGGACTCCAACCAAGTTGGGATGACGTGACAGGGTGGCAGCTCTGCCACAAGGCCACAAAATTCTAGACCCTCGATAAGCTTGTCGCAAGGAAACTTCAGACACCAACCCAAAATGCATATTATAAGGGCCATTAGGATTTGACCTTACTAAGCGATCAACCCTCAATTCAAATTCTGTAATAAAGAGATGACATGAGTTTCCTAGTTGCAAAAATTACTCACACCTTATTACTACCTGCTATATTCACTTCTACATGCAGTAAACCACCTGCAGCAATAAGCAAGAAAATCTGTGTTAATCTTGCAGGTTATTTTAAACAGTCCTGTTTGTCGCTTGACACAAGATGCAAACAAAGTGGTTGTCACCTGTGAAAATGGTAAACAGTATCAAGCACAGTTTGTGATAAGTGCAATGCCACAAGCTCTTCTCAACAGCGTGTCATTTGACCCACCCCTCCCTCCCTTGAAAAATCAGCTGATTCAGAGGATACCTATGGGTTCAGTCATCAAGACTGTCACATTTTACAAGGAAGCATTCTGGCGCAACAAAGGGTTAGATGGAGTACTTATATCTGACGCTGGTCCCTCATATGTTACCGTTGATGATACAAAACCCGATGGGTCATATCCAGCAATAATGAGGTCAGTGCAAAATTCCCTGTTAGCTCCAACAGTTTTGTGTTTTGCTTGATGGTTCCCATAACATAAAACATATTATTTAAAAAGCAACTTCTAAAACAGGTAACATGTTTATGGTGGAAGTGCAGTTGGCCCTCTAATCAAATAATATAAGAGACAAAACTCAAATAAAATGTAAGAAACAAATCCAGCAAGTGGTCAGAGCAGGAGTCAAACCCAGGACAGCTGGTTTGCAATTCCGACATGCTGTCCACATGGCCACCCGGCCACCCGGCCCCTTCAATTTTGGAGTAGTACATTCAATCCTCTCTAAAACAAACTATTCATAATCCCTATTTTTCCTTGAGGCAGCCGCATTGATTTAATTTAATCTGGGTGGGTTGACTCTGTGAGAACAGGGATAGAAGAGGATATCACTAGGGGATGGAATTTTCTTGCTTTGAGACACCCTCATCCCACCTTCCCATGGTCAATTTGCATTTATCTCCTTGGATTATCCCAGCCTTGTGAAATCACATTGGTGACCCACAATAATGTGATAATGGATATATGATAAGTATTATTGCAAATTTTTGCCTCAATCTGTTGTTTTTAGTTTTATTATTGGTAATCAAGCACGTTATTGGTGTACAAAGACTCAAGAAGAAAGAAAGCAAGCAGTTTGTCAACAGTATGCCAAAGTATTTGACAGCAAAGAGGCCCTTCACCCATATCATTACATCGACAAGAACTGGCCAGCAGAGAAGTACTCTGGGGGATGTTATGTCAGCATTATGCCCTGTGGTGTGATAACAAATTTTGGAAGAGCTCTGCGTGAACCAATAGGCAGAGTTTATTTTGCTGGAACAGAAACTGCTACTGTCTGGTCAGGTAACAGATGTTTTAAGAATTATATCATTTTTAACAAAGGGGACAGGGCAAGGATCCGGTTTGTTATTTTTTAACCTCTGTATCGGTATTTCTAGCAAAGAAATAGAAGTCACAATGATCTCTATTGATGAAGGGATGATCTTAAAGATTAAAGCCACAATCGCTTTGCAGCGTCAATCAAGTTTGACACCATCAGTTGGACAATGATGGCAACGAATCCTGCCAAAAAGTGCACTGCACCTTTAGAGTAATATTGTTTTGCATTTCTCTCATTTCCATTGTTCTTGTGGTTGCACTAAACTTGTTAGTAGCATTACCTTGCAAGGCAATTCTTGATATGCAACAATTTTGGCTGAGAAACCGACAATTTGATGGGAAGAAAGCAACAAAATCAACATCCGCAGGTATCCATACAGAGGCTTATTTTACCATACCCCATTGGAGGAAATATCTTTAAATACACAGGTTTGTTGCCAAGTAGGCAATAAGTTTTATGTTCACAAAATGCAGACTATGCAATATTTATTCCTAACTACAGAGAGCTTATGGACACATCTGTAATCCAACCATTTTCCAGTAACTTGAATATTTAATGTTCAGAAACTTTTGATATTTAACAACAGTTCGCAGTTTTTCTGAATGCTAATGCTAATCATTTTAGGGTACATGGATGGTGCAGTACAGGCTGGTGAAAGAGCTGCAAGGGAAGTGCTCTGTGTGATGGGTAAGATATCACCACAGGAAGTCCATCAAACAGAGCCTCCATCACAAGATGTTCCTCCTGTGCCTTGCTGTCTGACGACATTTCAAAGCTTGCTGCCAACTGTTCCCATGTTTTTAACCTCTATTACAGCAGTTGCCGCTTTAGTTGGTAGCATTTCATTGAGACATTATTTAAAATAGGTTTTCTGAAAATTTATAGCAAGAAGAGCTTAGTTATTATCTTTAAATTCCAATTTTTGGTGCTGTCTTGTAATGGGCAGGGTTTTCAGTTTTAAATAGGATTAATAAAATTGGTCAAATTCTAAAAAAAAAAATTGGTCAAATTCTAAAAAAAAATTCACCACACAAAAGTATTACAAAATCATAAATCCATCCATCATGCGCGTGGTCATTTTCGTGTTTCGCACGTTTCGCTTGACGGACTAATTTTTTGACTGAAATGCCATGAACTGCCTAATACGGACCAACTATGGTCCCCACAGTGTCTGTATTAATGGGTAAAAAACTTTTGATCAGTTACCCGTCAAGCGGAGAAAAAAATTATATTTACAATCTCTGTCATGTCTTTGCTCATGTTCTGGTCTGTTTTAGATGAACATCCTCGTTAATTAAGTCGCAAACTTAAATAAAACGCAACATAACATAAAACATAACATAAAACTTTATTTATACTCGAATTTTAGAGTAGCTAACAAGCTAATATCGAGGCAAAATTGCCTGAGTTTGGTGTCTCCCGCAGTATGGCTGCAACACCCTTGTCGACCACTGCCCAAGCTCGATCAAAAACCAGAAAATGTAACACGTATTTTGATCAGCACTGATACAACTTGTTTCGAAGCGCTTTTTGTCCTTTTTCTATTCCGGTTTAAAGAGTGTGAACGTGGTTTTAAACTCCGGGCCTCGTATATAAACCCCTCCTAAAACCCCTTATGAAGACCCAGGGTTTGTGAGCGGCAATTTAGGATATGCTATCGGCGCTACTGCTGGCACTAAAAGTGAAAAACTTATAATCGTTTTCCCAAATTACCGTATGCCCAAAATTATGCCAGCACAAGTGATAAGGGCCTGCCTGTCAGCACACCACCATTTCAGTGTTTATAGCTAATAAGTCAATTTCAAACCCCTGAGGTATACTCTCTTTTATGGCCTGCTGCATAGATTTTCGGTTTTAGCTTCTTTTAGGGCTTGCTGTTTTTTTTAATCAGTACTGAGCCTTTAATCATGGGACAATTATCCTTGACGCTCGATATATCTCTTTTCTCTTTTTTTAGGCTGATTTGTGTCATTTAATTGAAATAGAAAAATGAATGAAAATAGATGAATAAATAAATAAACAGATAAATGAAAATAAACAGAAAAATCAAAAAAAAGTTTAAGGGCATGGCCGAGATAACACTACAGATAAGCGGCTTGTGTTACCAGGATCATTTGGCACTATTATAACACTCAAACTATTTTCTGTCAGTATTGTTAACAGGCTGGCTCGCTGACATATAAAATTCACTTGAATTAGCGCCTGAGCTCTCCCTTCACCCCACCCCAAGCTATTTCACCCTTCATCCTCCCCGCTGGGTCCCGACAGATTTCCCCACAGGCGTCCCCACAGGCAGTTTGTTAACTATTCCCAGTTTTTCGTGATCAGAATGAAGACGTTATTCTGCTCTCTGAGGAACCGGAGGTGTCTCATAAAAAACTAAAACGGGAATTGTGAGCATAATTTCGGGGAAAATTTCAAACGGAGGCTCGCCAAGGATGCAACATGGAAAAAACTGTTGAAGTCATCATTATAGGTGGAGGGATAAGCGGTCTCTGTGCAGCCAAACTGCTCTGTCTTGAACATGGAGTTAGTGTTGTTGTGTTGGAAGCAAGGGATCGTGTTGGAGGACGTACATACACCGTACAAGACCCCAAATTCAAATATCCAGATCTAGGTGGTTCCTATAATTGCAGCGAAACACGCAAAAATGTTTCACGTCTGGCAAAAGAGCTTGGAATACAAACTTACGAGGTTTGTTGCGAGGGTAAAACAGTTGAGGTTTTGGGAGGAAAAAGGAGAGTGGTCTCTGGGATTCCTTCTTCTTGGAACCCTATCGCAATTCTAGATTATTACAACATAATCCGCACTTTGGGCAAAATGTGCAATGAAGTCCCAGTAGAAGAGCCGTGGAATGCACCTAAAGCTTTGGAATGGGATAATATGACTGTGAAGGAGTTTTTTGACAAGACTTGTTGGACGACATATGCAAAAAAGCAGATGATAAATGCCATTTATGGTGCCGTTGCTGCAGAAACCCATAACTTGTCTCTTCTCTATTTCTTGTGGTACTTCAAGACTGGTTCGCATGTGTTGCAGAATCCTGCTCTCTATGAAGAGGTGAAATTTGTAGGCGGGGCTCAGCAAATTAGCAGTAGGATTAAAGACAAACTTGTAGACAAGGTAAAAGGAATTTTGTTTTAGTATTGCAACCTGACAAAATTATCGGCCGCAGGGTTAGCAGTTGGCATTGCTTTTGCTTGAAGGCATAGTGGTGGAGTGGTTAACATCTTGAATCTTGGATATGGAGCTGCCGTTTTGAGCCAGGGGATTGTGTTTTTCCCCAGGGGTACTCCTCAGGGGCGTGGCCAGCCTGTGCTGAGGCCTACAAATTTTGGTTTGATCACTTTACCGCTTGTAATAAGTTATGCTTTGTTGGGGTGGACTAAAAAGCTTAAGAGCTCAGTGTTGGTAAGGTCAGTGCATACTAGTCATGCATGCAATTTTCAGGATGCGTGGTAATGAAAGTCAGCCAGGCCTACAACTAATCGAAAAGCTGGCTACACCCCTGCTCCCATATATGGGCCAGATACAATGTAGGTAGGCACCACCCAACAGGGTATGGTTTTTGAGGGTCTTGATCCTTAAATAGGGTATCAGTATGCTGGCATTGTTTTCCTGGTGTGACCCTTAGACAGGGTACCTTAATTGTATCGGTTGAGATTCGTAAATGCCCAGAAAGATGTAGTCTGTTCACAGTCCCTCTGTTTTTTAGAGACTGCTGAGTGCACATATGGAAATCGAAACAGGTGGTGTTTCCTTATACAAGAATCTTTATTCTACCTTGCCTTTTTTTGCCCATGTGCATAAATGGGTACTGGCTGCATACCACTGGAGTGGGGGGTGGGTAACCCAACAATGAAATGGCATCCCATTCAGAGGGTCTAGTAACACTCCTAGTCCTTTTATGCTAAATAAATGAAACTGAGGTAAGCTTTGGCCTGGTTTACCATTTGGCTCCTATGCAGAGTTTTTGTTTGCTAAGTGGGAAATGCCACAAGCAAAAGAAAGCACATTTGAATTAGCTTGGTGTCAATTATGCAAATATGAGTGTAAACACAACTCTTGTGCCAGCGGGTGCCCTGTGTATTTGTGCCCTGTTAGGGTCTGTTAGGATAAAATTCTGACAAGTAACATGGCCTTGGAACAGTGACATAAGACTAGATGAAATGGCGACAAAGAACATAAAGAGGATTAAATACCAACAGGGACTTGGCCTATTCCTCAAAATGCGAAACAACTGTATTTGAAATTCAGACTAGGGGGTGATCTATGTAACCCCCGCCCCTTTAAGAGGGCCTTATTTTATGTGTGTGAATTATCAGCCAGCACAAAATATGCAAACCAGTAACAAATATTTTTAAACTTTCCTTTAGGTTACTTTAAACAGTCCAGTTTGCCACCTGAAGCAAGATGCAGACCATGTGGTTGTCACCTGTGAAAATGGTAAAAAATACCAAGCACAGTATGTGATAAGTGCAATGCCACAACCACTTCTTAACAGTGTCTCATTTGACCCTCCCCTCCCTCCCTTGAAAAACCAGCTGATTCAGAGAATGCCTTTAGGATCATCAATCAAGACTATCACATTTTACAAGAAAGCTTTTTGGCGTGAAAAAGGCTTGAATGGAATGGTGATTTCTGACTCAGGTCCCGCGCATATCTCAGTAGATGACACAAAGCCTGATGGGTCATGCCCAGCAATTATGAGGTACAAAATGTGAACAGATATTAGCTGCAATTACTTTGTCATAATTAATTTTCACAGTTACATTGTCATTGTTAAGTATGAAACTATATTAGCCACAGGTATATTGTCATTGTTCACTTCAAAACCGAAACTCGATCAACAATAGATTTAATATCCAGGAAAAACTGCAGACTTACAATACTCACTTCCTAGAGTCAGAGGCCAACTGTTGAGTTCAAGGTCCAAGAACATGTCACATGATTTGCTAATGTAATTTGCATAATTATTTGCATAACGCAATGCAGAATGTCCTTCTACAGTCATACTATTGACTGCATCAATTTTTGGCATCCCGTTTTATTTAAGAAATAAAATGGTGTCGTGTGCATTTATTATTTATTTCATCAGTTTTATTGCTGGCAACCAAGCTCATTACTGGTGTACCAAGACTCAAGAAGAAAGACAGCAAGCAGTTTGTGAACAATATGCCAAAGCATTTGACAGTGAAGAAGCTCTTCACCCGTATCATTACATTGACAAGAACTGGCCGGCAGAGAAGTACTCCGGGGGATGTTATGTCAGCTTTATGCCCTGCGGTGTGATGACCAACTTTGGGAAAGCTCTGCGTGCACCGATTGGCAGGGTTTATTTTGCCGGTAGTGAAGCTGCTACATTATGTGTTGGTAAGAAAGATCGACTGTTCTATAAATTAGTGTACTTCAACAATCAGAGGTCTGTTTCTTATTCTGACAACTTTTCGGCCCAAAATCAAATATTCCAATCAAACTCTTAAGCATAAAAGACTCAGGTCCTAGCTAACAAACCAGTCCAATTTGTTTTGTTCACTGGTATTTATATTATTATTTTCTCTGCAAAACTACTGAAATCTCTATCTTGAATATAAATAACAATAGCTTTCTAGGGCCATAAATTTTGGGGATTTTTGAGAAACGTGCTCCAGGGGTAAATCATTAATATTAAGTGGGCAACTAGTTATAGGTGGCCAGTGCAGAGGGAATTAGCTAGACATGCATTGTATACTATTTGACAAGTGATAATGTGTACCTTCTTAAAATTTTCTTTTTTGGAAGGTGGTGGGTGGGGGTCTGTATTATTTTCTGTTTTAATCCAGGGTAAAAAATACAAAACAAAAAGTTCCATGTGAAATTACTGCTCAGTAGCTTTCATTTGGGTGGTCACACAATGTGATTTCATCCACGCACAGAAAAGAGAAGTGAAAAAATTGGATCTCAGTCAGTTGGTGTTACCAATACCAGTAAGAGTAATGTATGAGTATTCAGTACCTAATGTAAAAATAATGTTTGTAGGTTCCATGGAGGGGGCAGTTGAGGCAGGTGAGAGAGCTGCAAGGGAGGTGCTCTGTGCTATGGGCAAGATATCACCACAGGAAGCCCATCCAATTGCCCATCCTGAGCCAAGTCAACGTCTGACGACATTTCAAAGCTGGCTGCCAACTGTTCCCATGTTTTTAACCACCGTTACTGCAGTTGCTGTTTTAGTGGGTGGTATTACATTGAGACACTATTTAAAATAACTTTGCTACAAAATTATTTCACAGGAGGTTTAATACTTGTATCTGCCTTATACCCAGTCACTCTTGGTCACTTAATCACTTATAATTCTAGTTATATTTTAGTAAAGCGGATGCAAAGGGAGGGAGTGGATTCTCATTTCTTTTTCTTCCATCACTCCCCGCTCTTGTAGTGAGCTTTTGCTCCCATCATTCTCCTCGCAAATGGTTTGTCATGTTAAGGGATATGTTTCTCTTTTTGATATAGTTAGAAATTAGCCTTCAAGCCTTCAAGTTCCAGGCTTCAAGATAGTAATGTGCACAGGTCCTAAAAAATAATCCATGAAACACACCAGGGGGGTTGGGGAGCGATTTTCTTCACCACCAACCCCTTCACACCTTTCTTATTAGACTGTTTTTGTGACCTCGTTACTGTCTGGGAGCCTGGAACAGGTTAGTTAGAGATGGGATATGGAAATTAAAACAATATCAGTAAAAAAAAATTTTATTGTTGGTGGCCACATACATAAATTGTGATGCAATCCAATCAAACCCTTAAAATAATGACTATAAAAAATAACAAATATCCAAATACATTGTACTTTAAAACCCACATAATGCACTGAGTCCTTTAAATATTATTTCTCAAAAAAGACAAAAATTATCAAAATCCGTATTCACAAAAACAATACAACATTACCAAAATTTCATTGAACAAGTATTAAAGGGGTAATATCAAACTTCTAAATTGTATTTATTGGTTAACAAATTAATACCAATGCAAAGGACAGAGAATTCAAGGAAAAAGCTTTGACAAAACTTTTTCTTTTTGGAATGGAAAATTATATAAATAATTTGTAATAATATCACCATACCAATATTCTTTACCATGACTGTATATAGTATTCTTTTCATTCCTGTATTTAAAACTTTATATAATCACAAGTAGGCTGCACCTGTGAATGCACAGGTCTTTATTATAAACCTTGTAAGTCCCAAGGATGATCAACCTCTATTTTCTCTTAATGATATCAATACATTATAAAGTAAATACATTATGAGAATCAATAAAATAATCACCACAGGGAAAGTCCTTTGATCAGTTAACAAATGTTTTCACTTTCATTAAGGGAAATGTATGGAGACAGAAACCCATAACTGGGAAAGAGTAACTCCCTTGTGCCCATGCAACGGCAGTTTCACTGACCAGTATCTTTTAATAATTATTTTATTTTTATTTTCCTGCGAGTTTTGAACATCAAATGAGTCTTACAAATCAGTCATCAGAAAACAGAGACTAGAAAATAGTATTTCTGATATATATAGCATTTACTTAATACTTACTATGGATGCACACGCATATGGAATGGTCTTCCATTTTTATGGGAAAAAGTGCTCCAAAAATAATGATGCTGAAAATAACTTGATCTGTAAAACTGCTGTTGCATGGACTTAGTATGGGCTCCAGATAGAGATCAGTCAGGAGAATTGGATGTATGTGGATATTGGCCCTTAAGGGGTTAAAGACCAATGGGCTGGTGTTAATTATAACACTAAGCAACAAATACACAGCTACCTTTCCTGTTTCCATACATACATTTTACACCCCAAGTCCAACCAAAACCTTAGAATTATTATAATTTATTCACAGAATAGGTTTAATCATACACAAGCTTAATCCTATTGAGTCTTCACTGGTCCCCCCTTGTAAGGCCTGTAGACTCTGTCTTAGTGTCTATTGTATGCGTAGTTAGCCTATTTTTCAATTCCACATTTCTGTTCACCAAGGGAAACAGGGTGTTTTGCAGAATCTGATGTATGTCTCCATAGTGCCAGTGCTTGCTTGCATTAGTGTGGTGTAGGTTGTAAGCTGAGGAAAAATAATAATAACAATAATGACAAAAAGCACTTAATTTCAGTGTTAATGTATTTAGCACTAACATACTAATTAAGGACACTATTTTTTCTCTCCCACTGGAGATGGAACCACCATTTTACATGGCCAGCCATGCCACACAAAGGTCTAGGCATTTGCAGTGCAAAGAGCTGGAAAACCTTCATTTCTCACTTATTTTAAGACCATGAGCATTGGTGTGGCCCCATGAATGGAATCAACAACCTCCGGCTCTGCAGTCAAGTGCTCTAACGACTGAGCAAATCCTGCCACAGTTGAAAAACGTGTAGTGAGTCTGCTTAATCATCATAATAACAAATGTGATGTTCCTCACCTTGTTCAGTACAGGTTGTGTGGAAAGTACATTGTAGAGGCCTTTGAAGGACACACCCTGTTTGACGCCAAAAAAAAAAACACATTGGTACACCTGAAATGCCGTGTCATTTGTCACTTTAGAAATGAGAAAGGAACTGGGCAGAGTTAACATTTTCAAAGAGTTCTGGGACTGTTATAAGGGAATATAATGATTGCAGATTTTGATCCCAGTTCTCTTCTCTTTTGTAAAGTGGTGAAAAGATGGGGTATTAAATGTGTTGAATAGAAAATGTAAATTATACCTCTTGTCCCATTTTGTTCATGCATGCTTTGCCCTAGAACAAAAATCATTCAAAATACATGATTATTTCAACAATACCCTGAGGCATCAAATCACAACATTAATTTATATTGGCAGCAATAGCTGGGAGTGCCGCCAAGTGCACAGGTTACCAGTCTGATCCACAGCCATTCTTTGTGTCGTCAGGCCATGCTCCTCCCCACTAATGGGGAGGAACATTGCCTGACGACACAAAGAACAGCGGTGAAGCAGACTGACAGGTTACGGCAATATTAAAACTCTCCCTGAAATGCAATAAGACCCAGTTCAAACGTCAAAATTCCCACGTAATGAACTTACTACCCATTTGGGTCAACCTAAATGAGATAGGTTTAACAGTCGATTTAGGCATCAAGCATTTTCAAAAGGGAAATGCTTTGATCTTATATGAAATTGTCCCAACTGGGTCTTGCAGGAAATTTAAGAAGATCAGTCCGACAATTTTGAATCTGGATATTAAGGGGTTAACATAGGATTGTTTTTCAACTCACAGGGGTCCTTCTGTCATCTATCACTAGTGGTGGTTCCCAGTTGTCATAGTTTGTCTCCAGGACAAACCAGGTATTATTTGATGGATTGAGGCTGAAATACAAAAATAATACAACAAGCACAATAGTGTCATGTGATTCTAATAAATTCTGAAATCATCCAAAACAACTAAATCATTAAATTTATTACTAACACTAACATTTTTTATTGGTATGAATTGATTTTAATGTCTGGTACTTTTTTCCATTTTTTTGTTAGCTGCAGAATGATTTAAGATAAAAAATAGTAGATAGTACTTCTATTTCAAAGGTGTAGATGACCACTTAATTGTGTTAGTGTAATGAACAGAGCAACCCTAGTTGAAAATTTTCTCACCCACCCCTGTCAATTATATTAATTTTACTGTGATCATTTGCATGGATTTTATTTGTAACTCTGGCAATGTACAAGATGTTTTCAAATTAAAAGAGGTAAAATAAACACACAACCATGCATGACTGTCAACAATTGTTTCTGAGCACCATTAACAGTAAGACTTGACAATTTACCTCATCTGGTTCAGGCACTTTGTTCGAGAACGTGTTATGACTACACCCTGTAAGATGACACAAAACAGGTCTAAATAAATCTAAACAAAGATATGACCATACTCATTAACGTTCAAAAGAAATCACAAAGTTGCTTTTAGTATGCAACAGCGAGCTCAGCAAATGGCTTCACTAAGTCACTGAGTTTCAAAACAAGAATCAGAGCTGCTTGCATTCGGAATTAAATCAAATGCAATGTTACCTCGCCAGATTTAGTTCCCCCAAGAATGTAATAAACTGGAGCCAGCACTTCATCATTTGCCAACATATCTTGAGCCTCTTTAAAACTGACAAAAACAAAGCAATTATTCAATGTTCAACATAATCAACACATGACTTATCTTTCAGATTGACACTGGCAGGAAACAGACTCTATTCTTCAAACCTCATCACAGAGTACAAATACTTTGTATTTATTTGTGTATATTAACTTCAAAAGTTACAAAAAATGGTCAAGAGTGCTAAATTTAATGAAATGTCATGAGAAAATATAACAACTTTGTTTTGTAAGCTGAAAGACAAAATACAGGTACCAAGCAAGGTACCAACTGTAGCTTTCACTTGATTTCTCCACCAGACGAAAAGTTAGAACGACATTTACAATGTACAACACAAAATTAATAGCACCACTGCACTATAAGCTACTGAATTCAAAGATGTTTCATTTCAAAGGCCACCATGAGCCCAGGATATTATCCACATTAACTTACAAGTTAGGATTACATCTTTTTACACCATAGTATATGTCTCCAAAAGTTTTTCTAGACTAAACCTCCATTACAAAGCTTTGCAGAAATGAAAATGAACATGTTTGAGAAATGTTTAAGCTTATAATTACCTGGCTGCATTTTCCAGAACATCACGTGTAAGAAAAGTGGACCATTTTGCATTTCTTTTACCAAGTATCCACTCTATAATCCCTGTAAGTTACAAGATGTGATGGCACACTGAGTCTAAAATAATTATGCTAAATTATTTAATAATATTTAGATGCGATGCAATTTAACATGCTATCACAATATTAGTGAATTTTCATACGCAACAGGATGGGAGGGGAAAGAAGATGGCAAAGCTTGTGTGACAAAGTGTGAGAAAAATTTTGTTTGAAACAATTTTTTGCCAAACTTTAATTTCCTTAAAACAGATCTTTTCATTTAAAGACCAGAAAACCTTAATGTTAAGTGAAAATCACGACAAAACACGCAATAAATAGCCCCATCATGTTTGTCACACACAAGCGCTTTGCCATCCTCTTCTTCCTGCCGTCCTGTCAGGGCCGTACATAGCGGGGGGGCAGGGGGGGCAGTTGCCCCCGCCAGGAAAACTGTTTTGTTTTTCTAACATAGTGTTTGATTTTGTTGGGCTATTTCTTTTAGCTATATTGTTCCGAAATCTCAAGAAAACCGACTAATTGACTGAAAAATCGTCCTTCAATGTAAATTCCAAATAATTATTTTGGAAAATCTTTCGAGGCAAAAGCCAGTACGAGTTATGACAATAATGATTATGTAATTTGGGCTGCCTGTGGTTTAGCATTTGGCGGGAAACAGTTGACGCATGTTTCTTGCCAACGTTTCCAAAACGTTTCTCTCTCAATCCGCTGGGAAAATGTCGGGAAGAAAGCGCCCGGCTCCCGCTCAACGAGGTATAATGGACTTCTTTGACGCCAAAAAAAGGTAAGTATCAAACTACAACGTGTGTTATTTAATACATCTAATAGTTGCCTTGGTTGCTGTGTTCATTCTTAGCTCGTTGTAGTATGAAAATCGGTGAGCCACTTCACAGTTTTGTAGATTGGACAAAACAACATGGCAATTTAACCGTCCAGTGATTGAATACTCTATGAAATTAAGCTTAACTTTTCAAAATTCGATAGCTCCAATGATGAGGACAATGATGAGAACAATGATGAGAACGAAACAAGTGAGGAATCGACTAGCACGGAAGGTACGTTTAATACAATTGAAAGAATTTATCATTTGACTTTAGATTCGGTCTTCGCAAACCATTGGCAGCGTTGTGCGAAATAGCGTCAACGGTACTCTGATTTTTGGAGGACTTATTGATATGATTGACTGAAGAAGCTAAGTTGCATAATCTATTTGTGATGGTTACGTAGCGATTAATTTTCTTTTACATGTATAAGTATTTTCATAAGTATTTTCCTTTTAGGTGGAATAATGATAGAAGAAAACCCCTGGCCCATTGAAGTTCTGGTGGAAATTTTTAAGTGGTTTTCAATAGAGGAACGACTTAAGCAACTGGCACCAGTGTGCAAACTCTTTCACCAAGCCGTCCATACACCAAAGTTTTGGAAGATAGTTGATACTAATTCAGAATTTACACTTTCTTCATTTTATTCTGTTTTGGGGCACGCTAAACATAAAACACATCTCCGTTTTCGTTATTCTCAACGACAATTAGGTTTCAGGAATCTGATAGAAAATGCCCTGAACGATTGTGTCAACCTTGTCAACTCAGACCTGGCGTACAATACGTCAATTTTCATTTTGTATTTTATACAGAGCATGCCATTTTTGGGATACCTTGACACAAAAAGCTGCCAAAATGTGACGGAAAGTAGTTTAACACTATCCCTTAAAAACAAGAGAGGGCTGCAGGTTTTGAAAATGGTGAATTGTTTTCAGATAACAGGAAATTCACTCGTTTCCATAATCAGGAGTCTGCCTGACGTAAGGAACGTAGTTGCCAATTGGTGTGGCTCAATAACAGTAGAACAAGCCCGCGATGTTTTGCAGCAGCGCAAACTGCTGGCGGGTTTATTTTCATCATGCTGTGGGCCTCGTAACTTGTGGGAAGAATTTGTACAAGATTTTAAACATGTAGAGTTTGGGGAGGATCTGTTAGATCATGTCAAACGAGTAAACCTCCCGCGATTTTTGTATGATGATGAGGTAGAATAAATAGAGACTCATGTGTAATAGGTTCTATGGGAAATGGAGTAGTAATGGCTGAAGAAAGAAAGTGTTAATGAAAAATATATATATGACAGCTCTTGTTTTTAATAAACAGTCAGTCGCAGCTCGCGTTTATTTTATTAACTTGTTTGCAGACCCAAGTCCATGTGTTAGAGATCCCAATGACCCAGCGAATTATACCGGTAAAACTTTATCAGACGACCAAAAGCTTGAGCTTCTAACCTTAAAGAATAGCTTTCCTCACGGATTCAAGTTTCCGACAACAGCCGGAAGGCGTTTCCAACTATCATGGATGGAGAAGCGGCCATGGCTGCGTTACAGCATTAGAAATGACACAGCTCACTGTATCTATTGTATATGTTTTTCCAACAATACTGTTCCAAATGAATCGCCATTTATCTCAAAAGGCTTCAAAAACTGGAAGAAAGCAGGTGATGAGCGCCTTGACACCCATGCGCGCAGTGAAGAACACCAACTTTCAGAGGAAAAGATGACTAACTTCCTTAAGACACGCCGCCCAGGCAATGACATCAGTGCAAGACTACAAAGACAGGCAGCCGAGCAACAGCATCGCACAATGAAAGGCGTCGTGTCTATTATTGATGTAGTCATTGCATTAGGACAGAGGGGCATTCCATTAAGAGGCAATTGGGATCCCTCTAAAAATGAAGATGGGAATTTCTCCTTCTTTGTTGACTGGAAATCCAAATATGATCCAGAACTCAAAGACCATTTGGATCATGCTTCCGGTAATGCTAAGTACACGTCTCCGAGGATTCAGAACGAAATAATCAATTTGTGCGACAGTTTCATTAGAAACCGTGTCCGAGCATCAATACCAAAGTATTGGAGTGTAATGGCCGACGAAACGCAAGATTGTTCTACAACTGAACAACTCAGTATATGTGTGCGATATCTGAGCAGTAAAAATGAAGTTTGTGAAGAATTTATTGGATTCGTAAGGCTTGAAAAATTGGATGCCCAGACCATTGCGGATACCTTGTTACACGCACTACAAGAATGGGGCTTTAATATGTCCGGCTTAGTTGGCCAAGGATATGATGGAGCAAGCGTCATGAGTTCAAGTAGGAATGGGGTGCAAGCTAAAGTTGCAGAGAAGTACCCTAATGCCACGTACGTTCACTGCAGGTCCCACGTTTTGAACCTTGCAATCTCGAGTGGTTGCAAAGCTGTGCGATCCATTCAGAATCTGTTTGATAACGTCAGCAAACTTACGTGGTTTCTTAGTGGCAGCGCCAAAAGGAAAGAAATATTTCTTCAGACAGCCGCGGCCTCCGATGACAGTGAACTGTTGAGCGCTCTAGTTGCATGTGCTGATGAAGACGAAGAAGATGAATCTGCCAAAACATTGGAGGAAGGAAGCAAGCGACAGACTGTACCGAAATTCTGTGCTACTCGTTGGAGTGCAAAAGTTACTACCCTCTCTGCTCTTCTTGCTAAATATGGCTCTGTACTTCTAGCTCTGGATGAAATTTCGTCATCAAGCAGTGGCGATGCTAAACGTGATGCTTCAGCTTATTCACGTCTTCTCCAAGACTCTGAATTCATAGTCGCTTTGACAGTATCTCAGTTTGTTCTGTCATTTTTAGCCCAAGTAACAAAGTCCCTACAAGCTAAGAGCTGTAACCTTGGCGATGCATACCAAAGCGTAACTCTCGCCAAAGAATGCATTAAATCAGCAAGAGGCGATGAATCCTGGCAGAAGGTGTGGAGTCGAATCAGCCAGGTAGCTGACTCTATCAACGTCACCCTGATAAAGCCTCGTACAACGACTGTTCAACGCCATCGAGCAAACGCCGCACACAACGATCAGCCATCAGACTACTACAGGATTAATGTGTTCTATCCATTTATAGATCACGTTGTCAGTGAACTTGAAACGAGATTTTCAGTCCAGCACGAAGGCCTGATTACCGCTCAAAACCTGTTCCCTTTGTACTTGCCCAAGTTAACTGACAGGCATATCGAGAAGATCAAGAACTACTTCAGCAAGCATCTAGATTTCTCGGAGAAGTCTAATTTTGACGCAGAGCTGGCAAGGTGGAGGATGAAACACGCGATGGAGCCAGAGTCAGAACAAGAGGGAGCAATGCCTGATTGCAGTCCGCAAGAATTTCCCGCCATTCACAAGGTGCTGTCGATCTTTCTAACCACGCCTGTCGGAAGCGTCAGTTGCGAACGCTCCTTCTCAGCACTACGCCGTCTAAAGTTATGGACTCGGTCATCAATGACAGAAAATCGATTAAGTGGCCTTGCTATGCTGTTAATTCATCGCGGAACGGACTTCATTCCCACTCCAAAAGAGATCTATGACATGAAGTCAAATTGGAGAAGAATCTAGAACAGCCTAATATAGACTCGTTTTTGAGACTTGGTATTCTGATACCGAAACCTGCAATTTTAGCTCAGTTCCTTAAAGCCAATCTCTGTTCAAACTAACGAAGGCTTTCAACCCATTTTTGAAACCATCCATACAAAGTGTTAAACTTCTGTTCACAGTATAGCTTGAGTTAAAGATGGTATATAAATCATCATTGTGTAGCAGAGACCTCGGGGGCAATTTCAAACCAAACAAGGTGTTTATGCCATAATAAATCATGACAATTAAAAAAAAAGTATCAGTGTGGTTTGTTTCCTTAAAGGTCTTAGAGGCAACCTTCTGTGTAGGGGTGAAAACAAAACGTCCGACTAGAAACACTGTCTGTATACGGGAGACCCCTGTGAAGGTGTGCGGAGTTTGCCCCCGCAGACAAAAAATCCTAGGTACGGCCCTGCCTGTTGCATAAACTCGCTGATATTTTGTCAGTCAATGAAGCATAGTTCTTCTCTTGACCTTACTTAATTAGCGAGACCCTAGTAGGATCAAATTCTGAAAAGCTACATGGCCCTGAAACAGCAACTTAAGTCTCGATGAAATGGCGATAAACAACATAAAGATGGGTTAAATACCAACAGGGCCTACTCCTCACATTGCAAAACGACCGTATTTGAAATTCAGGCTATGGACGTGCATACCTCCTGCCCTTAGGGGGCCTCATTAGCTATATTTAATTTAGCGGTAAAAAATTTTTTCTAACATTGCAAGAACTTACAAAAATACTATAAGAATAAATTGGAGGTTTTCTACCAAAATCAAGCTTTAAAACAGATGTAGAATTGGTACGTGTCACCTGGAAGGTTCTTAGGGTTCCAATAAAAAATATCAGCACTTATCATATTAATTTACTGTTATATTCTGAATTATTCAGCTACTCTGCATTCAGTGATCAATAAGTTCTTACCAATAAAACCTCCATCTATGTTGAATCTTTCATTCACTGTGAGAGTAAGCACTCCCTAATGAAAATCAACAATAATTATTAAGCTTTATAATAATAATTATTACTATTTTTCACAAACACAGGATAGCATGTGAGAATTTTACAGATCATATTATTCATTGCTATTTGACAAATAACATCAGGGATGAAATGCATGCCAAATGCCACTGAAACTGAACTATCATTGTAAACATTGTATTCTGTTTAGTTTTGAAACAAATGGGCTGAATTGATCCAAACTAATTAGCACAGAAACTTGCTGAAAATTAGATTTTATCCAGGGGATTTGGTGACCCATATGGGAGGCCGCAAGATTTGTGCCATATCAAGGAGATTATTAGATACATGTAATTTGGGAGAGTTGGCATATGTAGCTGGGTGCTGAATACAAAGCTTTTTCTCTGTAGGTTGTTACCACTAGTGAGTACATTAATTTAAAATGCATAAGAAACATCTGGCACAAAAATGAAAAACCGGGCCCTTGTGTTAGATTGTTAAGCTGTCTCTCATAAGTTAAATGCAATTCTCACTGGCTTAAGTCCTGATATGACACCGACATATCCAGCAAAGGAGACTGTTTTGTACACTGTCTGGCCATTTCTCTGAAAATAAAGAACCAGTAGTAATCAATTTGTTCTATTTAACAAAGTTGGAAGTAATTGTCAAGTCTCTATGGAATATCTCATTAGGAATAGACCACATGCCACACTGACCATAATAATTTTTTTTTTTGGCGATGATACTTACGCGGTAGTCAATATTGACAATAAGGGTCCTAAGAATTTCACTCAACATCCAAGTGTCATTCTTTTGATCCCACCTAAAAAAAAAAAAAATTCGCCAAAGCCAAATTAGTGGAGCTCTCACAAAAATGGACCTGAGACAGATGATTTTGTCGTTACCAAAATTTCTTGGATGTACAGATACCGGTAACCAAATTTTATTACCCATGGCACTCCACTGTGAGAGCTTTGCATGCAGGACAGCTCCGCTATTACCTGCAGTATTCCTTGTACCCACCCCACCCCTCCAGGGTGCAACTGGAGTGGTATTGTGAAGTACATGTAGAAGCCAAGAATACACTTTCATAGAACGGATTAGAAGTTAAAAGTGGTGTAATTGCAGCACTACTTTTAACTTAACAAATCTAATACAAATATCTTAATCAAACCTCAAATAGACAGATAAAATGCTTGAAAGTCAGATTGAACTCACCCAAGAAAGAGACCAAAATCCAAGTTTCGAGCATGAAACAGATTCCCTGGAAAAAAGGTTCAGGCATGTAAGGATTAAATAAACCTTAAATTACCAATAGTTGCTTCTAAAGGCTGTAAAACCTTATTCTTGAACAGTTAAACCAGAATAAAAGAAAAGAACCAGTATTCTCTAACTCAAAAAAATGGAGCTTAAAAATGCACCTGTTTTATCTTCAGCAACAATAGAAGTACAAACAGTAAAAACTTCATAAAAAATGTTGTACAGCACAACTTCACCTAGAAAGACAAGAAAAGAATAAATGCTAAACCTTCGAACATTAAATAAGACAAATTCTGATGCTGTTGGGGAAGTTCATGACAGTGACGATGAGGATAATGACACAAAAATAGCTGGACATTAAATATTAAAAAAAGAATTTTATAGATCTCTTGTTGAACAGTGGGGGAGATAGCAGCAAGATAAATTATTTCTTAATACCAAGAGGAATTCCTGTTGCTTGAGATAATCCCTTGATTTCGTCCCCATATGGCGCTGGAAGCGTGTCAGCTAGAGGACCCTATGCAAAGCAAAGATTAACAAATTAAGGTCCAAAGTTCAGATGGTGTAGTTGTAGTAAAGGCATAAACTCTTCCCAAGGCCAATGGCCACAGGGCCACTTTATAAAGATGTGAATTAAAACTAGCCAGGCTTGTATACCCCAGCCCAAAATACAGTGGAGCCTATAAGTGGTATGCTGCTTGCACCCCTGGCCTAGCTAGATAGAAATTACTGACCCTCACCGAATACAAGTATCCAAGTAGACTGAATTTGGGACAAGTGCGATGGCATGGGAACTATAGGAGAAATTACTTCAAATGGAGCAAAGCGATCAAGGAGTCAAGTATGCCCAGATAATCATGTTAACATACCAAGTCCTTGTCTATAATTCCAAACAACTTGCCATCCATGATAAAGCTTGTAAAGTTCTTGATGTAGCTCAGCAAATTGAGGAGCTTAAAAACAAGAACGCACAATTTTGAAAAAAAAAATCAGAACTGAGTTTTTTGTTCAATGTTAAATGATGTTACGAAAAATTGTATTGCGTGACTTTTAAACGTGACTTTCTAGAAGCTTCGCGAGAGTTCATAGCCTGTTTATTTTAGGATCTTATGTAAGCGTTTCTAAAAGCGGTATATTTTGTAATCTTTCTATAATTAGACTATTTGGAAAGTTCTAGAATCTTATTGTAAACGTATATAAGTAGGCGAGTCCGAGTTAAGTCTTAACTAGTTTTCACAAGCGAAGAGAGTTTGACGTTAATCGTGTTTAGTCAAGTGTCACGAAAGCAGTGTTTATTCAAGTTGGCGGAGGCCATGTAAGTTTATCAAGTTAATTGAAGTTGGCAGAAGCCATGTAAGTTTATCGAGTTACGTGCTGTTGTGGAGTTTTACTTCGTGGAAACTACGTTCATTTTTGGAATAAATCTTCTTGTTACTGTTCCGACAACCCTACGTCCAGTTTGGTTTGCAAGCTACCTGTCCTCTAAAAGATTACCCGCGTAACAAATGATAAAAGCTTTTATTGAAGAAAAAAAAAAGAGGGCTGACAAAAAGCAAATCCCCAAGATGACAAGAAAAATGCAAGCTGGGTTTGGGGCAAACGTATAAGATTCCAAGATTAAAAGAACCAAACAAAATACTTCAAGATTTTGAGATTCAATCACCACAAATGATTTTGAGATTCAAATATTCCAAGAGCTAGCTATAAGACTTTCTAGATACCATATTCTGCACATAACTAAACTCGAAAAATAACACAGACCACAACACAGATTAACAAAAAACATGATCCACCTCTTTTACTTTCTTGCTTGCAAGATCATTGTACCTCTGGTTTGCAGGAAGATCAAGGTTCACAATTTCCCAGCCTACTTTCCTAGGGAATAAAAACAATAAACAATACAGAGATTCAAAAGGGAACTAATGTTGGTTAAGAGGAAGGCCCGGGTAATCTCCCTCCTCTTGTCCCATGCACACTTCTGGACTCTTCAACAGTACTTTCACATAGTTCTAAATTGATTTTCATGCAGTTATAACTTTTGTTTCTGCGGATCAAATACTGTTGTGTGACCATTAAAAAGAAACTTCTTCAATAGTACTTTCACGAGGTAGACTTTGTTTTGTGTGTAGCTCTAATTTTATAAAACTACACAGTATGACCAATCAAATCAAACATCTTTGGCCACACTGTTGCGATTGACTTTGATCCTCCTCAGTCCTCAGGCTGGTGAGACAATATTATAGCAAAAACTTCCTAAATATATATTTCTATCAAATTAGATTAATACCATACCTTTCCTTGGGTGGATAGGCATTGTTAACACAGTCCTTGCCTGAAAACTATAGAATAAATTTACTGTGTATTATTTATGTGAGAATGACAAAAGTGTAAACAAAAATGTAGCAAATCAGGAGATCAGAATGAATTAAATTTAATTAGTTTTTTAATAACTGTCAACGATATTCTTCAAGTGAGAGTTTGGTGAAAGTTGCAACCCATCCCAGGCTAGCTACACATCCCAAGGATTTGAACGTGGGACAACCAAGAACAAATCCAGCCAGAGGTTGTTAGTGGGACTCACACCTGGGACTTCCTGATTGCAAATCTGATGTGCCAAAAACTCAGCCACAGTGCCTCATCCCTCTGTTATAAATTGTTCCACGTGTCCAGAGGGTAGGGATGGTGCAAAGAGAATGGAGTAGGAAAAAATGGCAAAAGGCCACACCACTCCCTTCTAAGTCTGATTTGAGGCCTTCCAAGGGGGAGGGGGGTGTGCTGTCGCTTTTTCGGCATTCTCTGAGACTGCATGTCACCTGGTAGGCTAGGAAAAATGTCACTGTCGGCTAAACATAAGTTTTTGTTATACTCCAATTGAAACTAATGGAGGATATAGCGCCTGGAAAGCATTAGTTGTTATTAATCTTCCTCCCTGAAGGGACTTTTGGTTAAATGTGAATACCATAATAAACAGAATCCTCCAAAGAAAATAACTTAAAATGTTTGAAAATAAAAAAAGAGAGTTTGTTATTTTGCTGACAAAAGAGCGAAAATGCAAAAGTGAACAAATGTCAATTTCGAAACTTCAAAAATGGATTGTCGCTGTCACAGTTTTCCTCTTTTTCGGTTGATTGTGGTTGCTTTCCAAGAGGATTGCTGCCAGTTTTCGGGGCTATGGTGCCTGGCGCTTCTACCCTTTGGTAGGCCTCTGATCTGGAAGATTTACCAGACCTCCTTTCATTGTAAACAAAGCCAGAATCTTTGAACACCTTGTTTTAAAATCTGGTGAACATTAGGATTTCCAGGAAACAAGGAGCAACTGTGAAGCAAGAAAATGTCATGTTGGCCTCAGTCTCAAGTTGCCTCATCAGAAAAAGGAAGATTCAAATATCCCCTTCCCCGGTAAGGTCAATCAAAACACCCCACCCCGGGAACAATACCCGGCCCGGCCCAGCCACCGCCTCCAACCCACCTCCATAGCTGCCTGTTTTACCTCTTTGAACTCACCTTGTGCAGCATACGTTCGAACGAAGGGTATCCTTTAATCTTAGGAAATAAAATTGATGAAAATTCAACTTAATTAGATTGCAAGTCACTGGGTCCATACGCAATCAAGTTGTGTGTGGTTTATATTTTCAATTTTGATTGACCAAAAGAAATAAGCTTTGCACGGAGTCTGAAAAAACATTGCAGCGACGCAAAAGTTTAGGAGTAATTCCAGCTTTAACATGCGTTACATTGCTAACTATGTCTCTAGGCTCTAATATTTATAAGGTTCATTTCAAACATGCTTTGACAAGTTCCGATCTCAACTTCTCTTGGAAAGATGTGCTTAGCAAATCTACAAGGTTTGCTGGAATTCGGCAAGTTAAAACCAGATTCCAAATGTTATACTTTACCGAAGCCGTTGAAACTGCTCCAAGGAACATTACACAGACCAAGAAAACCCCAATTCGTTCCATCGCGCTTGCAATAATGACAGAAAAGGCCGAAGAAACTGGAGCTTCAGACTCTGAGCTGTGTCTGAAACCGCAAGGAAGTCATATGACCATTACAACGCACGAACAACCTCCCCGTCTGGGGAGGGGTAAACAGTACTAAACACGAGACGCTCAATCTTGTGATGGCCCGATGCAGGGTACCGTCGGGGTTCTTTTTTCTCTCTTTAGCACTCGCTGTCAGCAAAATGTTGAAAGGTAAAAGGTAAAAAAAACAATACATCACATCATCCAACGAAAGATTACTGTATGCAAGAATTGATAAAGTTATCACAAATTCATTGATAAAAATCTATTTTAAAAAATATATACAGTGGAACGCCGTCTAATACTACGGTCACCAGGGGGCCAAAAAAGGTTGGCCATAATCACGAGGAGAAAATGAAACAAATCACTCTGAATTCATCAATCATATCCGGAATCCTGAACATAGGCGTGTAGCTTCCAATTTAGGATAGGAAATCATAATTTAAAAATAGAAACTGGAAGATTTACAATCCCCAAAGCTCCTGAAGACCTTAGAATCTGTGATCATTGCAACCAAAATTCGGTTGAAAACATAGGCGTACGGGCAATTTTTTGCCGGGGGGGGCGGTAAACCATTTGCCCAAAAAACTCTTGCAAGTTGCCCAAATTTTTACAAAACAGTCGAACAGAAACGAGGGCTATACAATGCAACAACATAGGCCGTCCTAGCATATGAAAGTGGCTCGATACAGTTTTTCAGGGTCAATACCTGTGAAGTTTTTTTTGAGCATAGACTATGACACCATAAACAAACATTTGCAAAAATTCACCACAGTTGTATTTATTTAGATAAAGACGAAAATTTGTTATGATCCGGATTGCAATAAAATTAGAGTTGTCATAGCAACCAAATGACACCATTAGCTATTATACTTGCAGGAACATTTCTCACTTGAAACTGTTCTTCTTCCAAAATCGTTCACGGGAGCATTTTCCTCCAATGGTCGCGTCGATGTTCGTGAGGTTGAAACGGAATCTGTAAGAGTGTTGCCGAGATATTTTGGGACAAAGTTTTTATCGTTAGAAATACGGTAAAAAAGGAAAATCTTGTTATCTGTAGAAAACGAAGCACTTTTGACATGCAATTTCACCTCATAGTAGTTTCAATCTTTTTAAAAACGTAGCCAAAAGATCATGGTAATAGCTCTGGGCCAAGTTGTTCAAAGCTGGGTTAAGATAACCCAGGGTTAGTGCGAGATTTGAATTAAGATTTGAAGCTTAAAAAGCAATTCAGTTTTAATTCTTTTTGTCCACAAGTTGATGATTGGAAGCTCTACAAATAAGACAGAAAATTATCCGAGAAAATGCTTTTGAACACAAGAAAAAGAAACCAGGGTTAAATTTTACTCCGGGTTAAGCGCTAACCGGCCTTCGAACAACTGGGCCCAGGCCAAAAAAGGATTTGAGTATTTAGTATGTATCAAGGCGCTCTTGTTAGCGGTTTTGTAAACATTCCGGTCTACTTTAACAAATTAGTGAACAATTTTTAAACCACTCGATAGATTTTTTAAAAAAAAATTACGATTCTTCGCTTAATTCAAACTGAGAATTATTCAGCCACTTCTTCACTTTCAGACCCATTGATGATGCTATCTGCCATACACTGTTCTACGAGCGGAGATGATTCTAGAAAGTTAGGCGGAAGTTTATTCTAATCAATTCACGACTGGAAATAGCCCATTGCAGTACAGTGTCCAACAATAAAAAAAAAACTCATTTTGTGCTAGGCAACCACTGTCTCGTGTGAAGGTAACAGTAAGGGATTATTACGCCAACTTCAGGTTACAATAGAAAATATTTATCTCTACAAAACAATGATTTAAAAAAAGACGGAAACGTCTTAAAAAACTGGTTTTGCCCAAATTTTCTCTCGCTGCCCAAAAAAATCCGAGTTGCCCAAAATTTGGGGGGGCTGCAGCCCCCCTCGCCCTCTCGGCCCGTACGCCCATGGTTGAAAATGAACTGCACATATTATTTCACTGTGATCAATACAATGATTTGAGAAAGACTCTTTTTATTAAAATCAACGACCGAAATACATTATTTACACATTACAATATCCATGATAAAGTCTGTTTTCTTTTTAACAATACTGATTCACATATCAGTAGGCTAGCTGCTAATTTCATCTTTCAAGCATTTGAAAGACGAAAGAAACATAGTTAATTCTACCGTTCCATCATATCTGCATTTCCTTAAACTTAGCTGTTTATAAACAATTATTGGATGAGGTTTTTGTGATATCCGGAATAATCAAGGTCGAGGTAAGTGTTTTCAGCCGAAGCCGATGGCTGAGGCTGATAACACTTACCGAGTAATCTGTAGCGCAACCTACAGATTATTCACTAATCAGTTTCAGATTAGTGAATAATCTGTAGGTTGCGCTGTTTCCCAGAATTAACTGTAGGCTTTTAGCCAATGAGAAGACAGATGGTGACTACAATGTATAATAATTATTGTTATTTTAATCGGTAACACCTGTACAAAATGGTACTGAATAAACTTGTTGTTGTTGTTGTTGTTGTTGTTGTTGTTGTTGTATTAACGAGGGTTTCTTTACAAGAAAATACAGAAATGGACGTTTTTGCATGGCGGCCAAAAAAAATATTAACGAGGTGGTCGTAAGGCGGGGTTCCACTGTATCTAAAAGCCCTCGGCTTCAGGGTTAAAAATAAATAGATTGTGAAGCGGTAAAGAGCAACACAGGCAACAGAATGAGTACCCTCCTTCTCCCCACAATGTTTCCTCACGCCCAAAGAAAAACTGATGCCCGTGGGTAAAAAAGTATTGGCTTTCCTAGCCCGTATGCAAACAAAGGAAAGTAGGAGAAGTCTACAAGCAGGTCTCTGGCTTCCCGTCCAGAACACCTTCAGTTCATAAGAAATGTGCGCCAAGCAAAGTATCGTAGCTCCAGAAAGCTCAAAAGTGATTGGTTGCCTTGAAGGCAAACAGAGTAATGATTAACTATTTAAGCTCTCGGCAGATTGACAACCCTAAACAGTCCAGACGTGGTAAAATGTGACATACTACTGTCCGTAGTCTTCGTTACGAAGAAACTTCCTGAATCTCTAAAATGCGCTCACAAGGATGAGGATTTCTAGAGTCAAAGTTATCGTCTGTCTCGTAATATTTAGTGTTGTGGTTGGCCTTGAACTTTTTCTTTCGCATTCAAAATCGTCGTTTTCCAACGCACGGAAATCAGTCAAGGCATCGTCATCTATTAAATCTTGGATTTCCGGTAAGATCTTTGACTTCGAGCTTTGATTTGTATGACTATGAATTACAGTATCGCGGCTTTGCATTTTCTTATGATTTCCACGTCTATTTAGTTTATGTCACAGCATTTTGGCAATTTTCTGTTTGATTTTACTTTGCTTGTAAGATTTATATTAATTCAAACAAAGAACGTATTCGAACTTCGTTTCTCCTGACTTTGATGATTCAACATCCAGAAAATAGGCGTCTCCTTTAATAAAATGCCACGTTTTTTGCAAATTTCCAACAATGCTTTGTTTGCATTTTCTCCAGTATCTGTGTAAATAGGGGAAATTATCAGTGCTTTGCCATACAGAAATTGCCAGCCCTGGGAAGGGTCAGTTCAGTAGAAATTTGATACAAGTGTTCAACTGTTGTGATACCTTTGTGAAATTTGCGTTTGCAACTCGTTTCGATAGAAATTCATTTTAAGGATTGAAATTACATTTTAATAGTAGATTTTACCAATTCATATTTGTTGAACAGAGCGCTCAAACCTCGTTCAAACTGCCTGCCAGCTGAACAAACAAACCGAGAATGGAAAGTCTTGTATTAAAGCTAAATGTTTTTTAAAAGATTTTTGAAGAGAAAAAGAACAGTGTTGTCGGTCCCCAAAACTTTATACTTATGTACGACACGGGACATTATTTTAATATTTTACATTTCCAACGGTCAATAGTACAATTTTTTGATGAAATATCTCGATGGAAGGAACTTTTGAACTAGATTTTATATCGGTGTAGTGGTTTTGTTAAATCCTCTGCGACCATATCCATGGCGCAGGCAATGACACCGAAACGATGATACCCAAATGCCGCGCAGCGTCCCGAATTCTAAAGATGTTTGTAGAATAATTGTGTGATTTTTGTCATCTCCAAAACATTGCGCAAAATGTTATTATTTTTCGCGACATGTAGTTTCGGCAGACGTTTTTAAACTTTGTGGCGTGCGGTTAATAGTTCGCGCGAAACTATAAATTATTCAAATTTAGACCTGTTTGATATTCCCGCGGGAGATCCAAATAAAAAAAACAGTGTACGTTTGCGAGACAAGGGTGTGTGAATTTCACAGGGTGCCAGTGTATGAACTGTACATAATTTTACCTATTTTTACTTTTTTACATACTCTTGGGCTAGTTTTTATTTATGTAATTATATACGATGTGTTTTAATATTTTAATCAGTTTATGATTACGATTAGTCCATTTTACACCATTTTTAATGCATGCAATTAGGTTTTTTTTAGTTTTTTTTTTTCCAAAAAATAGTTTCTTAATAGGTTTTTTTATATTTGTATATGCATAATTCACATTTTATCTTGTTTTGTATTTTTAGTTTGTCGAGCCTTTTTAACCTGAGCCTCTGGCTCCCACGTCTTCAACATTAAATTAATTATTCTATTCTGTGACTGTATGATTAAGTAAATAGGGAATGCAGCTGTACTTTTAAGTGCTGACTTTGCATGTGGAACTAAAAGCAGAAAAGGAATGTCTTGTCAACTCTAGATGGCGGGGGGAGGAGTTTGAAATGTGTCTTTTTCTGTTTTGTCGTTTCTAGTGCATGCATCAAAAAAATTTTCTCTAACAGCAGCCAGTGTTAATTTGTGTGGTATTCTAAGCTTTCGGTGTCCCAGGTTATTGATATTAGGCTGATTTAGCAACAGAACAGGAACGTCATTTGATGACAGGAAAGCGCGCGGAAAGAATTAAACTCGACTTCCGGTGCCCAATTTGCCGCTGTGCCATTGGTCAAGCCAGTTGTTTGATTTGTGCCCGCCGACGTCAACTGACGTTCCCGTTCTGTTGCTAAATCAGCCTATTGTTCCACAAATCATACCCCAGGCATTTACTACAGAGACTAAAAATTCCCTGAGTTTTGCACTTCCTTAAAATCCCATACTAAAATGCCTTTGCCAAAAACCATACTCTTAACAGTAGCACACACCATAGCTTTTGTAGAAGGGTATCCCCTCACAGATATTAATAAAAATTATTATTTTGCAGGGATCAAAGGATTATCTGTGAAAGACTCTGTGGTAAGTAGGCTTTTTAAGACTTACCAGTACATAGGACTTGGACTATATGGAGGGTTAAGGCCTGAAGGAAAAAAGGGGACTAACAATAAATTATAGTATCATTCGATGCAAATTGTTCTTCCTTTTAATTGGCCAAAAGCCCACCCTGTGAACTGCAAATAACTGCCTACAAATAATGGTCTGCTCATGCGCTATGTCGTCCAACTGTGTTTAGCTGCAAATAATATTCTGCTCATGCGTAAACAAAACCATGCTATTATCCTTCTTTATATTTTTCTTGTGTGAAACATGGCATCTGGTTACGTATTAGCTTTCAATTTTAGCTGTTTTTTATTTATCTTCAAAGTTTTTTCTAGTATGCATTAATTTTGTACTAGCATGCAGGTGACAGAGTACACCCCTGCGCCCCACAAGCACTTCCCCCACCCCTCTCTACCAGGATGCTGTATAGCGGTGGTTCCAGGGAGTTGTAGCTTCCTTTTATTAGCTTTTGACTTAATGATGTCTCCATTTCAGGTTACAAGTGGACAAAGACTAGAATCAGTGAGAAAAGCATGCAGAAGAACAAAGAAATCTTGGGATTCCCTCTCTCTAACAGAGAAAAAGATCCTTGCCAAACACATCTTAGTCAATGATGAACACAAGTTCCTGTTCTGCTCTGTGCCTAAAGCTGCCTGTTCAAATTGGAAAAGAGTGTTGATGGTGCTTCAAGGTGAAGCAGTTGATGCTAATGCTATTCGCAAAGTCAATCACAAGGGCTTTACAACATTGGAAGAGCTACCTCCTTTGGCGGTTAAACGCACACTTAGAGAATACTACAAGTTCATGTTTGTTCGGAACCCTCTATCCAGACTAGAGTCAGCATACAAAGACAAGTTTGTTCGAAATAACACTTCCTTTCACAAAAGCTACGGCCGAAAAATAATCAAGCACGTGCGTAAAAATGCTCCAGTAAATGCTAAAGGAGATGATGTGTCTCTAAAAGAGTTTTTACAGTACGTATCAGAGAGTCATGTAGAAGATATGAACGAGCACTGGATGCCACTGTTTGAGTTATGCCAACCTTGTGCAGTTTCATATGATTTTATAGGATCCGTTGAAAATCTTGAGAGCGACGCAACTGAAGTATTAAGAGAACTTCATGTGGAGGAGCAGGTTTCTTTTCCAAAGCAACAGTCATGGTATCAAACAACGGGAAAGGGACATCATGATACAAATCTTGCAGATGTGCCATCCAAGCTGTTGCAAAAAGTAGTGTCAAAGTATGCCAAGGATTATGCGTTGTTTTCATATCCAAAACCTGATGTCTGATGAAAGAGTCTTAACACAAAAACAGAGGAGAACGACTCTACAAAACATTGGGCAGTTTGATGGTGGCGAGACGTGCTCATTCGAGCAACGACCCTTATCAGAGTATGGATGTATTTTTGAGGAAACACAGCACTTCATGATAATTATAATAATAACTTTCCAAAAATTATTGCAATGCTACCTGTTATGCTAGAATTTATTGACCATAAAAAAATAATTTTTAATTCTCAAGAATAATTTATATTATATTTATGTGGAACTGTTTGTGAGGCACCATGCCCTTAATTTTCCTCATCGTCTGATAGCTTAAAATCAGTTAAATAATGATATTATATTTTATACTAACACTTACAATATTTCTGTTAGCTCCTTTTCACAAAGCGCTCTGGGCAAACTGCCATAAAGCTAGTGTTGTAATTTGAAAAATTCTAAACATCAGATTCACATCAGCTTTTTGCTACCATTTTAACAAACCTGCTTTGTCAAATAAAGTATGTATGTATCAAGAGGCCATGCCCTGGGTACCAGAAGTTTTTTTCTCGAGTGCAGCTAGACTACGAACAGTCTCTCTTCTTTCTTTGTCCGTCGAGCGAAACGCCCGAGACACACAAATGACCACATGCGAGACTGAAGGTACGAGACGGGAGAGGCATGACAAAGCCCTCGTTTCTGGTGTCTTGCAGCTTTGCCGCTCAACGCTCGCGCGCGCGTGCACTCCCCTTACTAAATCTGAAGAAAAAGAGAGGGTGCTCACAGTCTAGAGTGCAGCGGTATTCTTTAACATTTCCGCAACAAAAACAAGTCATCTCCTGTTTGATATGTGGGACAAAGTGGAACAAAAAGAGGCAAAATAAAACACTTTGTCAGGTACATTTAACTCTCTCAAAGACGGAAACCTTTAGGACCGGCACCAATTGTCCATCTTAGAGAGATGTCTGTCTTATATAGAGAGTTAAAATAAAGGGAGGAAAGAAAGGCAGGGACCAGCTGTAGATGTCTGTTTTACAGAGGTGTCCATTAAGAAAGTCAACTGTACACTCTAGTCACGGTACCGATAAGTTGACAATGTACAGGACCATGGAAAAATGTGGAATAAAGTAGGAGGGGCTAGCTAGTGGGAGATGTTATAAAGCAAACCCTTCAATCCTAGTTCTTGTTTCCCTTCGTCTCAACATACCTTGCGTCAGGCATGCAGAGGTTTATTATTTTCTTTCTTTCTCACATGTTGAAAATAGCAGGAAACAAGTGAAAGAGGAAAGAAAAACACTGCTGGAAAAGGCAATGGAATTACATATCAGTGGACAGCGCATAGAAAATTTGGGGTAGGGAAGGGGTGTTCAAGTCTTCTTGCACTATAACAACACAATTTGTTTCTCCCCTTTTCTGCCACAAGCATTGCAACTGGAGACAGAACGCTGACTTTCAAGACTGAGTTTGCCAAAACTTCAAACTGGCATCTGCAATTTTTGACCACAATTTTTGCCAAGAAATAAAATTGTTTCATACAGATGAACCCATACTCACAGATAGTCGCATTCAATTACTTTTTTATACGTATCTTTTGGTATACTGCAGGTCAGAATTTTTCAAAACAAAAACATTCCACTGGCAAATGCCACAACTGTACAAGTATGAGGTAAATACCATATTTTCTCTAATAGGCACCCCATGCTTTGAAAAACGCCCTCCCCGAATAAGCGCCCACCACCAAGGCCATGATATCAAGTAAGCACCCCACCGGACCTCCCCTTAACTTTCTCACAAGGAAAAACAGTACGCATATGGACAATGCTATGCTTGATTATCAAGCATTGTGTTGTTGGCTTTACAGTTACGTGGATGCCGTTTTTAAGAATTAGGCCACTTTGTTACAGTTCGTAATAAGTACCCCCTTGATTACGTGGCCTCCATCCAAAAAAGTGCCCATCATTTTCGCTGGAATTTAAAATATCTGAGGAAATACTGTATAGAAAAAATTACACAAAATACAAAGATAAACGGTCCAGGAGAACAAAGACTTGGTGAGAACTGGATATACATCATTTCAAAGGAACTTTATTGTTTCACACTGTTACTAACAAACCAAGTGCAAATCCAGGTCAAAATCCAAATGTTACCAAAGAATGGGACACAAGAAAAAGTCATTTCAGCCTCCACCTGTACAATGACTAATACACAAAATTTGCCTGGGTACCCTGTAGAAGGGTTCGTGCAAAACATTCTCGACTCCTGAGCTTTTCTTATCATTGTGGATGACGCTGGACCCGAGGTTCTGGAGACCAGAATGCAACCATTACCAACATTTTAGTCTTGTGCGTTTGGGTTAAGTGTATGTTCACCCCATGTAAAGGAATCCGGATTCTAAAATCTAATAAAATTTTTCCTTGTGGAATGCAGGAAATTTTTTATTGTGCTGTCTGGAATCCTGAGCATTGGAATCCAGGATGCAGCTCAAGGAATCCGGAATGCCCCACTAACAACTGGACGCCGGAATGCAAGTTCCACTGACAAAGACTGGAATCCAGTGCCTGGGGTCTGGAATCCAGAATTTAAGACTTCTTGGATTACCCTACAAGGGGTGAGCATGTGTACAACTTTTGCTCTACATTTGCCTTTAAAGGGCAAATATTTTTGTCAAAGTTATTTAAAAATCTTTAAAGTCTACAACATTATACCAAAGTTACATAAAAATAAAGTTTGTTCTTAGGTTTCTAGAGAAGACTACACAACAATGACAACAACAACAGACTTGATGATCAAGGATGTTTGTGTGTTCTACAAAAGTTCAAACACAACGATTGCCCACAAGTTGAAAAGAGGTGGAACCCTTTTGGTCCTTATTTGACAACTACCAAGTCTTTTTGTCCATAGAAATGTAGCCCTCTTAAAATCCTCCTTCTACTGTTAACGCTATTAACACTATATTAAACGCTACTGTGCTTTGGTTAAATTTCCCCTTTTTTGACATAATTTTCTGTACTTTGACAAAATCTTGACCCAAACCATTAAAAGAAATGAGGATTAGTAAAAGATTATTAAATTTTTTACTTTCCACTCCCCAAATTCCACTAAAACTCCACTTTGACATTTTAATCATGACGCAAAAAATATTCTGTTAAAGTAACATACAATAAAAACTCACGAGTAAGAACCTACATTTTCCAGGGTTAGCCTAAACAGGTTCTTACATAAATGGTGGTTAACATAAATTTGGGCTATCTAGGTTCTTAATAGGTTCTTAATTTCTTGCAAAAAATTATGTCGTTGCTAAGAAGATTTTAGTGATCAGCACCCTTAAATTTGCATACCTAATGATTGCTTATATTTATAGAGATCTATTCTCACATGAATTTTAATTTCTTGAGTCAAAACAACTTTATATACATAATTGTGCTGTAAAACACAATATTATAAACATTTTCTCAATGACCTCAATCAAACAACATGTACTAGCTTGCCTTTTGCAATTGCAATTAGTAAATATTTTCAAATGATTTTTGAAAATAACAACCTTTCTCCAAATTTTAGGCTAAAGAGGTTCTTATATAGAGGGGGGTCTAAATTGCAAATTTTAGCCTAACAGGTTCTTAAATCTTTAGGTTCTTACTTGTGGGTTTTTACTGTACTACTCAAGAACTTCTTTCGAATGGTAACATATTAGGATTTTATCTAGAAAAACTAACAAAAAATATTAGGAATATATTACTACATTCAAGGTTTGCTACAATGTTCTTTATTTGTTTGTTTGTTTGTTTACTAAAGAATACAAATTTCTAGACACCTTGACAACTCATTTACGGCTGCTACTTGAAGTCGCACAGAGTTTTCCAGGGCCCCTCCCTTTCCCCCACCCCACCCCATTTATGTCCCATTTGTTGCTGGGAAGGTGTTGGGTGCAGCCTATTTGTCCAATCAATCCTATCCATGTGAACTTGCTGCTCTTCAAAATCGTAATGCCAGGACAAGGCAAAAGGGAGTTTGAGCGACACACGTCAACCAGAAGTGGACATTTTCTGCGCTTTTCAGCCGTGATTTTGAACAAATATTTTGGCAAATCCTGTCAATAACAGTAAAAACACTTAGTAATACAAATTTGGTAGCATCATGGCATATTAAAAGAGAAAAAGGTTCACTTCCCTTTGAAGAGCGTTGCTCAAAAATAGGGAACTTAAGCACCAGAGGTTCTTGTTTCACAAACTGCATGGCTAGCCGCACAGAACTGGATCAGGGACGCAGTTTCTGCGCCAAACGCAAATCATTAAACACAACAACATGAAACCATTACGAACACGGACAGAAGAATTCAGTTGAAAACGTCTTTATTTCTACTTTTGCATGACGAATACTCTTCGAAGAACCCAGAATTTGAACCACTGGTTTCAACCTGAGAACTCGCGTTTTGAAGTCTGTGACTGCAGCTCAAGAATGCACAGGCACAGTGGCTAAGAATGTCTGGTGCTTGAGTTCCCTAATGTCACTTCTTGAACTCCCTAAAGTTAACACATTTCCCCTAAGCTAATAGGAATTTTATGTAACTGTTGCATGACAAAACTTTGACATTAGACTACTACAACAGTGGGGTTTTGGCGAAACAACATGAGAACATCGAGTTCGAGGCTTGGGTGACTGAAAACTGCGGAGTCTAAGTTCTCTGCGATTCCAGTTGTCATCGCATTCCGCAGTGTGACTCCCTTCCCGGCTCTGTGGGGAACACTTGGAAAGTTTATCATGTTGAAGTTTACACTGTGGACAAACATAACGATTTGAAGTCTCTCTGCCATTAGAGAAAGACCTCGTTGAAGTACTGTGTTTCAGGTTTTCAACGCAGGGTCCACTTTTACCTTCATCACTTTCGTCAGAATCACAGCTCTTTTTGTTTCCCCTTGACCCAAGTGATTTAGTTAGCATTAGTTCTTTTCGGTTTGATGACTTCCGGCGCAGGAAATCTGTGATGCGAGCTTGTTTACTTGCGATGTTATCGTCCACTGATGTTGCGCTTTTAGAACGCTTACGTTTTGCAGCCACTCTCATTGAGTTGTTTTCAGTCCTCTCTGAATTGACCACGTTGTCCTCTCTGTGCGGATTGTTCTCTTTCCGGCTCTCTTCATCCACTTCTGGTTTCTCAGAAGTTTGGTTTTCACCTCCAGTTTCGCTATTCGTTGTACTCCGAGGAGCCTGTGAGCATGTTTCACATGACACTGCGTCAATACTCTGGCTACCATCTGCAGAAGCGTCAATTTCAGTAAAGCTCTCCTCATTAGTTTTCCCTCCAACATTTGGAAATGATAAATGTCGACTAGTACGCCTCCTGGCCTTCCTAACCTGCGCATGCTCACTAGCCTGCTCCAGTGTGGCCTCCGTAACCTCAGTTACAGAGCTCCGCAGAAAACGCTTATGAATCATCAAGCTGTCTTCGCACGAGCTCTCTGACTTAACTCGAGTTCGTTTTCTGCTCGCCGGCTCATTGTCACTATTCTCTGTGCTTTGGGATTCTTTTTCGTCACCAGCTATTGAATCTGTTGTCTGGTTAGAGTTGGAAGTTTCACTAACAGCGTAGCTGCTTCTTCTAGTTCTCCTTTCCAATGATTCTTCATGTTCCCCTTCGGAGTTTTTTACGACATCGGAAGCTCCACGCGTACTTCCTTTGTTGACGGGTTCGTCTCCAACCCCCTGCTCCGTGCTAGAGCAGTCCCCAGAACTGCTGGTACTACTAGAAGACTCAACTGTACTACTAACACGGGAGGACAGAGAATCCACGAGACTGCCACACCCATCACCCACCAAACCCGGCGCGCTACCATCACCACTAAAATTGTCCTTGCAAATGGCGAGCACCCACTCGACTGACTTCTCATCCAGGTCAGATGATTCATCTGTCATGACCTCGTACTCTTTCCAGAAAACTTCCTCGCGTGCACGGTAGAGTTCACGTCGCATTTTCTCTCGCTTGGTCACCATATAACACAGATTACGCAGCTGAAAAGGAAGATGAGTGAATGACAGTCTTAAAACAGGTACGTGGAATACGATCCTCTGGATGAGCATAGTCTTGAATAGGACTGTTGTTGCGAGCAGTACCAAACCTTAAGTCGATTCATCCAACAGCAATTCACCTGGACTTAGGTCGATTCGCCCGATGTGTATTTGACGTTCTGTGCCTAAATTAAAATCTATGATAATATTTCCACCGTGTTGTCTGGGCGAAACGCTGTTGGGTGATTCAACAGTGATTCTTGAAAGTGACTCACTTTCTGACTACCTGTGCGACAGTCCTCATCACAGTCAAAGTTCATAGTCTACAGTCAGTTGAGGGTAACTGTGGTTACTGACTCAACTGGTCAATTAGGTCAACGTGTTACTGGTCACCTGCCAGCTGAGCTGTGATGTGATTGGCTGTGAGGACTCTAAGGATGAGTGGTAATGGTTTTAGGTTTTTAAAGTCCTGTTAAGAGCAACAGCTGATACCTTGATTAACTGCATTAACGTTCAACAACACACAGGAATAGTAACAAGTCTGGTCCTGCTAGATAGCATTATACATCGTATAAATTACTATCCAGCAGATATGTATTAGGGAAAACAAAATTATCCACTGAATAGTGTTATCCACCTTTCTAACTACTTGGCTCAGGCCTATTAATTCACTATGCTAAGCTAGTAATTGAAGATTACCCTGTTCAGCGGAAACCATTACTAACTAAAAAGTACTAATGCAATGACCCACCTTTTCCAGATTACAACGCAGTTTTACGATTCGTTCCAGCTGTGCTTGAAGATTACTCGAAGAATTCACCGCACCCTTCGAAATGAACAACAGACATTAGAGTCAGCCTGCAATTTCATTTTTAAAAAAATATAAAACACTAACGTGGAGTGCACTATCATGTCAGCAGTCTACAACTTTTCTTCCAATTAGCCACTATAACGACTTATTAGGTACACACTTCATGTACTTCAGGCACATGCATTAAATGTGGCTAGATGTAATTTGGGTTAGTTTAAAATCTGCACGACGCTTTCTAGCAGACTCCTTCACTAATTATTGTATGTGGGAAGGTCTTGAGCATTTGCAGGGCTCTAGTAATTTTACAGCCCTTTCACTGAGTTCAATCGTTTTGCTCACATTGTTTTCGCAGGTAGTAGCTTTAGCCACCTTTTGCGCTTAGTCCTCCTTTCCCTCTGGATATCCTTTGGTACACTGTAAGTATCGGCACATTTCTCCACTGAGGTTCTCAGCGTGAAAGTAGTGAGTTTACGCAACAGGACGACAGGAAGAAGAGGACAGCAAAACGTGACAGGGCTATTACTTGTGTGTTGTGTCATGATCTTCACTTAACGCCAATGTTTTCTGGTCCTTTACAAAAAGATCTGTGGAGTTTGGCCGAAAGGTGTTTCAAACAAAATTACTGTCACGCTTGTCACATAAGGTTTGCCGTCTTCTTTCCTTTCCCATCCTGTTGCATAAGTTTACTAGTGACTGATGGGTGCCACTCACAGGGTTGTCATGGTTACCTTCCAGGCTTGCTGGTGGCTCCCCAAATTCATCTTTAGTCAATAGGTATAAGGAGTTATAATGCACCTCATCATCATCATCACTAATATTTTATACAATATTATTTCAAGCAAAGAATATCCCCTTATATTAAAAATGCAGGGTGTTTTTTGCAGTGTTGCGCCTATACTTGCCTGCTTCCCAGACAGCTTTTCCTGCTGCTGAAGCGTAGGTGGCAGAAGAGGAACATCATCTTGAGCCTAACATAACATTTCACAAAAAATTCAATTAATCCTTTCAACTCTCATTTATAGAAGTGTCTGTGGCACGAAGGTGGTTTGCAAAGCATCACAAAGCTTTGAATCTGACACTTTCTACAAGCAACAGTACCTTTCTCTTTAGTGTCCAGAACTTGTGTATTCTTGCAGCTAGCTCCTTGGGACGGTTAAGATCTTTTGCTATCTCTTCAACACTCACAAACTTATGAAACTCCTCCTCCATCTGTTTCAATCTGCAAAGAGTAATTATTCAAATACTTACTTTCATTAACTGTGGTAATTTGTTTTTTAACATAAACGAACTCAAACAAAGATTGGACGTGGAACAGTAACTACGACTTATTGCGCTCCAGATTATGATGAAAATGCTAAACAAAAAAAGGTGCGTTTTTATGACATGGTCATACTCACTTCTTTTGACGTAAGTTTTCTGCATCTTCAGATGTAGTGGGTTTTTCACTGCCTTCTTCCTGGGTTTTCTTGGTGGGTGACTTTCCTCTGTAGCTGTGTTTTGTACAATAACTCTAAATAGACAAAAGAGCAAAAATATGAAGTTGCCACTTTTTTTAAGGGCAAAGGGAGATATTTAGAGTAAAAACTAAATGGCGCCTGCTATGCAAGCTAAGAGTATCGGTGGCAAACTACAAGAGAAATGTGATTTATTACTTACAATGTGCCTGACTCCATCTGTAGCTGAATCATCTAAAATAGTCTTCATCTCAAGGCCATGTTTGAAACCACATGTCACATGGAAAGCAGTCACACAACTTTTTACCTAAATAATGCAACAACAAATACAGAACATATGTACAATCTTTTTTTTTCGTTGGTTTCAAAAACTCATCAGTTTCGTTTCTTGAACTCGCTGAGGAAAGGAAAGATGGTGGGAGGGGAGAGTGAAGATGTGTGATTCTGAAAGTTGCAATCACCTCAAGAAAATGGGATTGTTCCCTAACACTATTAATAATAATAACAATAATAATATTAGTATTATTATTATTATTATTATTACCCTTATTATTAATATCATTAAACTATGACACCTTTTGTGTAACCATTTTGCAGAAATCTAGACGTTGCATATTAATAAAAAATAGTGCACTGTAGACTGTGACTACCGTTCTCTAGGTGGACAAAACAAAATACTCACTGTGCATTGAATACAGGCTCCAACCTTCTCGCGGCACAAAAAACAAACTAGGTTCCATCTGCTGGCCTGAAAATGAACAGTTAAAAAGTAAATTTACTACATTCCTTTAGCACGTATGCCAGCAGGGAGTAATTTTTGATCTTTACACTGGAAAAAATTACTAATGTTCATAACAAAATAATACGAATGGTATTGACAACATTTGAAGGTGCCTTTTCTGTTTGCCTATGGTATAATACTTCAAACATTTTGAGCGGGCGAATAACGTCACATAACATCTAGAAAAATTCTATCTAACAATAAAAGGGATGACTGGTCAGTCTACACCTACACCCACACTGTGTGAGTTCCCTTTACACCTTTCTAAACACATTTCTTTTCCACTTTGTTGCACTATTGTTGGACTATAAGTAACATAGGGGTTATTCGGAACCTCCCACCTTGGTTCCAGCATTTAGCTTGGTATAAGCAAACTTATTCTTTCAACTTACAGGAATATTCTCAATCCGAGTAATTGGTTCCATTCTAGAAACATTTCCAAACCCTACTTCTGGAATCCACAGAGCACAACTCACATGAACCCAGCCCTTGCCATTCCTAAAGGAATAAAGATAACAGCTCTCATCAGCATCCACACTTCAAGGGTGACCATCGCAGAAACTTCAACTTCATCTATAGCCTAAAACAACTTACTTAGTTTTTTTCACTGCACCACCAGAATGATTGCACAGAACGCAGATGCAATTCTTGAATCCCTTGCGACAAGGATGACAGAGCCAGCTACCAGCAGGAATGTTCTGGATGCCATAACAAGCTTGATGGACGCAGATATCACATGAGTCACAGAATACCATCTCATTCATTTCCTCACTATCAGGCTAGAAAGTGGTTGAAAAACACTTTAGCATTTTTAAGTGCTAAAAGCTGCAAAATGCTCTTTCTCTTCATAAATCCTAATCCATTTAATCCATTGACTTAAGGACAAGTCTCAGTCTGTGATACTAAAATTCAGCAGCTGAGATAACAAATAGCAGTTGGCATTCTCTTGACGTTTTTGCTTGGCTATAATCCAAACAACTCTCCTTGGATCAAATGTTCTGAATTTGTGAAAACATTGCATGGATTATAGCCAAATATCTATGGTTAGGGCATAGAAAGGCTGACACACATCTATTGAAAACACAGATAATTGTCTATAACATTTGATCAATTAAAAACTATACAAATCAGCTACTGAAAGAAATGCAATGATCTTCCTGTGCTTTGCAGACTACAAATAAATTGTGTAATGTTTGAAAGTAAAATACTCTGCACGCAAAAAATAAAATATATGTACTTTTTATGTAACATACTTTTGCAAACAAAAAGATTTATAAATTACTTACAGACTGACAAACATCACAGCACACATCCTCATCATATTCTATACTAAGACCTTTCTGAGTGGCTATTGCATGCCCCATGTTGTCGTAGCACTGAGAAGAAAAAGGGAACAAATCAAGGTTTGATCCTTCCAAGAGTTAGTTATGGACAAATTAATAATGCAAGTCTATACACTAAATAGGGTCAGTTCCCCAACACAAACCCTGGGCATGCCAATACTGCATTTCTGTGGCAAAAATACCTTGTTTTCAATGTAAGCTATGGCCTTTTCCAATGTGGATTCCTCAAGTTCCATTAAGCCCTTGTTTTGTCGAGATCTATTCAATGCTGTCAGCCATTCTACATCCATTCTGCCAAGATCATAAGGGCATTTAGAGCCTGGAGGTCTGCCTCTTGTTTTACTTGGTGTAGAAAGCAGTTTGTTTTGTCTGGAAAGAAAAATAACACAAAGCACGTGTGTCAAACTAACATGACTATATAATGTGACAAAGCTGAAGAGTTACAATGGATTATTTTTTTCCAAATTGACTCAGAGACAATACATACAACTTAAATGTAGCTACTCTCTTGTAAAGTGGCTCCACAGGTCTGAAAAATAAAGTTGAAAACATTGAACATCAAAAGAAATAATTTACATTGAAAACCAATTTCCTTTTCCACAATATAACTGAAATTGTTAAAATCAAAGAGTGCAACATGTACACTTTGCATTCGACAATAAATTAATATCGAACTCTTACTGCTGAATACATACATTTTTAACACTCACCTGAATGATGGTTGGAAAACACCTTCTGGATTTACAGGCACCTGGGTTTGGAAACAAAAAGACATTAGGGAAGTTTTCAAAACTGTAGAAGGACAGGACCCAGAAAGGAGGACTTGTGATGTCTTCACCTCTAACCCATCTATAAAAACATGGTACAGATACAGCATTATGTTTACATTTACTGTAATTAGATACATGCAGTGATTTTGTTACAAATAATATTATTATGGTGAGTCCTGGGACGCATCTTGCAAAAAAAAATTCATGAGTCCCAGATTTAAAAAAAATGAGTGTGAAATTGAAAATGCTTGGGCCTTCATGTAACCGGACAAATAGTCTGAAGACAGACTTGAAAACTCTGTATTACAGCAGGGTGCAAAGAAAGTCAGTTTTACAGCCTGCCATTCGGGAAAGCTGTAGCCAGCATGTAGTAGCCCAAAAGTCATTTTAACTAGCCCAATGATGAGCAGAGTTGATAACAATTCTTTTGTGATTATAATTCCTTAAAAAAATTCACTTGTCAGGTGGGCAAGTTAAGAACAGAATTCACTAGCCCGAGAGTAAAATCCACTAGCCCCAGGCTATCGGACACGACTTTCACAGCACGATGTACAGTATACTGAATTAAAAATATAGTACTTCTATTTTAAAGCGCAACAAAGGCTAAAAGAAATATGCATCATTAAACAACAGCCATAATAACGGCCACAGAAATTATGCACACAGGATGTTTCTACAAATACATGCACATGTTCTGGTTGATTGATCGATCATTGAGCCCTACAGGACACATGCCATGAATCATTTTGCATCTTTGGGGATTTTTTTCGTCGGGACACAGGACACAGAGGTAAAAAAAAATTAACTGTATGCACTGAACATTGACCATCTCATGAACATCTCAGCCATTTGCTGTCTGGTATGTACCGTAAACATCACACTTGACCTTTCCAGAAAGTCATTTGAATACTCCCCTCTTTCCCAAGATTTAACATCCCTATGTGGCTTGACTAAGAACAGAAGCTTGACAACACGCAAAATACTCCTCACACGGATAAGGAACAAGGAATTATAGAATAAATTAGCTCATCACCTGCACTCCTCGTTCCCACTCCTGTCTCCAGGGATCACTTATGGTGATGTAGTTATCAGGACTCAAATTCTGATGATCTGGAAGCTTCATGGCACTTATCAAGTCTGTTCGAAAAATCTGTTGAACAATATGAATTTAAACATACTGAAAAATTTGGGTTATAGGTCCTACAACTTCAAAAGCATTGGTTTTCAGTTGTGTGGAAATGAAAAAAAACATTAAAGACCCTAAGATTGAAGTATCAGGGAAATAAGACCAATATTGATATCTGTTAAGTGTTTATGTTGTGGTTCAATTTTATTCTTAGTTTAAATTTTATATCCCTTTGTTTTGGGGTACTGTAATGTATGATAATCAGTTTAACACGAAAAGAAATAAAATTTATACCAAGAATAGAATTGAACTACCACATACATATAGTAATGGCATCTGACAACGAGAAAATTATTACAGATCAAATCTAATGCATTTTGTTACGGGTCCTGTGTGTCACAACCAGAAATATTTGAGATTTTGTGGACATCTATTTAGCTACTTTTCTCAATTTTTTGCAGGAGGCAGAGCAGGTTTTCACACAATAATTTATTGTATTCTCACAATACTCACAATAATGAATATATATATTGGTGATTAAAATGCTAATAAAATTAATAATAATTTATTCAAATAAACTGGTGTCCATTCTGACTTCAATATTCAATGTCATAATATTTTATTCAAAACTTCACTTCTTATCCACTGATTTCACTCACCTCAGCTGGTTTGCGACCCTCTATAGAAAAACTGGCAGGGGAAGGTGGGCGAGATGACCCTGTTTCAAAACATGATATTGACATATTATTCTTGCCTGGGTTGCTTAAATACAATTAACCTTAATTAGATTTCGCAAACATTTTCAAATATTTATACACAACAAAATCTTCACATTAAATATATTTCATTGGAAAGCTTTAGGGGCAACTTCCTTTGTAACAGAGAGATTAAGCAACGCATTTACGGCAAATGGCAAACATGAATTTGTACCACGTGACCAAGTTTCTCCTTTACTTGGCATTTACTGTTCATTATAACTACATGAAAAGCGGTAGGTTCACACTAAATCTATCTATAAGAATTGTTTTAAGCAGTTTTTATCTGTTCATTTCCCATTTTGAAAATTTCTCAACTTGAATCTCACATTTGCCGTTTGCCACAAACGCTATGCTAAATCTCCCTGATATTTTGTCTGTCAGTGAGAGTACCACAAGCAAGCTATTTGTTACAAAATGAACCAATCTTTGTTAAAGGAAGAGGTCCTTACTTAATTAAATTTGCCTTAGAATTTTAATTCAAATTTTATCCAGATAAAAAGAACAACAGTTACTGTTATAGAATTACAGAGTTAAGTTAAACTTAAATAAATGGTATGGTATATGTGGTAACAATAATAATTTTACTCCTCTCTTAAACTGCATGGATGTTCCAACTATTCAAGCCCAACTACAACAAAATACACCCTTTCTCAAAACCAAACAAAAACATCTGACTTACCCTTAAGTTCATCAGCAATTCCAGCTATAGAATTCAACAACCTTTGAGAAAAAAATTTAAAAAAACTGAAATATTTTCTTATTATAGTTACATTTAAGCACAAGAAATGGCAGAATTATGTGTCACATTTAGGCTACATTCACTCTATACCAGACAGTCTTCTGTGGAGTCACAAAGAGCTGTTCAGTACAGTATGAACCAATCCAATAAGTGACTCTCTGATTTAGAGATTGTAGCAATGCCGCAGTGCTGTGTCACAATCATTTTTGTGTATGAACAGAAGACTTATCCAGTACGGGTTTTGTGGCAGCGTAAAAGCTACCCAGTATAGGGTGAACATGACCTTAGAAATTGTAAAGCACAACAATTATCCTTGTTTTGGCCTAGATGTTAAATTAGATAGTTAATCTAAACATACAAATACCCTTTAAGTTCCCCTTGCTGGGTCTTCTTGCCTCCTTTTTTGTCCAAATCTAACTCATCTTCTTCTGCAAAATGTGACCAATAAAAATAAAATGAGTTCTTTCTACTCAGAGTCTATTTCCTTGTTATATTTTGATTATCATTTACTAGCTTGACTTCTTGTTTGTTTTTTTACGTCATACATACACAGGTGATAACCTCCGGCATCCTGAAATCTGATCATCTCTTTCACAGTACCCCCTCCCTCTCAATTTGTTTTCATCGTCAACCCACCCTACACTAACCTACTCAACTAACCTTATCCCTGAGATCATGAAAATTAACCTGATCAATACAAATTTTCCAGACCACAGAAAAACCAAAAGACAAAGTAAATAAGGACATGATAATTGAGATCTTTTGACTGTGTGTCCTGAAGGAACCCTGAAAAAAGGAAGTAGCATGACCCTTGAATGTCACAAACTAGACGGCACACTAGTGGGTTCCAAATTTATCAAGTCAACAAAGTGCAAGGTTCAAGGGAATAATGTTCACAAAAAACATGTCTTTACAGGTAATTGTACAACTAGAAAAATATTTCTAGGAAAATGTACAAATGGCAAAAATAACTTGGATGCTGCTATACACAGTGTGGTCAGTGTGTAACACAATCAATGCAAAAAATTCAGAGATTCGAAAGTAAAGATAATTCTACTCATTTTATGCTAAATATTTATTGGGCACGCAAGATCTACCTTTGTTGATTTCCATATAAAGTGTACAAGAATATAATTACGCTATATTCAGTTAGCAAGGCTCATAGATAACCTTTGTACACCAGACATGGGTACATAGACTAGCCTAATGATCAAGTCTATTTCCGTTGCCTACCGCCTGCTGTAAATTACGCAAGTAAACTTAAGCTTACACATCAAGCTTATTAACATTTGATCCACGCATGAAAATCCGGGAATAATAAACAACGTGCAATATCTAAAGGTGTGGATTGAATAATATACAGCGGAGAGATCACTATTACGCCTAATTCGCACAACTACAGCGCTAACAGACAGCAATTCGGGCAAAAACCAAAACTTATAAATTATACATTTGCCTCGGGTTAAAATCACATGGTTTGAAACCCGATAACAAATAACCTCCAAAACATGCAAACCGTTCGCCATGTTCATACACCGTGGAAATTAATGACCCGATCGAAAATTTCTACGATGGATTTAAAGGCGAAAGGATCACACGTTCATGTATGAAAATGCTGTCGATATAAGTATACCTTTTCACAAAACAAGAAAGCTTCGAAAACGAAGGATCAGTTTCTTCTAATGCATTTCAGTCACGAAATTAATGGGCGCGAAAGCTTTCGTTGTGAACAGAGCTATTGTGCTTTCGTAATATTGCAAAACCGACCATTAATACCACAGACGTTCCCACAGGTAAAACACGAGACTGTGTAAGTATAATCAGAGGCAAAACCAAGCACAATTCAATCAATATCGCCGCTTTCAGGCGAGCAAAGAAGAAAGGTCCTCCGCGCATAAATTACAAAACAAAACGCTCCACCGACAACGGAGGCGAGGTCTTACCGTCGAAATCTTCGCCGCTTCTTCTGTCCTTTTTCGCCTTAGAACCCATTCCAATTCTTGCAAATGTAAAGCCTAGGTATTAAACTTCGTCTTGAAATTAGAATTTTCACCATTCCACGGCATTTCAGGAGGTAAAAACCATGTTGTTTTCAGCTTGCTAAATCGTTCCCGCCATTGGTAGACGTCATTATCGCTGGAGTCACTCAGCCGTATCCAAATGACGTCACCATATTTGGCGAGAAAGCATAAACTCGTTCCCAATGTCTTTCTTTCACCACCTCAAAACGAGGCCACCGAGAAACGATAGGTCCAAAATGCATGCATGCGATATCTTCCCTTCTAATATTCTCTACAATAAAATAACCGAAATTTATGTTCTTCAAGGACAGGGTGACAGATTTTCTTTTCAGTTGCAGCTTACGAATACAGTCATCTTTCATTGCCATTGGCAGTAGAAACGTCGGCAATCAGGTAGTTGTTACAGGTGTTTTAGAATAATCAGTTTTTCGTTTGTCTGGTTTTCTTTAATATTTTTTGGCAAGAATTTAGAAAACCGTATCAATTGAACCGGCAAAATATTATTCAACGCCATTTCGGAAGGTCCACATTGGGTTTAGAGGGATGTACGATTTGGATATTTTTTGTGGAATTTGTAAAACGAGTTCCTGTTTTTATTGGGTTGAGATAAGAGAATCATAGGGTCAAAGTAGAGGCCGGGGTACGGAAATTCAATTTTTTTTCGTGACCGCATTCAGTAATATCTTTAATAGCCTGAGTATTAGGCGTTTCTGAGGGAAAAGGAGAAGAGAGAAGCGAAAAGAGGAAAATCTCCTCCCCCCCCCCCCCCTAACATCTAAGCAAGGCCTGATACTAGTCTTAAACTACACCAGCGTTCAACTGATCTATTTTGGGTGTGACTACCTTTGTGTAGGCAAGTTATGAGTAGTAATAGTATGGTAATGGAAGTGAAGCCCGTCTGATTTATCCATTGATTATCACCTTGGCCCCTGCTTTGATGTGATATGCTCGTCTTATTCCGGCATTTCCGTCTTTGTCGTTTTCGTCACAAGAAAGAGGTCTGAAGTCAAATATGTTTTTTTTTTCAAATTGCCCGTGCTTTCCCTTCGACTATTCTTTTGACTGACTGACAACAAACAAACAAACAAACAACAATGTATTTTTTAGAAGAAATATAAAGTTCACAATACTTTATGTCCTGCAAATAGCTATAATGCTAATCTAGCCGGGACAATGCAAGACTTTGAATAAAGACGTTATTAAATTACATAGGAAAAAAGAAAAGAAAAGAAATACAAAAACATATAGAAGGAAACATCTTACATATAAATTCAATTACATGGGATTTTGTTATTTGAAAAAGACTAAAATTACAACTCGAGGTATATACAACATATCAGGTTAACTTTCATAAAATGTTCTATTAAATAATCAACATTCAAATAATTATCGTCATTACCTAGAACATTAAGGAGAAGTGATTTAATTTTTTTGCGTTAGTTTGGCCAGTTTGGCCACATAGCTAACCTGCGATCAGGAGCTCCTTCTATCCTTTTTCTTTCCTCTTGGTATAAAAGAATGTCTCTTTTTTGAAAACAAAAAAGATGAACCAGTAATATTGAACGGCAAATCGCTAATCCCAATTGCTGGAGCTCTATCAACGATCTCGATAATCATAGCCATCCATGTACAAAGATCGGAGAAATGTAAACAACCTTTTTCTCTTTAAAAACTAAATAACAAGCACAACTCATTGTACTATGAGGACAATCTTACTGTAAATAAACAGAATAAACAACAAGGTAGCCCAAGTTTGAAGTAGCACCAAGAGTAGTGGTTTACGACGATTTTTCACAAACTGACGAGCTTAGGAAATCCTTATAAACCTGTGTATTGGGGAGGGACAAAACAAATAAACGCTTTCCCTTGCACTGAAACTCGGCCAAAAGGGACATCCGGATCTAAGTCTGATTGTTTTGCTATAAATAAATATATAGTGCTTCAGTTTGTTTACTCCCAGAAAAATTAGAAGCGCGGGTACATTCTTCAAACTTGCAACCAAGAGAACAACATGGCAGGGTCATGAAAAGACCCGAATGAAGAAGGGCCTGAATGATTCACACATCGCAGAGATGAGGACGAGTTGGGGAAGAAGTACAACACTCCTTTCAGGGTAGCCTGTGTACAGACGTCCCCCCTCCCTTAGGAAAAATCGGGAGATTTTTACTGAGGGAGAGGGGACGTCTGTACACAGGCTACTTTCAGGGGCACCCTATGGATCTGTTCCTCAAAACATCTGTTTTTTAGTCCAATTTTTGCTGGCTGGGAGAGCCACTAAGATCTGTAAACAGCCTTTTTCTCTTTAAAAACTAAATAACAATTGCAACTCATTGTACTATAAGGACAATCTTACTGTAAATAAACAACAAGGAATTTTGCTCCAGAACGGGGCGTTTAATAGTCGACTTCCTAGTCCTGAGCATGATTTCCTGTACTTGCGCTATTTTCGGCTGATAGTGAGGATGGGTTTCTACTAGACAGGAGCTTCAGTTACTGAATTCGATTTTTTTTTTTCTCACGTATACGCGTGAAGATTCTTGATAGCCTCCCCCGCGGACATTTTTAGGCGTGCGTCACGCGTTCCTTCTCCACGAAATGGGGAAGGAACGCGGAAGGCTAGATTCTTAACTGATCTTAAGGAGGATGGTCTGCGAACCACAGACGTATTTCCGGTGGTAGATTCTCTCCTTCCAAGAAATTAAAAAATTCGGAGGGAGAGAAGCGACGACTGATAATACGTCTGCGGTTTGCAGGCTACAAAGACGATCCTCATCTCGAGAATCTAGAAAAATAAAGTTAACTGGTTTTCAATAGACAAATCATTTTTCGTGATATTTTACACAGCACAACGAAGACATACGTGTACCGCGAAACAAATTCTGGCGATCAAAAGTGTACTGTTGCCCTATGACGTGCCCGTCATTAATGGCAGTGTTTCCAGCTTAGTCAGGTAATTTTGGTGAGAAAAATTTGGTTCTCGTATTTTTATTGCGCGATTTTAAAGGTTCCCACGTGAGTCATTAGATCTGTACTTCAATATATAGTGTAGCATTTAGACATACCAACAGTTAGTTATACTTGATGTTCACAGGTAGCCCAAGTTTGAAGTAGCTCCAAGAGTAGCGGTTTACGACGATTTTTCACAAACTGACGAGCTTAGGAGGGGGAGTGACATAACAAATAAACGCTTTCCCTTTCACTGCAACTTGGCCAAAAGGGACATCCGGATCTAAGTGTGATTGTTTTTCTCTGTTAATACATAAATAAATATCAGGAGCCGATTAATCGGCTTCCGTAAATATATAGTACTTCAGTTTGTTTACTCCCAGCAAAATTAGAAGCTCGGGTATATTCTCAGTTCAAACTTGCAACCAAGAGAACAACTTGGCGGGGACATGAAAAGACCCGAATGAAGAAGGGCCTGAATGATTCACACATCGCGGAGATGAGGACGAGTCGGGGAAGAGGTACAGCACTCCTTTCAGCACCTTCCCTTTTAATAATTTTGATATCAATGGCTTCGTCAAGTGGAAGTGGTATGGTGAGTCGTAAAGGGGTTCCCGTTTTGATAACAGCGGGCTTTAGATTGAACTGATTACTTATCAGATACCTCAAGGAATGCCAATTGAAAAAGGAGTTCCTCGTTTGCCCTTAAAAGCGGAGTACTTACGCGAGTACTTATCAAATCGCTTACTACTCCGGATCATCAATTGCAAGCGAACTGGTCTTCATAGCAAAGAAAAGTGGAGAAATTCCCTAATTCCTTTCTAAATTACGATTAGAGTCGACTATGAATGCTTCTTCATCAATGCAGAAGAGAGGAAAAATGCAAAGAGTGAAAGCCTATCCTCAGCCTTTTGACTTAATCTTCCAAGTTGTTTGTAGCAAGGACACTTTTGACACAGAGTTCATGGCGGCAAAAAAGATTATTGAGTCGTTTCGCCAAAAAAGGGAAGACTTTGAAATCGATGCTGTAAGTTCGTCGGGAATGACTGCCCTTACCCAGTGCGTTCTGGATGGCAACTTGAAGAGCGTCAAAGCCTTGGTTGCTCTCGGAGCCAGTGTGAACAAGAAAGATGGTCAAGGCTATACACCATTGCACTACGCTGCAAGCGAAGGCTACATCAAGATTGTTAAGTTCTTGCTAAGGTGCAACGCTGATGTGCGAGCTGTTAATCGTGACCAGGAGAAGCCAATGGATATTGCGGACGGGGAAGATGTGCGTAAACTTTTGTCTCGGGTTGCTTTAGTCTATTCACCTGTTAGCAGGTCACCGACACGCCGAATTAGCTCACCTGGTTGGTTATAAGAATCTTGTTTCTGCCGACTTCATACTTTCTTGTAAGAATTCAAATATAAAGCCACTTTGAAACCCCTGGTACCCAGGGTAGACTCTCTGAAGAGCAAGAAAAAACTGAACGGGTGGGGACTGGGGAGCTGCTCCATTTTCCCGTAAAGAACTAAGATCCTGGAACAGAAAGGACTGGAGATTTAAAGCAAATGATCTAGATAGTTATGTCTTATGTTGGTTAACTACTATTTATTTTGTTTTACGGCAACTAGTTATTAATGATTAAGATACTACCGTACTGCCGATAAAAAGTATTCGGAAGATAACAATGACCTCAGCCAGCACCAGGCGGGGTCATAAAAGCTGGTCTCGGTCATTGTCATTTAAGAATTTTCATTTTATTCTCCCCTAGTTAACACACAGGTAGCCCAACCTCGAGGTATACTGTTGCATAACCTAAGAAAGGATTTCTATGGGGAAAAATGATTGAAACTGTAAGTACGATTGTATATGACGAGAAATAAGAAAGCGGCTTACGATTTTTTTTAAAATTACGCATGGGTTGCAATAAAACCCATAAAATCGGTTTGGAAACCTTATCAGAAACAAAACAACCGTTTTTAAGTTAAATCTTCTCATATACTTAGGTTACAGAAAACATTTGTTTTGGCAAATTTTGCCTGGGCTACCTGTGGTTATCATCACAAACGGAAAGTGTAGCTATCGCAGGAGCTATATTTATTATTTTATAATAAAAACTCTTTAAGCTGTCAGCATAAACTATCACAATACAAAAATGCTTTTCATTGTTAGTCTGCCCCCCTCCCTCCCCTCCCAAATTCATGCGTTCCGCTCTGGAACTCGCTCATAAATTATACGAGTTGACCGCTGGTTGAATCTGCCGAAATTGGAGATCAGACAGAAATTTGTGATTTTTAAACGAACAGGTCGCGATCGAGACGGCAAATGTAGGGGTAGCTGTTCCCTTTTTACTGATTTAAGATGGGGAATTATCGTCAAGGGCGTGTTAGTTTATGTCAAATCATAGCCGTTGTTTTTATGTGTCGCGTCACAGTGGCTTGTGCGGCAGTTCCCGACGAACTTGAAGGTCTTGCCGGGCACGTTCTTCGGGCTTCAGAAAACATCCCAGCTAAAGATGACAATGGCCTTACAAAAATTTCGGATTCCGTGTCCTTTTTGCAGCCGGTGGAGGACGACGTGGTAAGAATCCTGCATTTTTTTTATGTGATGGTCGATTTATAAGCTTACAGAAGATGCCGATGTTGCTTAAAACATACCAGTTAAGCCTAATTTTTTATTTAATGTCACATGGAAAATTAAAAATATTTTCTCTAACACGTCATTATGGACGATTTGTAGTTAACGGCCCAAATTGAGCTCACAAAAGAAGAGCTCTTGTTAGTAAATGCGAGTAAGTAGCTTATGAGTTAACAAGGGGAGTTTTATTTGAATAGCTTCCTTCTTAATTCTACCAAAGACCGCATTAATTGCAGAAAATGAACTAATATAATCACTATTAACCAGCTCCAATTAAACGAAATCGTTTTGAACGTTAAACAAACATTGCTATCTCTGATGGCACTGTTTTCCGGCCAGTCAACTAGCATGATAGTTTTTTCATGTTGTTTTTCAGTGGTTCAAACGATGGGTGCTTTCCTATGGGTTGGTCTCTTGCTTTCCTTGGAAATAAAATAATATATTTCTAAATCACAGTCTGGGCCCAGTTGTTCAAATGCTGACTAGCGCTATCCACCAGATAAATCACTATCCAAAAAAGTATTACAAAATCAATTGCGCTATCTGCTGGATAGTGATTTATCCGGTGGTTAGCGCAATCCAGCTTTTGAGCAACTAGGGCCTGATCTATTGAATCCACTCTGGACAGGAATTGGGCTATTGCATTTAATATCTGTACCCCCAATTGTGTACCAATGGAACTCTTTGGGGGTAGGTTATAAAAATTGAGGATTTCTTAATGGGTAGAGTAAAAAAATATGGGATTATTTCAGGGGTGAAGCATTAATTTTAATGAAATTCTTCAGGGGCAGAAACCATGTTCTTCAGGGGTAGACCCATATTCTTCATGGTTAGACCCATATTTTATGGAAGTTTTTAGGGGTAAATTCAATTTTATTTAATCTTCAGGGGTAAGAATAAAAAGTAAGTCGTCAACGAGGGAGTTATGGCTATAAAAATAAAATTGCAATAGCCCATTCTTTGAGTAACTGACTTCAGTGATCCAATAGTGGATCTGGGCAACTTCAGAATACCTGGCCACAAATGTACGTGTTAAATGTACTGCTATCGCGATCCACAGTCTGCAGCCAGTAAAAAAAAAAAGGTTGTGTAAATAGGCAGCAAATTTGAAATTGAGTTAGTGTAAATGTATTGCTGCCATGGTCTACAGTACAGTAGTGAATTTAACATTGAGTAAGTGTATAAATGTACTGCTACTGCGGTCCGCAGTCCCGAAGTCACTGAATATTAAGTTTAGTAGTATGACTGCTTTATTTTAAACTGGCTCAGTTGGGATTGGTGGATTATTAAGAACAAAGTACATTTCATGTATAATGTGCTTGCAAGCCCCAGATATGTTGATACCATTTCCAGGGATCATGTTATGTCCTCTTCCCTTTCCAGTCACCATCAGCTGTCAGCTGGCATATTTATTTAGCATTTTAAACAACCACAACATCTTTATTAACCCGGTTGCATTATCGTTTTCAGGATGCTGTCTTCCAAGGTTCTATATCAAAAGAAACAACAAAAGCATCTCGCCGGGCATCAAGTATCTTTAGCTTTGACTTTTTACATGGTTTTGTAGCTGCGTTATCTGTCATAATTGTATCAGAGCTAGGCGACAAAACATTCTTTATTGCGGCAATAATGTCAATGAGACATTCCAGGTTGGTAGTTTTCACTGGAGCCATGGGAGCACTGGGTCTCATGACCGTCCTTTCAGCAGTTCTGGGTTTTGCAACAACTGTAATTCCACGAAAATACACACTGTATGTATCAACGGCTCTGTTTGTCTTTTTCGGTCTTAAAATGTTAAAGGAAGGATATGAAATGGATCCCAATGAAGGGCAGGAGGAATTAGAAGAAGTTCAAGCGGAACTTAAAAAGAAAGAGGCTGAGGTTAGTATTGTCACCTGCATAAAACTGGTATGGTAACTTAAATAGTTTTCACTGCCTGGTGCATTAATTTTAGCCTGTGCTACTTGCGGGTAGTATTAATCACGTAGGGTTTCTGTTTTCTTAAATTACAAAATTCAAATTCATGAAATTATGGGATTAGTTGGCATATTCAGAGAAAACAAGAAGAAAGAGCCCTCTTGCCAAAAATCGCCCTTTTTAGTGCAAATTTGTCGTTTAGATAGATATAAGCACCGGTTTGCTCTGATGACTCCATACAAATCCTTCAAAAATTGGCTTGGATCATAATGGTAACATTCCCGGCCTATTTTAGAAGGATTTATATGGAGTCATCAGAGCATAACTTTGCTTACCGGTATATCTCATCACCAGTGACAGGCTGATTTTTCCAAGTAAACATTTTTCATCTTGTTCTTTCTGGATATGTAAGTAAGTGAGTACAGTCGACTCCTGATAATTCGAACCTTCAAGGGAAATAGACAAAAAGTTCGAGTTATCGGGAGTTTGAGTCACCAAGGGTAAGATTATATAGAAAATAATTCGAAGGGAAATGAAAATTGCTTCCAGTTAGCAGGAGGTACGAGTTATAGAGGGTTCGAGTTACTGGGAGTTGATTGTAACCTTATTTAATCAGGGTAGCCTGTTCAGCAATGAGGCTGGTATCCATAGGGGCTCTGAGAAATAAAAAAGTATACTATTTAAAAATTCCTTAGGTATGTACATGATAAAATTAAACAATAATACAGTAGAAAATCAAGCTAGGTCAATATAAAGAGTGTGTGCTAAGAGATAAGGTAAAATACTCGGTCAGCATCTTTTTAAAACTATTTATTTATTATTATTTACTATTATTTTTTTTGGATATATTATGTTACATAAAGCTGTCTTTCTTTATTTTAAGTTGGAAAAAGAGCAATCTTCAACCATCACTCAAGATGTTGAGACTGGTGTTATCCGAGGTGGAAAAAAGCATGCAAAGTTTTTTGGTCTACTTTCACCCATACTACTTCAAGCATTTACACTGACTTTCCTAGCAGAGTGGGGAGATAGATCACAGATTGCAACTATCCTGCTTGCATCAAGAGAGGTAGGTTTTTGAGGGAGTTAATATCTGACCTTCCAGGAGAAGAGACATTCTTGAGATCTTTCTTAACTTTCTGTCTTTTCAACATGCAAAGAAAGTATTGTGTCTGTTGTACTTTAGACTGTTCACAGTCCTCTATTTTTCTGTAAGATCATCGAGGTTGAGCGATTTGCATTACAGGCTGCCATCATCCATGAGTGTCAAAACTACTTAGGGGGAGAGGGCGGTTTGGGAGGAGGCAAGAAAAATAGAGGGACTGTAATAACATCACTGCAGCTCGCGTTCAGGAGGCGTGACAGGAATTTCATGCCTTTTACCATTCATTAATTAAGAAACTCCGCTGGTGATGAAAAACATACCAGACACATTTAGCATCGATTACGCGTGTTTACAAATATTTCCTTTCGAAACAGTGATATTTTATAATGTTCCTGGGCCATTCCTCGAAATAAAATCGGCAAACACACACAAGAAAACATTTCCCCTCCCCCCCACCCCCTCGGTACATTTAAAAATCAAGATAGCCGTGATGGTAAGACACGGTATATTGAAACGATTTCACGAAAAAATAGGGGACTGCGAACAGTCTAGTTGTACTTCAATTTTGTTCATGGTAGAAATTGTCTTTGTACTGTTACAATAAAACTGGTACAAAATTATTGATCCAGTACAAAATTTATTAAATGGGTCTCATTATACCTTTTTAAGAAATAGTCATAGTTTACAGATATCTAGGGTTAGGGTTCGGGTTTAAGCATTCATTTTACTGATAAGGGTTAAGTACAGTCTTTCAGCACGTGTAGCCCTTTACATGGTCAGAAGGGTTTGTAGTAGTTATTAAAGTCAAAATGTCTTGTTTTACTGACAGAATGTTGTGGCAGTGATAATTGGAGGAACATTAGGGCATGGCTTATGTACTGGTCTTGCTGTTGTTGGAGGAAGATTAATTGCCCAAAAAATATCTGTCAGAACAGGTAAGTTACCTTTTGATTTTTTGTTCAAGATTTTTATTTTTCTATTTATTTGGTTTTTAAACACTTTGCATATATTTAAGGAAATTCTGAAAGACAAAACAAAACAAAAAAGAAGCAGTAACCAAAGCAGAGATGAAAGTAATTAATGAGAAGCTTAAACAGGAAAACAAAATTATTATTACAAAAGAGAGGTAGTGAGTCAGGTAATGAAGCAAAAAAATTTGTTTTGCCTTTTGGAATCTTTTCATCTTTGATAGAAAGCAGGAAACAAAAAATAAAGGAGAGTTCATTCAACTAGTTGCCTTGTGTGAAGTGTTTGTTCCACTTCTGAATTGATTCTTTGCTGTGAATTTCGAAGGAAGTTCCCCAAACATTGATCTACATAAATTTAAATAATTATTATTTCACTGCACCCATGTTTGTTATTAGACTTGCTTTTGATTCTCTGACACCAAAAAAGACAAGAAAATATGTCTAGACCAATCGGGTAAAAGTATGATATAGTTCATTTACACGGGCATAAAAATACGGCCTGTAATACTGTTATTATGGCTTCAGTTACTATTACTGTTTCTGTAGTGCTCTTGTAAACTGGCTTAAGTGTCTCCCTTAGGGCAGATACAGTAGCTGTATTAGCCCTTTAAGCCCTAAGAGTGATCAGCATCAAATTTCTCCATGTAATATCAATGCTTTGTATAACAGTGTGGTCATGAGAATTAAAGACATATGATCACACAAGATGAATCTTGCTTGATATTTTATTTAAACATTTCCCCACTACTTCTGTAGGAAATGAATAGGGGCAACAAATGAGAATTCCAATTTTTATCTTAGGGTTTAAAGGGTTAAATAGTCTAAGGCCACTTCCAGAAAGTTTGATCAACCCAAATCCTGGATTAAAATTTTAATCAATGATTGCATTAGGCTGAGGAATGCCACCACTGGTTTCCCTGCACGATGACATCTGAGAAACAAGCCCAGCATTCCCCTACTGATGACGCGTCACTAGCCAGATCTGGGTAGTGCTTCTGATAGGCTGAAGCAAATTTCCCATACAGCAAGACCAATCAGAAGCACTACCTGGGTCATCAGTATGGAATTTCTGGGCTCATATCTCACATGTCATTTCGTGGGAAAACCAGTGTTGGTGTCATAAAATGTCAGCTGTTTTCTCAGGCTGTGATTGTATTTACTAGCCTTAGCAGAGCTGTCATTAAGGGCTGGGGGCTGGCGATTTTCCTCCAGCTTCCATGAATATATTCACCCCCAGCTACGTTCATAGGAAAATAGAAAAGAAATGCAACCAAAAGAAATCCCTAGCTGTTTGATCCCCCCCCCTCCCCGCCTACTTGTTGTATTTGCCTGGCAACTTGAAATCTTATTGACAGCCCTGCTTAGACTCATTTTGGGTTAATAAAACTGGATCTTGTGGTAAAGGTGTGGCAATATTTGGAATGTTCCAGTTACATGCCCTTAGACAAGAAATCATTGCTTAAAAATTATGTGGCTTAACCTTAGGTGAATCTTAACCTAAAAGTAACTGGGGCTTGTTCAAAAATTAATTTCATAGAATGCCATGATCTTTGATGTTGTTCCGTAATTTAGAATGTTTTATTTTAAGACACAATGATTTATTTGTTTATTTGTTTTTTCTCTTTTTCAGTTACCATCATTGGTGGAATTGTGTTTTTAATATTTGCATTAACAGCATTCTTCATTGAGTAATGAGCCAAAAGTATTGAGGACTGTACAGATGAATGATACTGCTGCACAATTTAAATGAGCCTCCTGTTTCAGGAGGGTTAAATTTGATTATATTTCCTGGACAATGTGGATTTCCTAACCTGATGGTCTGATCAGCATCAGTCATGTTGACGTTGCTGCAGTCAAATGCCTACTTATGTACACCTGCTGTGGATTGTAAATGGCCGGATAAAAGAACATAATCCAGAGAAACTTCTGCTGTGTTCAAACACTGCTGGGCAATGAGTCATTAAATTATCCACACAATGTTGAAGATTGCCAACAAAGGCCGAGTAAAGGAGGTCATTAAGCAAAAGAAACCCTCGTCAATAGGGACCTTCCTCCATTTACAATCCTCTCCTGGGAATACTGAACAACTAAGTAACTCTATCTCATTCATTTTGCATCACTGATGAAATTCAAGCAATTTGAACAAAATGTTCATTTGTTATTTAAACAATGCTTTGAAAATTGGAATTTTTTTTTCCTTTTATGTTTTTTGCCAGAGCAAAAGAACAATATTTTTTTCGGTATAACCATTATACACCATCGCTCATTGAGGTATCCCTCTTGGTATCAGAAAGTAAAAAAGTGTTATTTAATTAGCATTGTGCAATGAAATAGGCCCCTGGATTACTCGGATACCTGGGACAGAAACCTTTTAATTATCACAAATCTCTGTCATCTTTTAAGACAAACCATTTTAGAGGCCACTTCGCCATATACTTGAGTACCGGTATATGTGGGCTTAGTTGTATTGAAAGGAGAATAAGTTATCTTTTATGCCAGAAGCAGATAGTAGTAGATATACCTAGTAGATAGTATTAAGAGTAACAGAGGTCTCTGTCAAGCCAAACTGATGATGATAGAATAAAGCTCTAAATTATCTGTTTTGAGAGTCATTCTGCTTTGCTTGTCTCTTAAGCTTATTTCTACAATCCAATTTGAAAAAAAATGGGGCGTGTTTGAAATAAATTACAATTTGGTGTTGACAAAGCAAGTTGGGCTGGTACAGGGTCAGTGGTTTGATAAGTTCAAATAATACTGTTATTGAAAAAGGCAGGTAAAACTGTTTGTTTATGAGGCTGCTCTTCTAGTTTTTATAACAGATGAAGATAAGAATTAAGATAGCAATGTAGCCTATAAGTTTGGAGTTGGGTTACTGAGTTCATATTGTAATGTAGAACACAATATTTATCCAGGGTTCATGAAAAAAAAGTAACCATATTTAAGGACTTTTCAAGGACCCCATTTGATTTTCAAGGACCACCTACCAGGAAGATTAGTCCCAGATTTGTATATAAATGCACATTCCAAGTCCAAGCTAACAGGACTTTACTGCGCTTTTCAAAAACACATGAATTCTGAAGTTCAAAAGCCAACTGATGTTTGCATTTTTCACTGCCGTCAATCATCTTAGTGGACTTCTTAGGAAACAAGTTTACTTCGAAGGGTTCGAAAGGTCATTGTTTGTGATTGATGGATTTCAATCCGTAATTATCGAAAAACACAATAATTTTGTGAAGGCAGCTTTTGAACTTCAGAGTTCACATGTTTTAGAAAAGCACAGAAAGGCTTGGACTGTTTGCTCAACCAGTTTCTCTACATTTTTTCAGTTCACTTGTCCTAAATTGATAGTTAATTCTTGCATAAAACACAAAACGTGTTATGTGAATCACCTTTAAACTCCGGGGATGATCTATATTCTTTCTTGGACAACCAAAAAGCATTTAAAAAACACTTTCCCCACCACTCATTTCAAAGTTGAAGAAAATTCAAGGACTCTTGAAGACTGTGCAGTCTGAAATGGTTTTCAAAACATCAACAAAAACAGCAACTTGGTTATTTTTTTAAATTCAGAACTTTATTTTTGTACAGAAGCTCAGTCCTCACTTTCCACCTTTTGTGTTTGTAGCCCTGGAAACAAATAAACAACAAAATCAGAATAAAAATGCAATTTCATAAAACATTTGCTGTGGAAAACAGCAGTAAGATATTACTTTAAATTATTTTAAGAAAAATGTTAAAGCATGACGTCACATCAGGAGTCCCTTGGTGTTACAGCACCCTTTAGTTATTGGATAGTGGCAACAGGGCTGACATTAAGATTTCAAGTTGCCAGAATATATTTAAGCAGCTACTGTGTAGGAAGTTCTTTTGGTTCTATTTCCGTTTAGCATTTTCTACACATTGTGCTTATAGCAGCTGGGGAAATTCCTGTCTCCTTGCCCTTAAAGACAGCCCTGTGGACCGTCTATTAACTTCTGACCAGACGGTTGGCCACCATAAGTGTAAGTGAACAAATAGGTCTTTAAATGACAGTGTGCTTTTACAGCTGAAGCCATAAGAATGTCAGTGGCGGATCCAAACCGTCAGATAAAGGGGGACAGGTGGTCATCTAGAACCTGAGATAGAGGGGGGAGGGGAGGGGAGGGACGGGGGTCTCAAAAACATTTTTTCAGCCCTTCCGGCCTCATTTTGGTCCGCCACTGAAGTGGTCATATTGACTAGGTGGCCATAGTTCCAGTGTAGTGTATTATAAAACAATGAAAGACTTACCCTTGAATGTAGCAACAGGAACGTGAGTAACAAGGGTATACAATTTGTGAATAGAGTCTTCATCTTCATTTCTCTTACGAGCAAGACGAATTCTGACCCTAAAAGGTACATTTCTAGAAAACCAAAAGAAAAATACAACATTGAATGAAATGTCCTTGGCCAAAACAATACCTGTGTAAAATAAACTTTTCCAATACAGTGAAGAACAACAATAAAGCCAGATAACAGACACGAGCTAAAATAGAGTGATTTTACTTGATCTGTGAAACAGATTATAACAACTAGTGCAAAATAGCTATAAATAAACAAAAGAAGACAATAGAATTAGTGCATCATGGTACAAGGTATTCTACTACCTATTTCATAGGTTTAGTAAAATCACTCAAAAACTTCCCCAAGAATGCAGAGGTGTCACACCACTTTAAAAAACCCTCCTATTCCATTGAACCCCTGTATGTTGCAGCTCTTTTGTTTTCGGATTAAGTTCCATTGTCAACTTTGTTTGCTTGATTGTTTCCCCAACCAATCCTATAAGTGCCTTTAAGCATGCACCTCAAATGCCAATGTTTGGAGGTCCCTCAAAGGAGAAGGTCACTTTCAGAAACCTGTCTTGCCCATCCTTAAAAACTTTCATCAATGTTTTTCCTGACCTGACTGACCATCCCCGAATCTCCGAGGATGTTGTGAGAGGTGGTCATACGTGGAAGTTTGTTCTCAATCAATTCTAGTGGGAAATACAGTGGCCTTTTAGGTTAGATAACAGTAAAGTCAGCATGTTTTCTTAAATACAAGATGACTTGATTTTTTAAAATTCATGAACCTTTCAATGTAGCTGGACTCAAATCTGTGAACCCATACTCTCATACTCTTCTTTCGGGGGATCTAACCGTTGAGTGATTTTGGTCGTAGCAGTAAAGAAAACACACCTGATACCCTTAGACCACACATGTTTGTTCAAGTTGGTGTCTACACGGACATCTGGGGTCCCCATCATCTTTTCCGCAAACTTCTTTATTTCCTTGATAGCCCTTGGAGCTCGTCTCTTGAATCCACTGTTAAAAGCATTTTGCATTTTAATATGCATGCAATACTCTTATTTTATATGCAAATAGTGAACAGGAATAGACAACAACAGAAAATTCAATGTATGCATCGAGAATGTAAAGGCTTTGCAGAAATTTTGTAAACATCCGAGAATATGAGGTCATGTAAAACTCATACTAACAACACATGTATAACTTTTACCACAGGTAGAACCATTAGACATGATCTCAGCCGCATATGTGAGGCACAAAGTTAATTACCTGCCCTCGCACAAAAAAACCCTCGTCTTTTCAAGGAAAGTATTATTATAAACCCGAATAACCACAACAGAAGCTCGTTACAGATTTTATTTAATTCTTTATATTTTTCTTAAATTTTGTGATACAATGGATCCATCAATCATCTGACTTGAGACATCGAAAAACAACGATTTTGCTTCAACTATAAAAAGGGTTATAGACGTTGAAGTACAGACTGCTTTGCCTGTGGTGTAAAATTGTGGAAATTTTAACCTTTGAAATTTTAAAAAATCCACGAGATTAGACTTCAAAAAAGGTCCTCGACCTTGAATGGGTCAAAAAATTTTATTCTACTATTATTAGCAAAAACTGCCAGAAAACGCGAGTCTTACATGCCATGGATCCTCTTGTGTACGTTTATTGTGTATTCACGAGTTACAACTTCATTGATGGCAGAACGCCCCTTCTTCTTGTCGCTTTTCTTCGACATCTTACAAGACAAATAAAGAATAGTTAAAAAACAAGGACCTATGCTGAAAAGATTGAAATGTCAAAGATAAGGGCCTTGATGGATTGGATAATTTTGAAGTTTTCATGAGTTGAACACAAACCTTCGAGGGCGATTTGAGAGAGAAAGGCTCATGCACGGCAACAGGGAATTATGGGATTAAGATTGTTGTTACCAGTCCTTAATGCGCGCTTCGTGGAAGATGCATGAAGCGCACGCGAGGTTACGCGAGGGTGGGTTGTGAAAATAAGCAAGCCAACGAGTAATCACACTGAATTCTGCAAAGCTGATCGTACCAAGGAGTAATGCTTGAGGAGGTTTGAGAGCAGAAAATAAATGTGCTAGTCATTTAAAATCCTACCATTGAATGCCCTTCAAAGGCACCTACATATTTCTCTGATAAGAGCTTATTTTACAAAGGAAAGGAATAGTTGAATATATTGAAGCGAAATGAAGTAACCCGTGTAACCTGTGTAGCAGGCGCCTGCATGCTAAGCAGGCTAGAAATGAGGTGCCTTAAAGGCGATGTTACACCATACACGGGACGACTCACAAAGGCGAATTTTAGCGCAACACAACGTCGCAATGTTGGAAGAGGGTTGTAACTATTCGAAACAATGTCGCAACAATGTTGCAACGCTGTGTTGTGCTAAAAATCCTCGTTGCGAATCGTCTCGTGTAGTATCACCTTAAGAGACTTGGGGATTCAACAGTTTATGCTCAGGCGTGGCTATGAATAATCAAAAACAAAATGAAAAAACATCACTAATTTGTACTCAACCATCAACAAAACTAACTATATATTCAAGAATCAATGAATGATTACGTAAGTATTGTCCACCAAAACTAATGCAAATATAAGAAAAAAGAGACAACAATATTTTCTATCAAGCAAACTTCCCGTGCTAAAACAGGAAGTTTGGGCTCGTTTTTTTTTTCCGTGACTCAGGGAAAAGCCACTCCATTTTAGCGACCCAGAGAAGCGTGAACAGACGCGTTTGGAATGTAAAATGTCCAATGACAATGTGTACTCCGGCAGGCGACAACACGTACAGGGATCGTATTCTATAAGTAACCGTTGCATCATTTCGCGTGTGCTGTGCACTGCATGTGAACTTGGCTTCTTCTTCTCCCTCCTTATTAAAGCGTGATTCGATTCAGCCCTGTCTAGATCAGCAGGTGGTAACTCTTAAATAAAAAAATGCTAAAAATGACGGGTATATAGGGCAAGCGTCAGTCCAAGAAAATCTTATGCGTAGGCGAGTTTCAAATCTTTAGATTTCTATAGCGAGTTCAGTTTTTCCGTACCGCAGACTGAGACGACAAGAAAAACTTGTTCATGTGAGTTTTAAAACTTGACAAGTGGTTTTTTCACTTGAAAAGGTAAGAAACCTGTTAAATGTTCCCTTTTGCAGTTAATTTACACGCGCAATCAAGGAAAACTTGTTTAAGAAGTAGAACTTTTCCTGTATACTGTGTAGATGAATCCTAAAGTACTCTGAAGCAAGATTTCCGCTCGTCTGTAACCACCGGTCGATGAAATTATGTAGAAAATAAAACTCTCACAAAATTTCCTCTAGACTTTCTTTAAGACAAACACCTCTACTAAAAAGGACGACAACTTTAAAAGGCAAAAGCTACAACCCAAACCTCTGCCACTATGCAGCGATACTGGCAGAAGAGGGCCGAGTCGATAACATTTACGTGTAACTCTGCAAGTCTACAGTTATTTAAAATGCCTCCGACAAAAATTAAAATGAATAAAAGATATAGAAAGTAAAAGTAGTGACTCTTCCTCACCGGTCTGTTTTATTCAGCACCAACCATGGGATCTATACAGAAGAACCTAGATCTATATAACGAACCTCTGTCGTGTAACGGAGACCTCAGTATACAGCTATTTCGCGAAAGGTTTTCGGAAAAAAATGTGCACGCGACAATCCCGAAAGGTAATATGGGACATGATCAATACTCTGTTCCTGACACTGTAGCTGTCGAAACTACTTTTGTTGCTTTACTTTAAAACTCGCATACATACTTTAATGGCCTCTCGTTCCATTCTTTCAAATTTCTTTGAAGAACAGTGAACGCAAAACCACCAACAATACCTTTCAGGATTGGCGCGTGCACTTTTTTCGACAACCTTTCTCGAAATAGCTGTATACAGTCGACTCATACCGAGAGTCTCTCTAACGGGACACCTCGGTAAAATGGAAACGTAGAGTTGGTTCCTGCTTTTCTTTATTCCCTTTATTCGCAACAGTCTTTATCAGACGGACATCATTTTTACACGGACAAGTAGTGCCGGTCCCAGAGAGAATTGACTGTATAATCAACGATATTCTTCGCCCCAGTATTTATTATTTATAACAGTATACTATAAAAACAACCTCGATTTTACAAATCCTCGTTATAGCAAATACAACAAAAAAGAAGCAGATAATATATAAATATATTTTTCCAGTCTCTTAACCCCTTATTATATGGAGGTTTCAGCTCGTTCCACAGTACACGGGCTCTCTTGTCCGGCTTTGTTCAGTGCTTATGGCTCTTGATTTTATGCTAAGAAAATTATATTTAACCGCACTTAAAAAGTCAAGAGTAAGGAGCCAAGGTTATTCTTTAGAATATTCACGATAAACGGAAGAAATAGTTTGACGAACTAAGTAAAAAAAGCAAGTCAGTTAACTCAAAAATCGGCGTCATGGGGTTAAAGATTTTTTTACGAAGTCGAAGATGTTACGATAGAAAAAGCGCGGATTATGAACGAGTGAGCATCAGCAAGTGCTGGCTTTTAAAATCCATAGAGTCAACTCAGTCATAGTTTTTAGGATCTTCTTGCGATTACGAGGTCTTCACACACACGACGTTTCTGAGCAATGTAGTGCCAAGGCAGGCGCTGTAGTATCCCCGGCGTAAAATTCATTTGAATCTCCACTGAATCTCAGAGTTCATGCATTGAAGAACGGAAGTGAAGATTTCAGCTTACGGAAATATGACACAAACAAGCAAAAAAATATGTACCAGTGAAAAGCACTACCAAAGAGTTTTCAGATGAGATGGTGATGAAGGTGATATTGCGACTGAGATCGTCACGTCTTTGCAGACTGTCAGTGACGTAATTTCATAAAACTACCTGCCTACTCAACGAGGTTCTCATTCCTTTCGAGCCAATTGGAAAACGGGAAAGGGAAGTATGGAGATACTTGTTGAATAAGTAGGAGGAATTAATGATCTCTTATCCGTTGTCGGCCATTTAATATGCTGCGGTGGTCAGTTTTTTTTCTTACAAGAAGTGATATGGTAACAAGACAACTGAGTGATCATATTTTTATGATAATTTTCCATATTGTTAAGGAAGTTGTTGACGATTTTTGAAGTAGCAGAAAAGTTTAAGGAAAGAATGTTAAATGCAGAGATTATCATCCTGTTTGCCGTACAAAGAGAAGCAGAAAAACTGCATTTTGGTCCATGTTGCCCCGGTTAGAGATACGGATGCATTTCACTGTAAGACTTTGACAAAGCGATCTGGATAAGTTTAATTTTTGGCATAGTCGAAGTGGACGCATATATTTCGATAGGAAGATATGTCGAAGATAAATTGACGACGGTGCGCGCAGTTCTAAAAACTGACTTGACTAATGGGATTGGGCAGCGGAAGTCGCGTTCTTGCGGTCATTTTCGCGCGCTTTCGTGTTCTTGTTTGACGTAGCGTTGTGTTTGCTAAATCGACTAACATGCAGCAACCCAGTTGATCAACATTGTGTCGTAACCTCTCATCTTTATATACGTTCCCTTAATAAACAGCTTCATCGGAAGATACTAGGCAGACTGATTTAGAAATGTAAATGCGACGGCAGTGAAAAACAATCTTGACCAGTGTCAGAAAAACGGAAAAGCAACGAAAGTCACGTTCAGCCGGTCTTTTCCGCGCGTTCTTATTTGCCGTTGCGTTGCCTTCTCTAAAATCTGATGCGCAGACGAGTCCATCGGTTGGTCATAACGCACACAAGAAATTCATCCACAAGCCTCGGAGTGAAATTTAGTTATGAGCAACCTCGTTCCCAGGTTCTCTCTCCTAACCGTCGCTCCGTAGGGATGTGTAGGAGAGAACCCTGGCAACGAGGTTGGGCGATCCCGCACCTATTTGAAAGAATGTTTGGATTAGCTGGGAAAACAATAGGGATTGTCATATAACAATGCCCCTATCAGTGAAAACAATGGAAGTGCAGTTCGGGACTAGGGAAGTAAGAGGTTTAGAACAGTAGAACGAGGTTTTTTTTTGTCAACAAGGACTTGGTGAGAAACCTTCCTCTTTTTCCGATTTAGAACCACCTTTTTTTGTCAAAGCCTTCACAGCATAACCACCTTGAAACAGAATGAACAATACTACGGAAAATAAATGTTCCATGAAGGGAATGTATGTTTAATTTTTAAAGTCCAATTGACGATCATCATCATCAACATTGACCGTCGCGGTGGCTGCCGTCACACTTTAAATTTCCTGCGGGCTTACACAAAAGAACTACCCATAACTTCAGAGGGCAAACAGATCAGAAAGCCAGATGGTATCAGATAAAAGGAATAAAAATAGCATTTAAACTGCACAAGTGTAATGCTGATATTTACCATCATCGAGGCTCTTGCCATCATTGAATTCGGCCTGGATCAGTTGTTTGAGGACTTCATGTTCATTTCATAGAAGGTGTCCATCACAAGAGAGGCCTTGTAGTTCGATTATTTGAGTGTTCAATTTGCACGCCGACCTACCGTAATTTTACTCAGGACAAATTAACTCTACGACTAAGGTTTTTCCCGTAACTAGGGACTTAATAATGACCTGGTTTCAGCAAAAACATTTACAAATGAAGTTTCGATTCTACTTGCATCAGTGTTTTGTCACAAGTCGTACCTAAGGGATAAACTCTCGCCAAATTACTATTAGTGAAATACAGAGACAATATTTGTCAAATTTAAAATGC